TATGCATGTATATGTGCTAAACTCTTCAACAAAATGAGAAGAAATGGAAATTTAAAAAAATAAAAGATTGTAATATTCAGCCAACATAGTCTAATTAAAGTGAAATCGATCTGTTTTTTAAATATTTTATTTTGTTGCCATTTCTCTCGTTCTCTTCTCATTCCTCTCATTGTGCATATGAATATACTCATTTGTGATCCACACTTGGCAGACGCAAAAAGAAAGTATTATTTTTTTCATAAAAATAAGAATAACAATTTTTTTAACTGTTTCAAGCATTAATATAATATAATAAAACAACAGCTCAGTAACAGAAATGAAATGAAATTTTGATTTTTTTTTATAAATTCAATTTGTGTTTGTTATCGCTTTAATGATTGAATTTATTGTAATTAAGAGTATGTATGAGAAATGACCTAGAAGATTTTTTGATGAAAGGAAGGTTTAAAGATAATTTTTTTTTAAATTTCGTCTTTTAAATTTTGTCTAAAATCTTTTTAAAAACTATTTTCAACCCGAATAGCTCATGTCAGTTAATCGAGTAGAAATCTGGAACCTATCTGGCCCGACTCTGGCAAAATCGAATCCAGCATCATGCCAGAATCTCACGAGCTTGGTGCCAGATTTCTATTTGATTAACCGATTTGTGCTATTCGGGTAAGGAAGTTATCAAGAAATTTAAAAACCAACTTTAGACCGTCTTTGATCAGTTAAATCAATTACACAACCATGGAACTTGCCGAATTTCAACGTCTGTTATTTAATTAATGAAAACTAAACTTACATACATCAAAATTAATTTCCATGAAAATTCCTTTGTAGATTTTAACTGTCATTACTTCATCAAAGTTTGTTCATTTACATTTCCACTAGCTTAAGATGAGTTATTCATCATTAGCATAATATGTCATTAAAATTAATGCTGAATTACAATTCATCAAAAAAAATGTTCATCTTAAAAAGATTTCTCTAAACAAATGAGGAAGTGTAATCCAAAACACATGATAAAGCCCAAAAAACAATCAAATTCATAGTCATGATTCATGACTTGAATAATCTTTTTACGAAGGCATTTTTTAACAAATTTTTCACTAATTAAATTAAAACAAAATTAAACTTGATCACATAATACGTTTAGCATTTTAAATATGGCATACAAGTGTTGTCTATTATCTCACATTGTGCATGACCCGAGTTTCTCATTTATTTCGAGATTACGCGATTCAGAGGAAGCGGCTGCATGAAATTTTTTTTCAATAACATTTTTTTTTTGAAAATCTGCAAGCGGAAACTTTTTTTTATTGTACATTTGTGAAATTAAAAGCAGCTTTTAAAAAATTATTGAAAAATTCAATTAGTTAAAATCGGGGTTGCTCATAAGTGACGTCTATCAGAAATTAAAATTTTACAGACCTACTCCCTCATTTGTCATAGATTTTCATTTTAAAAATATATGAAATACTAGTCTCAATGTAAGACATCATTTACGAACGATCCCCATAAAAATGAAAAATATCAAAAAGCCAGTTGATGCAATAGACAGTAACATAAAGTAGAGACCTTCCAGAATTTACTTAACCATTCACGTGTGTAATTCTTTATACGAAACAGCAGTGCAATAAAACAGTAACAAAATATTTACGTATGAAAAACCTCAAAAAATTGGTTAATGAACTTGCAAAGTATTAGAAAATAAAATATAAAAAAATTTATTAAATGACCGAGCATATTAGCACATAGCATAAAAAAGAAGGTAGTTAAAAGTAGCCATGAACGATTCAGCATTACTTAATTCATACAAATGTTATGATTCTATACCGACACCTAGTCCGACAGCACTAGACATCGAGCAACAGTCGAAGCAATTTAACGATTTCATGCATCAGTCGCTTTCGGTGAATTCAAATGGAAGCAACAAAATTACTCAAAATAATCAAAGAAATAATAATAATTTAATTCGTACTGCATCACTTGATAGTTTAATTAATTCATCGGAGCAAGATGGCAGTGGAAGTAATAAGACAAGTGACAGTGATGATGATGATGATGTCTTATCAGATTCTGATTCATTGTGTGAATTAAAGCATATGAATTTAACTGATGGTAATAAGAACAGTTCAGATGAACTGCCTAGAAAAAGTGATATTGAGGAATTAAAAAACGTTGAACCACCAAAGGAACCTGTGATTAAAGCTTATTTGGAAAAGTGTCATAAAAAGTGTGAAGTTAAAAATTGTTGCTTCAAAAAATCTTCTTCCGAAATTGAAAATACCAAAAACAACAATAATTGTAATTCTAATAATAGTTGTGATAATAAGTCAAATCAGCTACAGCAGCAACAACAACCAATTGTAGTTTTAAAATCCAACTTACCAGTACGTCGTAATAGTATCGCTAGTGTTGTATCAGCCAGTAGAATGGAAACGATACATGAGGAACCAAATGAGGCTAAGGTGTCTGTGAAAGAGATTTTGGCTCGATTTGAGACATTAAGGGAAGCTGCTGAGGTAAAAATTTGGAATGAAATTTTTTTTTCGGGATTTCACAAGGGTCAGACACTCCAAAGTATTGTACGGTATTGTACAAAACTTACAATACTTACAATACTTTCCATAAGAGTATTGTAATATTCTACAATACCTACAATACTTACAATACTTGCCATATAAGTATTGTAAGTATTGTACAATACTTACAATACTTTTCATATAAATTTACAATACTTTACAATACTTACAATACTGAAATTTAATTATTCAACAACCAAATTTTAAAAGAAATTAAATATTTTTTGAGTTTTCAACAATTTGTAAAACCAAATTTAATACTTTTTTTGACAAATATTGATAAATAACAATTTTTTTTTGATAAATTGACATTATTTTTGAAAATTAGCAGGGAATTTTATGAAAAACTAGCACAAATTTCAGTTTTCCATTAAAAGAGAGAATTTCTGATTATGTAATGGCTATAAAAATGGTAAAAAGTTCAAAATTCTTTTGTAAAGCTAGACTGATGCAAATCAAGAATTGATTTCATACAATTCTCATGAATAAAACCGTACAGGTACGAAGTTTATTATGTAAACTAATATTAAATGTCAATAAGGAATCAAAATTAAATAGATTGATTTCATTTTCACAAGATTTATCACTCTTTATAGCAAACTGCATTACGTTTTATACAAATTTTTTGATCAAAGTATAAGGTTTTAAGTGTATTACTTTGACGATTTGAATTTTTTTTACCTTTGACAAGAAGGCGATTAAGAAGGAATCAAATTTAACAAATGGCTTTTAGAGAATTTTTTTTTTTTGAAAATACATATTTTCAACAATTGCATCTCTAAGACAATATAAAACTGTATATTTTCTTCTTTCTTTGTCAAAATTATTCTTATTTTTTTTAGTTCTTATAGTTGATACTAGACTTTCACGATTTCCTGTTCCCGAAATTTTTGGGACAGAAACTCGATGAATAACAATAGTTATCCAAAAAATTTTAATGTCAAATTATCTCAATTCAAAAGTTTCATCATTTAAACACAAAAAAATCTTCCAAATTTCCCGGAGCATGTTTGATATTTGAGTTTAAATTTTTGTCCAGTTCCCGATAATTTTTTGGGTCCAGGAAATCGTGAATGCCTAGTTAATACAAAAATATATATCATTTCAGGAAAATTCACTGAAAATTTCTGATGAAAAATGTCCTTACTAAAAGCAAAGTAAACTTTAAAGAAACAAACTTAAATCGAGGCATAGCAATGTTATGATATGACTTAAAGCGCTATAAAAAAACTAAACCTCGGTGTTACCTCTATAAAATTGAAGCAAAAGTTAAAGTTCCTTTAATAAAAGGAGACTAATGTCTAATATTCTCATCCTATCTATGTTTTCGTTAAAAATGTTTGATATTTTTGACTGCATCTGGCGTTATATCGCCTTTGTTTCGAGCCAGAATACTTTTTTGCTATTGACAATTTTGATAAATGACTTTATTACCAAAAATTTTGTATACAAATATTACAATATTTGTTTATGTTTTAGACTGAATATTTTTGAAGAACTATAAAATTTCAATTAAAACTTAAAAATATTTAGTTCAAAATTGCAATTATAATCAAATTAATATGACAAATGTTTCTCAAACTGTCTTGTAAAAATTACAATGCTTACAATACTTTCCATACAAGTATTGTAAGAATTGTAAGTATTGTACAATCCTACAATACTTGTCATACAAGTATTGTAAGTATTGTAATTATTGCACAATACTTACAATACTTTCATATGTATTGTAAAGTATTGTACAATACATTACAATACTTTTGGAGTGTCTGACCCTGGGATTTCAAACTATTTGCTCATAGAGTTCTGGTTTGCTTGGATGTTAGGTGTCTGTTTCAGGCACAGGTTAGAAATTGTATCAAAGACAATTGCTTGTTGATTTTTTAGAAATAGATTTACTAATTATTGAAGAACTAAATCTGCCCTTGATGATACTAAGTTCAATTCCAATCAATTGATCAAAGTCAAGTTCAGATGTCGATTCCAGTTGATAGTCTAATTTTTTCAATTTCAACTTTGGTATCTTTGGGATAAATTGAGTATGTACGATGCAAAAGAATTGGTTTCTGTGAATTAAAAGTGACCATCCATCATCTTACAATTTCCAATCATCATCGTCAAAAAAAAAAACAATTTATTTACAGCTCAAAATCATCATCGTTGCATTTGTGTCACCATATAAAAAAATCTCATTTACGTGCCTCTTTTCTTTCATCGAAAAATGTTCAATTCCAATTTAATTTTTTCTCAAATCTTATTTTTATTGCAAATCGAGAGAAGAAAAAAAAACTTTCACCATTAACGGCGCTTTAAAGAGAGTTTAACAATTGTAAAATTGGCTTGCATTATATTAACTAATGATTTATATCTGATTCCTATAAGCAACAAAGTATCGATGATAATCCGGTTATAAAATTTTATTATATCTTTCAGACACAATCAAAAGCATCATTGAAAGTTACACCGAATATCGCGGCAACAACAGAGAAATTGGAAGCAAGTCTAAATGGACATCATGATAAATCAATTGAAAAGAATCTCATCCAAAATAATCATAACCTAAAAGATGATGAAATTATTGATAATAGTGAATTCATTATGATGAATCATACGGCATCGACAAACACGGCAGCAACGACAGTACAACAACAGAATGGTCATCATAAGCTATCGCATAATAATAGCAGTAATAGTAGTGGAAATAATCAAACACATGAGGCGACAGTCCATCAAGATGAAAGTTCACAGACATCGATTACAAAACATTCGTTGCTGCAATTTGCAATGCAACACTTTAGAAATGAGTAAGTATTATTTTTTTGCGGAAATATTATGACAGCTTTTAAATGCTCAAAACATGACTAAAGGATTGAATTTATTGAATTTATTAATCTTACTTAATCTTGACTTAATGAGTCTTTTTCGTGTTAACTTGAATATTTAACGGGATAGATTCTGTGAAAAGTTTCTGTTCCTAGAGATAAGGCGCGGGAGAGCTTAATTGTTATTGATGATGAATTCTACAAAAACATCATCCTGAAGCTGTCAAATCAACATTTTGAAGATATTTTCATTAGCTGTGGTTTTTTAACTTTGTGGAGCATACATTAGATCAGCAAACCATAATTTGTTGCATAAAAATTTATCAAATCACTAAATACACAGCAGTTTGTTACAGAACATAGCACTTCCACTGGGTTTTACTAATTTAAGTTAATAATTTAATTCTACAAAAATCCACAAAGTAGAAATCATTTCTGCAAAAATATTCTTACTAAACCAACGAACTGAAAACGAAGACATAAGTTCATAATTACCAAGTTCCTCTAATTCCTCAAAAAACATTCATAAATGCTTGTTAATAATCAATTTATAATAAAGGGTTACGAAACTTCGATAGTAATCAAACATTTTTGAAGCCCATAAAAAAAATCTGTAATTACTGCTTAAAAACTTTATGAGCAATAAAGTCAAGGTTTCGACACTTGGAACATGTGCGTAATTGAATATTGAGTGGAAAAAGTGGTCAGTTTTAAATCTACAATGTTGTAGGTGCGTTTCTATTGAATTGCTTAGCATTTAAATTTTTAAAAAATCTTAACTTAGAAATCATCTTCAGGTCTTGCTTTATATCAATTTTCCTTAAAACTATGTTCACTATTAAAGCTGACCCACTAGTTTTAGCATTAGAGATTCAGAGTTAAATTAAGAGTATTGAAACATCTAGAATCAAAAATCAAACTTCTAGATGACAAAACCACAGAAAAAAGTATAACTCTGAATAAAGGATCCCGAGCGGGACTCGAACCTACGTCCTACGATTTCTGGTCGCATGCTCTACCACTGAGCTATCGGGGATTAGATGACTTTATGGCTAATTCTCATATATAAGTTACACTCTTTTTACTGTTCCCTTGCACCACATGATTTATGGCTGACTAGCCATTACATGGAATTGCACATTCCAACAAACAGGCACTAGAAGTAGGTTTTTCGTGCATATACATAGTTAAGTACTATTCTCAAGTTTGACAAACCGACTTCTGTCACAGATTACAGTTGACAGATTATGTCAAAATATTTTCAGATGAACAGGCCTCGAAAATCAATTCTCACAAATCATAAAATTTCACTAGTCATGTCCAAACCTTGTTTACATTCGATAAGAATCTTCACTATGTCTGCTGCTTAAAAATAACCAAAAATCATTCTCTAATGCTTCTGAAATATCTCCACAAAAGACAGCAATCATCAAGTTTGCTTCACCTTGTTGAACTTACTTAACAATTTCTACTTCATTTTCCAGCTTCGCACCACAAACTTCTTTTTTTATGTAAAAAGAAATTTTACGTTTTTGATATTAAATATTATCTAATTACATAAAAAATATTTTCCTATTATACACAAAAAAAAATGCTTAGTTTCCGCCAAGTGAATATTTTTAATATCCATATGGAATATTTTCTTTTCTTTTTCTGCTATTTCTTCTCTCTTCTTAATTAACTGTAACTCAGCACTGATACATATACACATGGTGAAGATCATAATAACGATAATAATTAAGTCTTTTAGCATTTAATTTTCTTACTAAGAAAAGAGCGAATTTATGGATAGATGCGGCACCTTCAGTTCAAGATTGGTGCTTGAACTTTTAAGAGTCATGAACGAGCATTTTTTTTGTGTAGAATTTTTTTTGTGTAGAATTTTTGGACATTTTTTGTGAAACTTAAAGGATTTTAAGATGTTTATCAATTACAAACATTAGAGAAGTGGATGATTGAATAAGAATAAGAGTGAAAATATAAACAAAAAACATTCAAATTGCAGTGAATATTAAGTTGTGATTGAATTTAAACTACAAATAGCAACTAGTGATAGAAAAATAAATTCAAAAAAATTATTTTAGTGCCATTTTTAAAATAAATCAACATAGAAGATAATCTTGATTAATTGCAGTATAATAAATTTAATTAAGCTTCATAAATTAACAGTTTTTGCCATAAAAATTAACGCAGTGCGTTCAAAGAATTAGCAAAATAGCTGTAGTGTCTAATTTTAATTGAGATTAGGTTATCAAAGTTAGTTTAAGATTGATTAATAGTTTAAAACTTAGTAAAGCTCTCAAAAATTGTTGTGATAACAAAATTTAGCATTAAGAATAGTTTTGAAAAATTAGGATGCAAACTTTGAATTGAAAAATCTGTAATCAAACAAAATTTGGTCGCAATAACCTAAAAATATAAGTTTGTAGTATGGCTCAGTGAACTTTATCTCAATCTTGGATAATTTGTGAACTTCTTGAACCTGTTGTGATCAAGTTTACACCATAATTGCTGTATTGATTGAAAAAATGCATAAATTGAGACTAAATCATTGAAAAAACACAAAATAGAATTTAGAAGTCAATAAACAAAACATAAAAGCATCAAAATTCAAGCTATTCATTAAATTCACAACTCATATCAAACATTAGCAAACAAAACTTCTCATAAAACATCACTTCCACCGTTAAATGAACTATCCACCCCTATCCACTAATTAAAAATCAACATAAATACCTCAAAGATAGTTTAAAGCAACTCAATAAAAAAATTCTAATAAAACTCAACTTTGATTAACAATAAGCCAAGCTCCAATAAATTCCTTATAAATATTTATCAAACTTCAGTCCCGCAACTTTAATTTTTACACACAAAATTAAACTTAACAATGAACAATTTTATCGCTATAATGGAACTATGATTGACAGCTTCATTTTCCAGATATCAAAATCGCAAGTGTATATGTATAAATTGATGTGAGTTGGATTAATACAATAAATTCAATAAGTATTTAAATTATTGCTGTAATAATGCTAAGGAAAATTTTCTGTTTGAAATGGTCGGGCGAGTTTGTGGGATAAGCAATAATCATATACATACTTAATTTAATTAAATTTAATTTTATTCAACAGCTCACAAGAAGAATCACCGAAAAGTCGATCTGAAAAATCACAATCTGCTGACCGTCGTACTCACACAGCGGATCTTGTGAAATGGCAAAGTTATCCATTGACACATCCATTATTAAAGCTTCCACCAGAACTCACGCCACTTGCAATCGAATGCTTTGAATGTATATTAAGATATTGCGGCGATATGGCACAAGATCATGAATTCACGGAAGTCAAATGTGTCTATACCGTATTAATGGTGAGAAATTGAAACTGAACAATAGCAAGAATAAGAAGTAATAATCTCATCTCTTTTATTACAGCACTGTCATAAGCATCTCATTCTTCGCGATGAAGTCTATTGTCAATTGATGAAGCAGACAACAGCAAATCGTTCAACATGTTCCGACTCGAGTCAACGTGCTTGGCGCTTGCTATCAATTTTAGCAGCATATTTTGGATGTACAGAAAGCCTTAAAGCATATTTAGTCGAACATTTGACATCAGCTGCATCTGATAGGAGAAAATCAAGTCACGGAACTGCTCAAGTTTGCTTGACCAACTTGAGGAAGACACACAAGTATGGTGGACGAAAGAATGTAAGTGATATTGTGTTGGAAGTGCTGTGGCAATTAAATATAATGAGGAATTTTGAATATTAGGTACCAAGTGTTGAAGAAGTCACAGCTGTGTCCGCGGGACGATCAGCAAGGAGGCAAATTTACAGATTACCAGGCGGTGCTGAGAGAATCGTCAATACGAGGTAAGTAATACAATATCCAATAATGAGATTACTGCTTATTGAACTAAGTTCACCTCATTTTAATTCACTTTCACTTTAATATTAAATTTTAATTAAGTTTTGAATATTAAAACAAAAGTGACTTAAAATTTCACTTTTATGGACAGTGCTTAATGAGTTATGCAATATATATGATTAAAATATAATCTAGATCAAATTATAAAACAAACTCAATTCTCTCCCAAAACAGATGCTCAACAGTCGTAGCTGATGTCATAACAGAGCTCTGCGCATTACTTGGTATTGAATCAGAAGCTGAACAACAAGAATTTTCACTTTATTGCATCGTCCAAGGCGATGCATTCACAATGCCATTATCATTTGATGACTACATTCTCGATGTCACAACGGAACTACTTAAATCTGGTCAGCCATTCTATTTGATATTCTGTCGTTCAGTCTGGCACTTCCCATTGAAACGTGATCCTGCACCCACACCATTGTATATTGAAGTTTTATTCAATCAAGTCGCTCCAGATTATCTTGAGGGATTATTACTCGAAATTCCAAATATTGGAGCACCAACGCCTGATTATATTCGTGATATGGCAAGAATTGCAGCTATTTTACATCGTGCTGCAGATTTAAATCATATTCCGGTAATTATCTTGTGCTCTTATTGACTTTTTCATAATCATTATAAAGTCATGGATGACTTTTAATTGCAAAAAATTTCTTTTTTTTTTCTGCTCATGCAGGTAATGAAGGAAATTAAGTTTCTGCTACCGAAGCCAGCATTAAGTTTAAGAGAAATTAAGCCTGCACAGTGGGTAAACTTGGGTAAGTTGATTGTCATTTAATTATTATCGTCATCTTCTATGAAGTAACATAATGACTGATCTAATCTGATTTCATCATTATACAGTGCAATCAATTTGGGGTTCAGTAGCTCCACTTTCACCACTCCAATGTAAAGCACAATTTCTGTCAGTTTTGTCAGCATGGCCATTATTTGGCAGTAGTTTCTTTGCTGTTAAGCGTGTCTATGGCGATGATATAATGTTGCCGGAAGAGTCAAATGCACCGATGTGGAGAGAATTAATATTGGCATTAAATAGACGTGGTGTCTTCTTTTTGGACTCTAATACGCACGAGACATTACATCATTGGCATTTTATTGAAATTATATCAACGAGAAAGGTGAGGAAATTGTGGATTAAATTGATGATTTTTGTTGTTGATAGAAGCTTTTTGACTCCACACAGGTTCGCTCTGAGGATGGTCTTTTATTCTTGGACATGAAAGTTGGCAACTTGCTGCAACAAAATGTCGTACGAGTACAGACGGAGCAAGCTCATGAAATAAGCAGAATAATGAGACAATACATCACAATGGCACAATCAACACAAAGAGACAAAAGAGAATAGATTGTAGACCGAATATTTTCATAGACTTTATTATTATTTTTTTTTCTAAATCAACTAATCCAAACTTTTATTTTCCATTTTTCTTTGTTATGAAATGAAATTATTTTATCCCAAAATTATTAAATTATTGCTTGTTCCGAGTTGATTTTTAAAGATATTCTTTTCAAATGCGTAGCTATGGGATGACTAGGCCTCAAATTAAATTGTTAGGTTCTAGTTATGCAGAAGATTCTATCAAATGCTACCTAATTGAATTATAGAGTCTATAATAATCCCCAATTTAAATTTTCTCATCAGTTATGGAAAGGAAATTTTAAGCATAGAAACTTTTGGTGTTTTGAACTTTCTACCTACATACTTTATTAAAAACTGTTAAAATCTATAAATAAGATAATAAAAATGAGATCTTTATTGATAAACTAGATACACATAAAGAACATCAAACGATGAATATTATTTACTAGATATTATATAATATATGACTATCGAACATGAATAATGTAACTTATTATCTTTATGTTAATAAAAGAATTAATTACAGAAAAAAAATCTTGTTTTTTCACTTTTATTGTTAGGGATGTAGTGATAACTTAAGCTATTTGATTAGTTCCACAACCTCAGAACAAATAAACCAGTCAATCTTTCGACATGTTATTCTTCTGTCAACCCTTCATCACACTGACTCTTGTCATTTCATCAAACAGAATCAGAGCTCAAAGTCGATATGGTTCGAGTCAACTAGAGTTGAGAAAAAAATGAAGTCGACTTCGAGCTCTGATCAGAACTTAAGAAATTTTAAAAATTAACCAAGGCGTGGAAACTTAGCTCAGAAAAAAAACCATTTTCTCATTTTCGTGTTTATTGCCAATGCTCTGGGATTTTTAAGAATTTTTGAGTTTTTTCAGGTTTAATCCTGAGTTTCCACGCCTTGAAATAAACTTTTAAATGCTAAATGACCAATTAACCAAAGAAGTTACTTCTAATTTCCACAAAGTTCCAGATAAACATAAAATATGAATAACCAGTGTTGACAACAGTCGTAAATAATTCCATATCAACCGTTCCAATCATTGGCAATTCAAAATCGTCAAAATTTTGGCAAATCTGCAAATACTGCAAGAAGATTTTCTGATCCGAATTTGACAGCAAGTACCATGGAAATTTGTAAATTCTATTGAGGAACATTTCATATTGATGAATGACAAAAGTCACGAGGATACACGAAGTCGCAATTTGTGTCATGTAAAAGAAAATGCCCAAAGCTCCGATGATTGTTGAGTTCGAAAGCATCGTCAGTGCAGAAAGGCAAAGTGCAAAACCTCCAGAAGTGATTGTCATAAAGACTGGAATCTTCATTTCTTTAAACAGCAATGATGTGTACTTTGTGATTTTGTAATAGTCCTTAATCAGGTGAATTAGCATTTCTTTATTGCTTCTCTCAGCTGGATCTTTATGAACTCTAATGATAAACTTCCTCACAATATATTTAAAATTCGAACGTGGATGATCAGTCAATTTATTGCCGAATTCTGTAAACTTCATACTTAAAATGTCAAACATTGAAGCTATATGATAGCTGTAGAACATGAATTGAAAGTCAAGAGTAGTTAATGCAAAAAAAGTTATCTCTGTCAGTAACAGTTGAACAATTGCATTGACAATGAAGCCCCAAAGCTTAGTGGCATCAACAAATGGCAAATAAATAGGTGCCATCAGTTGATACGTTCCTGAAAAAGCTGCAGATGCAATAATTCCAATGAATGGCATGTGAATTACAATAAAGTATCCAAGTGATGTCGCATTGAAAAAACTATAATAAAAGTTTAATTTTTTGAGCAGCACAAGCCGATAAATTAAATTATTTTCATGATTTCTGTTGAACTGCATCAATCTTTCTAGAAGTTCTCGATTTATGGCTTCATCATTTAGTCCATAGCGGTTTATAATTCTTGAGAAAATTTGCAGAATCAACGGAATAAAAAACAATGTCTGACAAATGCTAAGAATATTAGGCCATGCTTTATATAAGCCATTAAGTTGTATCACTGAGATTGTTATTGTTCCTATGACCGACATAGTTATTACTCGTGGATGATACAAACGAGGACTCTGCAAATCAGCACCAATAATGTTCGAGAATCTTGTGTGCCTGCGACGCTGTGCTGTAAATGATTTGCTTTAGTTTACAAAAATTATGTTTTATTGCTTGTGTGCTTACCAATTACTTTTTCTGATGGCATATCCATGTCTTCAAGTAAAAACAATTCAAATTATACTGTCAAGTTTTCAATAACTTAAAAATAGCTGTGTCTTGGGGATGTGGCATTGAATTTTATTTTTTAAAAGTTATATAAAGTCAAATTATCATTCAATTAAATTTTATAAAATTCGAATTAAACTTCTGTGTTCATATTAATCAGCAGCGTAGCTTGTAAATTGTAAATTGAAGAAATTTTCCATCAAAGACACACCTCTGGATATTCAGTGATCAATCAATTAAAAATAGTTGTTACTAATTTCCACAAAGTTCCAAATAAACATAAAATATGAATAGCCAGTGTTGACAACTGTCGTGAATAATTCCATGTCAATCTTTCCAATCATCGTTAACTCAAAATCCTCATAATTTTGACAACTTTGTACGAATTGTAAAAATATTTTCTGTTCAGACTTTGACAGCAAATACCATGGAAATCCATAAATTTCATCCAAAAACTTTTCATATTGATGAATGACAAAAGTTACGAGAATGCAAGAATTTGCAATTTGCGTTAAATAGAAGAAAAATGCAATAGCTCCAATAACTTTTGAGTACGAAAGCATCGATAATGTGGAAAGACATAAAGCGAGTCCTCCAGATGTTATTGTAGTAAATACAGGAATCTTCATCTCCTTAAACAGCAAAGATGTGAAGTCTGTAATCTTGTAATATTCTTTAATCAACTGAATTAAGTTGTGCCTATCATTTTGGATTAGAAGTGACTTCTTCTTTATGATTTGCTTCTTTATGAATGTTTTAAAAATTTTTTGTGAATATAAGTGCTTGATAGCCAAGCTGTGACCAAAATCCTTAAACTTCCATGTAAGGATGTCAAACATTAAAGATATTTGAAAGCTATAAAAAGTTAACTGGAAATCCAAAGCAAGAAGAGATAGAAAAGTGATTTCTTGAAATATGAGCTGAACAATCGCATTAATTATGAATCCAAATAGCTTATTAGGATCAATTAATGGTATGTAGAGTGGTACTATAAGTTGATATGATCCTGTGGTAACAGCAGATGCAATCATGCCAACAAATGGCGAATGAACAAGAACAAAATATCCCAATAAAAAAATATTAAAAATATCCGAGTAAATGTCTAGCTTTTTCATCAAAATTATCCGATGTATCAAGTTTGCTTCATGGCTCTTACAAAATTTTTCGAGTCTCCTTTGCAGTTCAAGATTAATAGCTTCATCATTTAATCCAAACCGATTAACAGATCTCGAAAAAACTTGGAGAGTCAATGGAACAAAGAATAAAGTCTGACAAATCTTTAGTATGTTCGGCCATGCTGTATAAATACCGTTAATTTGTATTGTTACAATTGAAATTGCTCCAACAATAAGAATCGTTAATCCACAAGGATGATATAAACGAGGATTCTCTAAATCAGCACCAGTGATGTTAGAAAATCGAGTGATTTTACGTCGCAATTCTGTCAAGGATTTTAAAGTAAAATTTTTTTAAGTTTTTTCAGTTTCAAAGAATTTTTTACCCGCTACTCTTTGTGATGGCAAAACCATGTCTATAGACTTGAATTTTCCAAAATAAACTGATTCTTGAAATTGTAATTAAGTTTTGAAAATTACTCAAAACCAAATAATTATTGGATTAATTACGTTTAGAAGTAAATATTTTATACAAAAGAATCAATAATTGATGAATTGTTTTGTGTCCAGGATGTTTAAGTAAGCGATTTTAAAGTTGTTTTGTAATTTTTGTAAGTCTTTGTCTGCTTCAAAAAATTCAGATAATTATAAAGTAGCTAAAATGAGTTTGAAATTAGTTTAGATCCTTTGACTGCTTCATGTGGTTTCATGTTTGTTCCCAAAGAAGGCTAATCCTTGTCTAGTCAATGATTAATAAGAATATATCAACAATCTTTTATGTTGGAGATGCAATTCAGAAAAAAGTCAGGAAAACTTGTTGCCAAAAGTTTAGTAAATTGTAAGCTCGCCGGTAGTTGTGGATATTATACACAATTCTTTAAGGCAAATAAGCAACAAAAAAAATCAATAAAAATTCATGAGGTATTACGTCGACAACATAGAACAATAAAAATGCAAAAAAAAAAACTTTCGCTTTCAGCAATCCTTCACTGAAAGCAACACAATCTTATGTCTCAGACCGGCTATTTAACTATGTTGCACGGTGGCTACTTGCAATAGCATATTGAAATGAATATCATCATCAACGCTGCATTGACTGACAAGCTGTTGGAATAATAATAATAATTTGGACTGGTAAGTGAAAGTAATAAAGTAATTTGTTCATATTTGCACACAATGATGAACTGAATTAGTGAAGTGGCTGATTTTTTTATTATTATACTTTAATTACATGCATTTCTATCCATACATTTTTTTTATCTCATTGTTTCATTAGTTTTTGGGGTCTGTTCACTTATTAGGTTTGTGCATTAGTGAATCTTAGATTGTCGAGTCACAAAACAATGATTGATGTTTGAGATACAGCAATTCTAAACTACTAAGCCTTTATAGCACTATTTTCTAGTGACGTAATAAGTAAATTACCCCCATTAAATGACCTAAACACATTTTGTGGACATGATTGGATTTTTTTAAAAATTATTTTAATACTTCCTCTATTAATTCTGCCATAATTACTCATATACGCTTTACATGGATTAGAACTTAGACTCTAGCGTGATTCTATGTCTTTTAACTACTAAAATATTTGGCACTTTCAAAGACACAATTTACTTAACATACTAAACTCTTCTTCATTCGCACGATTTCTTTTTAGCTCACGACCCCTTCTTTCATATTCATATTCGTTGTTGGTGGCAGTGATAAATCCTCGACTATTACATTTTCAAGGTTGTTTGTTGATTTTTTCTCTAGATTGATTAAAGAAAAGAAAAAGGAAAAAATTTATTTTTTTCACCTTTATTACATTGTTTTAATTCTACTCGTGAAATATTGTGGACGTGAAGGCATTTACAATGCATGAAAGAATTTTCTGACTGTTGGACTATGTAAAATGGCACTGAGAGTAATTTTTTATGGGTGATAAAATTTATTTGGAATTTTTGAGATTTTTTTTTCGACAGCACGAGTGTATTAAGTTGGAAATTTCAGTTCGGAGTGTAAAACCTTTTTATAGCTCACTTAAGCCACTTGTGCGACAGCAAAGCATTTTCTACCCAAACAAACTCTCCGAATGTCAACAAACGATACCTTCAAAATAATGTGTCTGACTGTTCACCAAAGTATTAAGTCACAGTACCACACTTCATAAAAACACCATCACTTTAATCGATAAATTCCTCTCAGTGCTCGTAAAAATCCACTCACTTACCCGTCATTTCCGATATCGTAATAATACCATTGATTAAGCCACCTTTTAATCCTTGGCGAATTTGTCGTTCGCACGCACCGTCATAATTTATGTACGAAAATGTTTCTCCAATAAGCGGAGAAACTTGATTGCTCTTCTTTGGACGTAGTGACGATGCCAAATTTGATGACGTTAAAAAATTGTTGTCCTTAGAAAAACTTACTTTAGCATTCGGTGCGGTTTTTGGTCTATTTTGAGAAAATCGAAGCTTTTTCTGTGAACAGAAAATAGAAACGAAAAGTTTTTGGTCTTGTGAGTTATGATTATCACACATAATGGTGGGTCTTGTTAAAAATAAATCCATTTTAGTCTATAAATATCACAGCATAAAAAGCATGTGGAGGGGAATAATTAATTCATAAGGTGGAATGGGAATAAAAACAGAATTAAAAAATGACACTGACCTTTCGCTTGCCAGTTGCTGGACGTCGTGATTTTCGTGGTATTTCTTCATTGCTGCTTAAAGACTCATTTTGGGTGACGACACGCAAGAATCGAATTTTATTTTGTATACTTTTGTAATTTTTATTTATGGTCTTCAATAGCCAATTTAAGGCATTTCTGGCAACTTGTGAATCATAAGTTTCCTCATATTGTCCACTGCCCTCAACATAGCATGGCGTACGAAAGAGATTCGCAAGATATTCAATCTCAAAGTAGTCACAGATATCAAGTGAATCTAGTGCACCTGGTTGATCCTGTTTATTTGCAAAAATCAATGTCGGCTTGCCTGTTAATAAATCATTGGACATGATTGCTCCAAATATTTCTTTCGAACGCTCCAAACTGTATGGATCAGAGGAATCGATGATGTATATAATTCCCATAACCTGAAGGAACAAAAAAAGTTTCTGACGTTTAATTGCCGGCATTAGAGGAATTAAAAGGCAAGAAAATAAATGGAAAAGTTTTTACATGATCGCTTTTTCCTTTTCACTTTTACAGGAAAAAATTTTCTATTTCTCATTATTGTTTGTGTCACGTAAACAGCACCAAAACAATTTACAAGGGAACGAAACTTGAGTTTTGTTTTTATGGAAATTTTTCCAACCCCCATTTTTACTATAATCGATTTTTATGTCTTTGTGTCGAAACAGATGTTAACTTTGAAGCTCATATGTTCATGATTTATTAAGCATAATAAGTTTATGGTGCTTGAATTTGGAAAGAGACACTGTTGTCGTTTAAAGAATGAAAGGAGGGAAATTATTGATAAATTCTGGCGTGTGTGGTTTGTGCTGTTTATTAGTATTTTTACATGCTTTCTAGTGTCTCCAAAAATACATTGTGGGATGTTTGAACTTTTATTTAAAATCTAGTGGGTAGCTATAAGATTATACTTTCGAAACAATGACGTTATGAGTATGAAGCTTATGCAGGGCTGACACAACATGAAGAAAAGACAGTTCTGTTCTACAAAAATGATCAGTCTCTTGAAATGATCCGATCTTATTCATTCAGTCATATTTGAAGACGTATCTAAGAGATTTTAATAACCATTTCTAATTCCTGCATTCGTCACAAACACTGCACGTCACATACACTCTTCCTTACCACTTTTCCAATTATATTAAAAAATAAACTTAAACTCACATCAAGAAAATAATACTTCCATATGTCGTAAAACTCTTCACCACCAAGTTCTGTAAATTTAATTAATCGCTTGTCTATTTTTGTTGAAAACGTGCGACATCCTTTTGTCGATAAAAATTCCTCTCGTTTCTTATTCATTAGTCGATAGGCAATTTCGGTTTTTCCTGACTCTTTTAAGCCCAATATTAGAATTGGAATTGACCTACATTTGTGGAAAAAAAAGTGTAGGAACAAAATGCTTTAAATTTACTGTTGATAGAAATAAATGTTACTCACTCTTTTTCGTACGATTTTCTGCAAAATTTGAAACAATTTCCCATAACTACAGATTTTTTTGGCTTAACTTCACTAATCAGCTGATTATCAAGAATTTCTTAAAATGCGACTGAATTCGCATGATTTACAAATTATAATAATCCCTGTACGTAAATAAAATGAAAGTAAGGCACTTCGTTGTTTAGCTTTTGTGTCGTCATGGCAACATTTTCTGAGAATTTTTTTTTGAATTAATAGTAAACATTAGCAATGTGATCGGCATGGTGAATTTCTCAACATAACAATGTGGTGTGGTGAGTTTTGAATTTTTGAAATACGTTTAACTTTTGTAGATTGTTGGCATTAAATTTTATGGCTTACTTTATATTTTTATTGGTGCTGTATATTTTGATTCATTTCTTATGGCAAGTGCGAATAGATTTGCAATCAATTAGTCAACAAAGCGTTAAGTCACATGCTTTTTATTTATCAATTACTTCATTGACCTACTTTATAAATTTATAGGGCGTGTCACTGTAAGGCGGGAATATTTTTGCTGGTGAATTCTAAACCAGTGGCTACAGACCAGTTTATTAAGCTACTCGGGGCACCTAAGTTTAAATACCCCCTCCCAATCCACCCCCCTCCCTCCCTCTCACCCAGTCAACAACATTCCTGACAGTTTAATAGAATCCTTCTTAGTTCCTTAGTATCTATGCCTGGATTCTGCATACAAACTTTGAGTATTGTCTTTGATGTTTTATCAAAATTCGCAATCTCATTGAACGATTGTGGAAAAATGATAAGATTTATTTGTAAAAAAAAACTTCAGTTCTTCATCGTCTTTCAAAGTGAACGGGATCGTGTCTTTGTAATAAAAAAATTACTTAATTTCATAAATATGTGAAAAAAGTTAAAATGACATTTAAAAGAGCTTAAACATTCATAATAAATTACTGAATAATTTTTGAAAAATTAATAATTTAAAATGTGCACCTTTAAAGCAAAACTTATAAAAACCTCGACAACTTTCTCAAAAAACTTAATTTTATTCATCGAATCTCTCCAAAATAAATTAGAAAACTCTCAAATCCTGGAAATTCAACAATGTCCTTCAGCAGTTGAAGCTTTAAATTTAATATCACGACCTTGGTTTAAAGAAAAACTCAAAACAACTAAAATAACTTCAATCATTCTCAAAATCATTGAACCTTTAAGTGACAAACATTTACCGTCGCCACAAGTTCTCATCGATAAGCCCCTCCTTATTTCGATTGAGTCAGATACAATTCAAAATCAAAAAGCTATTTATTGGAGGAGGTCTACAAGTGTTGATTATTTGTGTATTAAATTATTGAACAAATTCTCGAAAAGCTTGAGTGACTTTATAAGAGATTTTATGATCGAATGCGTGGATGATGACAATTTAGGTATGCAATTTAGTTTTTAAGCCTTCGTCGACTTAAACCTTACTAGATCCTAATAATAATGCAACCTTTTCTTTCATTAAATCCTGAGATATAAAAATTATGCAAGCATTACCCAAAAACTATACACAAACAAAATTCATGACTCTGCATGACTAAATAATACTGCTTACTTTCACAGGTGATTTACCCAACTCGAGTACAGACAATATTAATCATCAAGTGTCTCAGATGTGCGATAAAAATGGATGCAATCTTCTTATGAAGGCAATTGAAAATGAAAACATTGATATCATTCGAGAGCTTTTATCACTTCCAATTGATATCAATTCTCAACATAAAGGAACTGGCAAGAGAGCAGTTGATATTGCGTGGGATAGAAGAAACAATGAAATTCTGTTGATGCTTTTAAATGCTGGCTCAATGTTTCCTGATAATTTTTATTCTGACGAGGCAAGTGAGGAGGTTCAGGAATTTGTGCAGTGTACATCTGAAATACATAAAGCTATAATAAGGAACAATAGACAAAAAGTTGCAGATATTCTTGAGAATCACAAAAATTTGAGACATTTTTACAATCTCCAAAATACTTCAGCAGCTGCAGTTGCTTTAAAATACCAAAGAATCAAGATTTACAGACTTTTGACGAAAAGCAATGTCCACGTAGGTCCGAACGAAGACATCAGTAACATTATAGACAAAACCTCTGAAGAACCAATGCGAAAAATCCGAAAAGTCAACGAACACATTAAATTCATCCATGACGAAAGTTCCAAGAACATTCCTAACAAGCACTTAATGATTCTCAATTCAAACTCATGCGTTGCACATGATGATCCAAATTCCAGTCATCACTCAAAACTCATTCAGGAAGCTTTCAAATTCCTCAACAAAAATCCTCTAATTCGTCCGATTTTAGAGGTCGTTGCAGCTTCAAAAAAGTTTAAAATTTACTTTGACTTTAACCGCACATCAATTTTATTTATGGATCCGACAAGCTCTGTGTATGAAAATGGAACTTGCTATTTTATGAATGGACAAATTTACATTGCTGCAAAAGATTTGTTATGTGAATTTAAGAAGTTTGATGTATTTGGTGTTATTGCTCATGAGCTTTGTCATTATGCATTGCATTTAGTGTTTCGGAATTCTTGCAAGCCATTTGCAGTCGATGATTCTGAAACTGCTGAAAGATTTAGTAAATTGCTTAGTCAATGTTGGGTAATGAGATTCAAAGAACAAATTGTTTGTGATGTATTTAAATATAAGGAAGAACATCAAGAAGCTGAATTGATTGTTCGAGTTCCTCAAATTTTAGCTAAACATTCCAATGATCCTAAGCAACTTGATGTGTTGCTGGAAGTTTATAGGGAACTTTTTATTTTTTATAAATATGACATTCTACCGCATTTGCTTGAATCTTTGGAAATGCTGAACAATATTGCATCCGCAAGAGTTTTATGGAATGATCTTACTGATCCAGTCAAGTCTAAAATTTATAATTCAACCATTGAATTTCAAGGATATCAAATGAAATTAAAAAATCTCGTGGATACAGAATGTCTTCAATTTCTATCATCAGAACAAATTTGTGCAATTTTATCGGACAAACTTATCAAAATCTCTTCAAACTTAAATCAACCATCAAAATTGTACATTGAAAGAAAATTTCAAAGCAAAAGAACGAAAATTGACGTTGACTTGAATGGATTAGTGTCAGAATGTGAAGCATATTATGTAATTCTATTAGCTGATCAAGCAGGAAGTGGAAAGTCAACAACTTTTAAGAATTTAGCACTCAAATTAAAAACTAGAGGATATGAAAGCTACTGGATCTCATTTATAGACTTAAAAAGACATTTAAATATCTATAAGAAGTATGATAATAATAATTGGAGTATGGAGGAGATTCTTAAGATTTTATTGGATATTTTAAATGCAAAAGAACAACTGGAAATTCAAATTTTCATAAATTTATTCAAAGATGGAAAAGTTGTGCTTCTTTGGGATGGTGTTGATGAGATTTCACCGATTTACAAAGATTTTATCATCAATTTGATGTTCTCAATTCGACAGCAAACTGTAAATCAGCAGTGGATATCAACAAGACCACATTGTACTGAAACGCTAGAAATGATATTTCAAAGAGATGCTTATAAGTTTATGGAATATGATAGAGATGCAAAGATTCTGTTCATCAAAAGTATCATAAATGATCATGTTGACACAAAATCAGAAGCTGCTCATCCAAGCTTTGAGGAACAAACCTTAAAGATTGACCAAGAATCATTGAAACTCAACCAAGTCTTAAAATTCTTCGACTCACTCCACAAAAATTCATTCAATTCCATCAATAACCTCTTAATCCTCAAAATGATCACCGAAATCCAAATATCAGGTCATTTAAAAGTTTCAATACTTAATTCCTACTCAATTTATGAAGCCATGATTGAGGAAAAGAAGAAAATTTTGAACTCAAAAGGAGAAATTCCAAACAACGACCGTGACATAATCTCAAAAGTAAATATTTGGCAAGTCCACCAAATTTATGCATTGAAGTTAATTTTGCGTACGGGCTTTGTGAACGTAACAAATCAAAATAATACTTTCGTTGATTTGAATGACTTTTCAATCATGAAAAAGTGGAAGAAACAGCAACAAAAGTGGACGCCTGAAATTATATCACGATATGGCTTTTTGATTATTGACAATTGGGGATCGATTGATGAGTGGAGCATCTCATGGGAATTTCCAGATTTTATTCATCGAACATTTGCTGAATTTTTTATTGCACAATTTTTAATTGAGAATATTTATGAAGAAGATGACGACGATGTCAATGAACAAGAAATGGAACTGAGACTTTCGCTGCTGTATTGCGTGTTTTATAGGAAAGAATTTAATCAAATTAGTAGATTTATTTCTAATTTCATAGATTTACAATACGGCAATGGAAGTAAGAGCTTTTGCGAAGCTATCCATAAATTGACATCCGAAAAAGGCGCACATAAAATTTTTGCATCCAAATTCTTCATCCAAAATGAATCAATTCTGAAGTCTTTGTGGCATTTAGATGAATCAGAAGATTCTTTATTCCAAGAATTAATACATGATGAATCTACAACCTTCAATTACTTCCTTGATGTCCTTCAATGTGCTGTTGATGTCTTCGATTTAAATTGGCCTAATGCTACAGGATTTGTTGAATGGAAAGAGCATTTTGAACTGCTTAATGATGATGAAATTCAAGTTTATCAAGGAACTGCCTCAGAAAATTGGAATGTACAGAAAAATTTCATTCAGTTCCTGAATTTAATGATGAGAAAATGTTCAAAAAACCTGGAAAGAAAATTCTTTAAAAAGTTTTCAGGCGAAATGTTTTTGAATAATTTTATGAACTGCAAGATATTTGAGGTTGTCTTTCATAAATTAACAGAGTTGTTTAGTCAAAATGAAATTTTTGAATTTTTCATCCAAGCTGTTATAAATCCTCACAATTTCATAATTTATGAGGATGTGAAATTTGTTGAATTTATATGGTCTGAATTCCAAAATGTTTTTGGTGATAAATTCGTGAAAAGAATCTTGCTTTACAATTTTCAAGCATATGATCAGCCTTTATTGACAATCTTCAGAGTCAAAAGTAAAGCGATTCTCGAATTATACTTAAAACTGTACAAAACTATTTGCAAACCTAACGAAATTCAGCAGATTTTTCTCCCAAAATGCAAAGAATTCTTCTTCATTCAAATATCAAGCATAAAAATTGAGAAAATGAAAGATTTTGTGAAGTTTTTGACTGAATTATTTTTATCGTCCAACAATACTGATCATATGGATTTACTGTCAGCATTTTTCAAGCAAAGAGATCAAACTGGATATTCTTTATTAAGCTATATGAATGAAAAAGCAGCTATGGCCTCAAATAATACGGAAGATAAAGAGAAATTTGCAATTTTGAAAGACCTAGCATGTAAAGTTTTAGATTGTGATGAAGTTAGTGAAGTCTTGAAGTATGGAATCAAAAAGCCAATAACAACTTAAGCAATCAGCTTTACAAACAGCTTTACATAACCCAGCAGTTCTGAAATCATAAGAACTGCTCCAAAAAAGAACCCAATTTTCAGTTGATAATTTAGCTAACTCCAAACCTTTATAAGTAAACTGGAATAGATTTGCAGCTAGTAGATTTCAATAATAGTCAACTTCGATTTCTGCTTAGTGCTTAATGAAGTCGTAAAAGTTTATATAAAAATGTCGGAAAAGCAGAATAAATAAAATAATTAAATGCTTTAATTGTGATAAGAAGCAGTATAAAAACTCAAGCCTTATTTAATAATAATTCAGTTATTATTTTGGCTAGACATTCGATAATGGAACTCAGGGAATTTTATATTTTCAGTGTTTTATTTTTAAACTCAATTTTAGTGTCTGTAAACGGTTGCGAGAAAGCACGATATGATAATTATCGAGTTTATGAACTTTTCATTGCGAATCAAGAGCAGCTTGACTTGCTGAAGCAAATTGACGAATATCCTGATGGTGTGAGTATTTGTATTCAAATCTGTATGAAGCCTTAGTTTCTGTTGGAGCCTAAAGTTCTAGTTGACTTAAAATTTGTTAAGTCTCAGGTTCCATCACTGATCAAATTTAAATTTAATTGATTAATTCTTCACCATCGTTAGTATCGAATCATAGAGTATCCTGGCACAGTCAATAAAGATGTACAACTTATTGTTCCACCACATAAATTTGCTGATTTCAGTGAACTTGTTCAGACATTCCAAATCAAGTCACGTTTGATGATAACAAACCTTCAAGAGTAAGCACGACACAAATTTTCTAAAAATAATATACTTTTAATTCTTTTTAGAGTACTTGATAATGAACAGCCAAATCTTAAAAGAAGTAGTTCCTTTGATTGGACTCGATATTGGAAATTATCTGAAATTAATGATTGGCTTAATCAACTTGTTATCGAACATCCAAATAATACGGAACTGATAAAAATTGGTGAATCATATAAAGGTCTAGAAATATTGGGTTTGAAGCTCAATATCGGTAAAGTCAGTGGAAAAAAGCAAGTGATTTTTGAAGGCACAATGCATGCACGAGAATGGATATCTGGAGCTGTTGTAACGTGGATGTTAAATGAATTAATCACATCTGAAGATCCTGATGTTAAAGAGCTTGCTGCAACTTATGAATGGATTGTAATTCCAGTTGTAAATGTTGATGGATATGAATTTACATGGAAGTCCGATAGATTATGGCGAAAAACTCGCAGACCATCAAGTTTGCTCTGCTTTGGAGCTGACCCTAATCGAAATTGGGATAATTTCTTTAATAAAGGTGGAACATCTCTGAATCCATGTAGTGATCTTTATGCTGGTTCTCATCCTTTCTCAGAACCTGAAACAAAGCAATATTCTGATTACATTGCAAAGCTTCCAAATCTTTCTGCTTATTTCAGTTTTCATGCATATAGTCAACTTCTAATGCTGCCTTATGGATACACACATGAACTTTTAGAAAATTATGATGAACTTTATGAAATCGGATTGAAGGCACTTGAATCATTGAGATCTCGTTTTCGAACGGAATATAGATTAGGAAGCATAGCTAATATTATATGTAAGTTCAATTATAAGTTCATTAGCTAGTTTAAAGTCAATGTGTTTTTGTGATTGCAGATGTAGCAACTGGAAGCTCTCTAGATTGGGTGAAGTACAACTTGCATACAAATGTGACCTATGCATATGAGTTGAGGGACCGAGGACAATATGGATTTGTATTGCCTGCTTCACAAATTATTGACACTTCATTAGAAACTTTTGATTCAATTGTGACTATAATGAAGGAATCTAAGATTAAAGGAATAATTTAGAAAAATAAATCAGCTTTAAAATCAAAATTCTATTTTTATATTACATTGATGTTGCTTATGGCCCACGGAACAAAGTTTTTACAGCTCTGGCTTCCATCAAAAATGTTTTTGAAAAATCTTATCTCAATTCAATTTAAAGTCATTAAAAGATAATTAGAAAAGAGTTTATTGACTGCGGTGAACTCTTTCATTTCAAACAATTAATGAAAATTTTGTAAATCAGCACAAGTCGGAAAGTGATTGCCTATCTTAAATCACTAAGCTTTTTTGATTTGATAAAAGTTTATATATAAGTCAAAAAATAGTTCAACAATTATTCAGTTGTTTTTTTGGCTGAACTCAAAAGGTTTTAGCAATGGAACTGAGATATCTCCTCTTAGCTATTTTAGTGCTAAGCTTCTCTGTAAATTGCGCTGAGAAGGCTCGATATGATAATTACAGAATTTATGAAATTATTATCGAGAACGATGAACAATTAGAGCTTTTAAAGGACATTGAAAATAATTCTTATGGAGTAAGTTATTCTAAGCTAAAGTTAGACAACTTTAAAGAGTATTTAGCTACTAAAGTTTATTTCAGTACGAAGTGATGCGTTTTCCTAACTCAATTGACAAAAAAGTAGAAATTCTTGTTCCACCTCACAAACTAGGAGAATTCAGTGAAATTATTGAGAACTTTCAATTCAAATCACAATTGCTGATGAATAATTTGCAAGAGTAAGTATGTTATGCTTCTTAAGAGGAAGTCTAGTAGCTACATGATGTGAACATGTGAGTTCATAAAAATAATTAAAATCATTTCAGAATCATCGACAACGAACAACCAAAAGAAAGATCAAGTCGACTGGATTGGACAAGATACTGGACGTTAACTGAAATAACTTCATGGCTCAAGCAACTTGTTGCCAATCAACCCGATGATCTACAAATGATAAACATCGGCACATCACACGAAGGTCGACCAATCTTAGGAGTCAAACTTAATATTGGAAATGGAACTGGAAAGAAGCAAATTATTTTGGAAGGAACGATGCATGCTCGTGAATGGATATCAACAGCAACTGTTACTTGGATTTTAAATGAATTGCTGACATCAGAAATTCCTGAAATCAAAGTACTTGCTGCTAATTATGAATGGATTATTCTTCCAGTGATAAATGTTGATGGATATGAATATTCATGGACAAGTGATAGAATGTGGAGAAAGACACGTCAACGGTTCGGTAGACTTTGCGTTGGAGTCGATCCAAACAGAAATTTCGACAACTTTTTCAATCAAGCAGGAACATCACCTAATCCTTGCAGAAACACTTATGCTGGTCCGTTCCCATTCTCAGAACCTGAAACAAAACAATACTCTGAATTTATGGCAAATCTACCGAACCTAGCGGGTTACTTTAGTTTCCATTCTTTTGGACAAATGTTGTTGCTTCCATATGGATACACCCAGGAACTTCTTGATAACTACGATGAACTTTATGAAATTGGACAAAAAGCTGTAGCTGCATTGAGAGTAAGGTATAGGACTAGGTATCGATTGGGAAGTATTGCTAATGTTTTATGTAAGTTCATGATTTCAATTTAAACTCACTACTTGCCTGGCATTTAATGAATAGCTAGTTAAAGCCATCTATAATTTTTTTATAGACTACGCAACTGGAAACTCATTAGACTGGCTGAAATACAATTATCAAACTAATGTCACCTACGTGTATGAGTTGCGTGATCGCGGACTGAACAGATTCATCTTACCAGCTTCACAAATAATCCCTAATTGTCTAGAAGTTTTTGATTCACTCTTTGTTATCCTAACTGAAGCACAGAAGAAAGGTATTGCTTAAATATCAACTATAAATTTAAAGCTGTGATTCTATTAAATAATGTCATCAATGTCTCTTCTTTATTGCCAATTCATTCCCAAATGACTCAATAAAATTCAATAAGAAGAAATTGTTGCACGAAAACTAGGTTATTATTGCAAATGTCTGCATTTCTGCGATGATATAATCGTATTGATCTATATCAGCTTTAAGTCTTTTGTTTTGTGATCTTCATAAATTTCAGAGACAAATATTCACTTCAGTTTCAACCAAAATGCAGCATAACAATAAGATGGGATTAAATTTTATTGTTTAGTGTCAAAGAAGTTTTATGACGAAAGCAGTCGATTAAAAAGCCATAAATCCCATGAGAGAATCAAATAAGTAAGAAAATAGCGAACGTGACACCCACAAATTCATGCTTGAACTAATGAGCGAAGCTGAATAGAGGATAAGAAGAAGCGATTGATTGAAAAATTGCGAAAAAAATTTGTTCTTTTTATTTTTATGTGTGACAATCATGATGATGTCTTCATGTACATTTCATTTGTAGTCGTTGGATGTCGCATAGACAAAAAGATGTGCAAGAAATGCAAGAGAGAACAAAAAGAAGTTCACAAAAGTCTCATGGATGAATAAAAGGGAAGCAAATCATGCAATTTTCAAGCGACAGAAGCTGTTGATGAAGCTACTTTAATTCATACAGCCGCAGCACAGTTCAACTTAATAAATTTTATTGCACTTAATTTCATCTTCTTTTAATTTTTTTTTGGTTCAGTCAAAAAAGTAGGAAAAGTTATGCAAGTCTTAACTTCACTTTTCATTCTGCTGGAATTAAATGGAATTGAATGCAGTTAAGTGAAGATGCAACAGCATGCATATGGCACGAGCTGATGAAATTAACCCAAACAAATAATTGTACTATAAAAATTTCTTGATTCTGAATTAAAAAGCAATTAGAGTGCATGACGATGATGCCAGGTGATGATTGATGCACTCAACAAAATTATTTTTTTTTTTGCATAATTGAAATTGATAATTTTAAAAGACCTAAATGTGGACATCAAGATCATTAATCACTAGCTATAGACACTATTTGTCAATTCTGTATTGAAATGCAGAAGATCACAATCGGAATGCTCACGTTTTTGGCTATTTTGTTGCATTATATCCACAACATTCATCTATGTTTCCTCATCATCATCACTTCTATAATTCATAATTTACCGCGAATAATTAAAAATTACATATTTTTAGGGTTCGGACATAAAAAACCAATTTTATTTGAAGTATTTGAATGATAAATTGACTCAAATAAATGACGAGTGAGTGATTTAATTTCATACACACAAGATCACACTTCTTCATTCACTTCTTTTTGCTTGCTGTGCAAGGTTAATGTGAGTTTAGTTTGAGGAGCTCAAAAGGTGCATTTGAGAATGTAAAAAGACTTACAAATAATTGCAATGAGACAATGATGATGCACAGTCATACGACTCAAGGTAAATTAAAATCATGCTCGAATCTAATTAAAATCAAAATCATAACGAACTCATCGAATAAGACACAGACTGCATTTTCCATCACTTTTAAGTGCATCCACAACTCGGGTGATTTATGTCATCGGTAATAAATTTTTATTATCTTGCTTTAAATGCAATTTTTCTCGAGTGATTGTTGGCAATTTGTTTTGATTCTTTTCAAGTATTGGAGAAGGAAATCTAATAATTGTTTCGAACGTCTCAAGATCATTATTATTCATGTAATTGATGTGAATAGTGAGGAAAAATTCCGCAAACGCATCTCCAACGACCTTGCATCTAAATAGCAACAAATTTATCATCTCATATTCAATTCACATGTGCTTCTACGCCAAAACTGTAATGTTGGTACACAAATCAGCATCAGCATTAATAATTTATGGTACATTGTTTCTTCTTACATATTTAAATCTTTTCATCATCGCCATTATCATCTCTGCACGCTTTGCTCTCGGCTTTTTGGACATCTCAGAGAGTTTTGTGCATAAGAAATGTTTCGTTAAGTTTGATTTGGCGCTCTCGTGCTGCACTTGAGAGTGAATGTTAAAATTATTTTTTTACGCTTGCGGTGAACGTCACTCTCGTGCATTAAACCACAGAAAAGATCTTCATTTTAACTTTGTACTTACCATAAACAACTTCAAATTTGGATGCTGGGTTATAAGTCCAGAGATTATAAGTCCAGATACAAAAATCGTGCACAGAAAATTATAAGTCCAGAAAATAAAAGTGACTAAAGGTTTATAAGTCCAGATACAAATTGCACTTGGACTTAAAAACCTCACGTGCAGTTTATAAGTCCAGATACATTTTTCTGGACTTATAATCTTTGAAAATCATTTGAAACTTATTTAACTTATTTTAAATTTTTTTCTTTAAGGCAATTCTACACATGAATTTTTGAAAACTTCACACAAAGAATTCACATTTAATAATTTTTTTCCTCTAAAGTACCTTATATATCCTTTTAAACTGCTGTGTTTTATTATACCCCTTGATAATAACTTATTAAGATTTTTCATGCTTTAATCAAGGATAAATTTCAATTCTTTGGAATTAAAAATTAAAAGTCAACTAGTGTATCGGGTAGAAACCCAATGCGGATTATATTCACACCGTACCATCAAAAGTCTTATGGATAGACCAAGATTTGCTCAGCTGAGCTTCGCTAAGCATATGTTTGAAGGTTTAAAGCTTAACGAATATTCTTTTAAAGTTTTTTTAAAAAAATTTTTCATCCAAAGTTTAATTTTATAAAAATCACAGTAAACTTTTTTATTTGAAAAATTCGTCAGAAAGGAAAGTTTTTTGCTCTTTCTGAAGCAACGGCTGTTCCTACCTTACCTAAAAACAATACAGCTCTTCTATAGAGCAGCACGGATCAAATGTAAAAAACTAGAAGTCTCTACAATGTCTCGTTATTGAGATTTCTTGCTGATTAACTTGCTTGCTTACAGAAAGCGTATTTTGCGATTTTCTCAGCAATGCCGCAACCAATTTGAAATCCGTTTCTTGAAAATTATGTAAAATTTCAGGCACAAACTTTTCATCTCTGAACATTTTAAGCTATCTTGTTCCATTTCCTCACAAAATTTGAAAAACTGATTTTTCAATCTGAACAAAACCAATAGATTCACACGTAAAAACGGTGTGAACATACTTACATTTTTAACGAATCAAATTCTCATATTGTATGGATCAAAAAATTCACAAAAAATAAAGAAAAGTAAAAATGAGATGTTCATTACGAGTATACAGAAATGTAAGATTCGTCCTGCTCCTGATCTATCTTATTACTTTCTCATATAAAGTAAAAAAGGAGCGTTGATCGAAACCCAACTGGTGCTAGAGTAAAATTGAGAATGTATGAAATCGAAAAAACTTCAGTCATCTTCGATTTTCTGATTGATTTCTTTTAAATCGCTAATTCAAAATGCTTCTAAAAGTGCTATAAACATAAGCTGCTACATTTAAGATTCAGTAAATATTTAGTGATAAAGATTTTTTATGATGTTCAACTTTAAGGCACTAGGTTCAATAACAGAGACTTAATAAAGAAAAAAAAATCGAAATAGTTTCACAAATAATTTTCAAGGATTATAAGTCCAGAAAAATGAATCTGGACTTATAATCGCACTAGAAGTTTATAAGTAAAATTTATAAATTTTCTGGAATTATAAACCACACGTAAGGTTTATAAGTCCAGATATAAAATGTACCTGGACTTAAAAACCTCTCGTGCAGTTTACAATTCCAGCTGTATTTGGGCCTGGACTTATAAATTGCACGTGAGGTTTTTAAGTCCAAGTGCAATTTGTATCTGGACTTATAAACCTTTAGTCACTTTGATTTTCTGGACTTATAATCTCTGGACTTATAGTTTCTGGACTTATAACCCAGCATCTCAAATTTGTGTTGCTAATTTTTTTTTTGAACATTTTATTAGCTGAAGTCGTTGAAGTGGCTTGGTTTTGTTTGAATTTTGTCTTCGTTTGGTCTTCGTGGAGATTTGTTATAAGGATTAATTGGGATTAACTGTGTTTTATACTTTTAATTCTTTATTCTAGCTAAGTTGGGTTAAACTTATTTTCAGCATTTATTGCGACATTTGTATTAGATACTTCATTCTATTAGCATTTAGGTAGTCACCAACACTACCTCTTATTTTCCAATCATTGCCAAACGCAAGACCAAATATCAATATGCGCTTAGTCCAGAAACTATCAATTCCCAATCAACCACTTCTTTATTCAATTTAATTCCAGTTGAAACTGAAAGGCATCAGATGTTCACATGGAATAATCGTACATCATGGCAAACAAATAGTGCAACACTTTCACAATGAAGAATGAATTATAGAAATAGCAAAAATGAATAACATAATGCGACTTGACATGAGATCTAAATTAAATCACGATTTTATCATAAAATATTTTTATATTTTTTATTTTTTGAATGCTAAGGTGGAAATATTTACAATGTACCATTATTATTATTCTATTAAACCATCGATCGATGTAGCTTAGAGGCAATCAAAGATGAATTTAGACGTGCTAACGTCCAGTAAACAATGAATATTAAATGAGAACATACAATAATGTATTGTTTACTTTATATCATTAAGAAGATGATCACGAGTGGCACATATACCTGAAGTTCTTTCAGATAATTTGCATAATTTAAGCTACAATTCAATTTTATGCTCCAAAAAATTTCCATTCTTACAGAAGTCAATGATTGATGAAGAGCAAAGATGAAATTGGTGTTTTCGCACGCTTTTATTTGCAGTTTCGCATCGGCTATTTTACTATTGCAATAGTCAACAGTCATTCGAAGATGTAATAGACTGATTAAGTTGTTATTGCGCCAGCTCAGGTGAGATTTGATGGAAATTAATGATTGTGATGAAGATTTAGTAATGCGGCATAACGATTGTGGAATTTTATGGATTGGACAAACAGAATTTCACGTATTGTGTGTCTTTAGAATTGAGAATTAGAGTAGAAAGTTTGCCACCGAGACCAAAGGTCTTTTATGTAAACACAAACTAAGAGATGAATATCATGTTCTACTCTATAGCTGAACATCATTTGAAAAATCCTCAATTAAAATGATTGAATTCCAATCTTGACCTCAACCACATGACAAGAACAAAACAATTACCTTAATTAAATTATTTTCAATTATAAAACTTGATCTTAATATATTATATTTTTGAAAATTCTCAAACCAGACCAAAACTGTTGCCAAATGCCCTTGAACTCTAAAATAAATCTTCTCAGGTTGCGTGTAAGGCATCAAGGAATTTAAAGTTCAGCATCATCTCATAAAAATTGTTCTGACATGAGTTAAGCAGCAGCTTCTAGGACTATTAAGTATTCTACATGAATATTAATCTTTTTTCAGTAAAGCCATCCATTAAGCACATGAAGAATTTAAGTAATTAAGAAATTATATTACGTCAACTCAGTTACATCAACCCAAGTTGCTTGAGGATATATTTTCAGAAATCAGAAATTTTGTCATTCCATTATTAGTCACATCAAGCCTTCAAGCATCATAGGAGAGAATTAAGAATTAATTTTTGCACAACAATCATGCAATGAAGATTATTTATTTAATGATGTGTAAATTGCAACATTACTTAATTTTGACACGACAAAGTGCAGGAGTAGTGATGAGAAGGAGGTGGAAAGGTAAGATACAGACACAGGCAGTGAGCATAATATGGAAATTGATATGCTTGACCCAATTGAATGTGAAACATGATGCTAGGAAAATTATCTAATTTTTATTATTATTTTCTTCTTTGAACTTATAATTGAAATTATTTTTGCCATTATAATGCATTTATGCTTGTTATATCTCAACCTTGATTGCACTAACAAGCCAAATCGTTCGCCTTAATGCACAATGGCAAATGATCTCAAAGTGTCAAAAAAAAATCTTGCTTGTTTCTGTTTTAGTTGCGTTGCGTTGAACTTTTGTCTGTGAGAATTCAACAATTAATCCAGTGATAACATTTTGTGGCATTCAGCTTAAATGTGAGACTACTTCTTTAAAGATTTTATTTTCGCATGAAAAATTATGCAACTGAAATGAGCAGAGTTGGTGGTGCTGGCCTTGGATTTAGGCTTTGATTTAAAGTTTGGGAGGTGATAGATTTTGAATATTTTTTTATATAGCGTACAATCATTTGAGCCTTAGTATTTTTATATTTTTGTATGGCGTACAATCATTCTAGCTTTAAACTTTTAAATTAATGCTGAGCAAAGCTTGATTTATTCACAAGATTTTTGATGGTACGGTGTAAGTATATCCAAATTGAATTTGATTTTTTTGTTGATTTTAAAGTTAAAATGAAAGTTAAACCCTCAAAGCTTTTGATATAAAGTAGTTGCAGGCCCTTTAAAATCTTTAACATTAACACCCAATTCATACCCTGACTCTAGAACGAAAGCCGTACGAAGCTTATAGTTTGAGAAGTTTTGACAAAATGGGTGTCAGGTGTGGAGTAAGGTGGGTCCGAGTTCAATGGGGCTTGTGAAGCCATGTAAAGTTTTGTAAAGCCATTTATATAGTTTTCTTAGGATTAAGGGAGTCCAAGTTTTAAGGGGCTTTGTAAAGTCATAAAATTATATTATTTATTAATAGTAGTTCGATTTAACTAATTAGTCAAGCATACCAACTTATTCAATCATATTCAAGCACTGATATCCAACTCTGAAATAATTGTAACTTAAACTCAGCTTTTTTTTCATACAAAAAATCTCATTTATTTATTTATTCATGGATTTGAACGATAAGTATAATGAAATACATTGAAGAAGTATAAAAATTTACAGGAATTATAAAAATTATAAAATAAATTGTCATGGCTTTATACATGAATATTATATTCATTAAAAAATATTTGTAATTTTTTTTGTGATTTTTTTTAATATTCTCATTTTGAAAATCTTCAATATTTCCTTTAACTCTATCAATATATATAAATGTAGTACAATATGGTAAATTTGAATTTAATTTAATGCTTTTTTTATAACCAACAAAAAATTATAATAATGATGATTAATTGATTCCATCTTCCCGTATAGATGATCAATTTGTCGTCATGTCAAAGTCACGAATGCAAAGCTTTACATGAGCAATTTTTTTTGCGGTTTTTCTCTATTTTCTGTTCCCGTTCTTCTTGCCTCGAAAGGTCAATATTGCGATTATCTCGTCTCGCTTTACATTTATTGCACTCGTGACTTAGCTCATAATTACTTTGTGCTCGTCTGTCAATTACTAATTGAATCATTTGCAAAACATAATTTCATTGATAAAAAAAAAGCATTGAAATTTAATTCTCGAGTGTGATCAATTGTGTCTGCGTGCCTTATTCTTATGTTGATTGTTTGTTTTTTTGTTTGTCTAATTTGTAGATCCATTTGTTTGGCGGGGGATTATGAGGGTAGGGGTTGGTCAATTGTACAAGTATCAAGTATTTATAGGGTTTATGGAATGGTAACTTTAGTTTTTTTTTATAGCAGGAATTATAAGGAATAGGAGGTGACAGGTGTAGTATTAAAATGTTGGGTGATTTTTCTATAGATTTGGGATTTTACATTTGATGATATGCTGATTGGTTTGCTTATTTTGCTGTTGAAGACTACTAAACTAGGAGTTATGAACTAAGATTTATATTATTTCGAAGCTAAGACAATATGTTGAACAGTGCCTGATTCTTTGAAAATATTAAAGTTTATTTTACAGATTTAAAAGCCAAAAGAGCTAAATAAGAAGCATGTAATCTGTTCCACAACAAAATCAGCACAACTCAGAAGGAACTATTGAGTAATTTCCAATTGTATCACTACAACCAATAACTTATCACTTTGCAGCCAAAAACATAAATCACTATTGAATCTCTATTTCCTGATCATACTAAGTTTACTCAATAATTCCTTCCTTCAACATAATGACAACAGGAAAATCCCAAAAACTAATCAGAGAGGAGATTATGAAAAATATTATAAAGTAGTAAATAATAAGGAGATCATTAAGTAATAATTAATGTAGAAAGATAAGCATATTTATGTATGATAGAATGTCGTAGTATAAAAATGACTTTAAAGCAGGGATGAATTAATTAATTAATCAGTTTATCAGTAATCATAGAAGCATAACCTTTTTCATTGAAATAACTCTTTATCCTCGTCTTGGTGGCAAGTAGTCGCGACTTGGTGTTGTTTGTGTTTGTGGAGCTCCGGCAGCTGGGTAAGATGTATCGGCTTGTGGTGGATTGTATGATGATGGCACATTTGATGGACCTCCAGCACTTGGATATGGACCTTGAGCTGGTGGATTTTGACCACTTGGGTATGGTCCTTGTGGGGCTTGAGCTGCAGCACTTGGATATGGTCCCTGAGATGAAGGAACTTGACCACCAGCGCTTGGATATGGTCCTTGTTGTGCTGGGTAGTTTCCTCCTGATGCTGGAGCTGATGGTTGATATGTGTTGGGACCTGTTGGACCTGTTGAGCCAAATGATGGAGTTTGTGGACGTCCTGGTGCTGGATATGGACCAGTAGCTCCAGTTGGACCAGCAAAATCGTTAGCTACTGCACCTTGACCTGCTTGTTGTCCAGTTTGTGAGTTATCATACAAATTAGCATTGTTAGCATAAAGTCCTGGAGCTGAATTGCAGTCAAATTGATTCCACCAGACGCAAACTAAAGTTTCTTGTGAGAAGATTGTTCCATTTGGACAGAGGAAATCGAAAGTTTTGTTTAATGCACAGATATGGAAGACTTGACATCTAGCTTCAACATCAGCATAGTATCCTGGATATTCTTGTTGATTACAGTCAAATGAAGTTTCTGGAATTTCTGAGTAGATTGGATAGTCAACATCTGGTTCTCCGGGAATAGCTGAGTAATCTCCTTCTTGGCTCTCATCTTGCTGACCTGATGATGATCCACCTGAAGATGATGATGATGAAGATACTGAACCGGGACCGCTTTGGAATCCACCACCTACAATATTTCCTTGTCCGAAACCGCTTGGGCCTGAAACAGCTGGTCCACCGAATGATGCGCTTGCAATTACAGGTCTTTGTGGTTGTCCTTGTCCTGGATATGGTCCACTAGCTGGTCCACTTTGTGGTGGAGCATACGAACTAGCACCGACATTTGTTGGTCGTTGTTGTGGACCTGATGGATATCCAGTTGTACCACTTGGAGGTGCTGTTGGGAAATCTGTATCAGCCTGACCTGGATAATTATATCCACCTTGTGCACTTGGTTGATTTGGTGAGAATGCTGGAGCTGAATAAGTTGGCGTTGTTGGGAATCCACCTTGAGCTTGTGGCTGGAATCCACCAGCACCACTTGCAGGTCTATCATAGTTGTATCCATTTTGAGCCTAATTAATAAGATATTAAATTATGAATAGATATTTCTCGGGAAATAAATGACTGCTTTTTAATTACCATAGTTATTCTCAGGCTAACAGCCAACAAAGCTGTGTGGAAAGAGAAAACAAATAAAAAATTAGTGAGAATTCTTTTTGATTGCAATTTGCAGCAATTTGTCATAAGTAAAATGATTTTTGCAATTGCCGTGCATTTTTATCTTGATGATCATTATGGGAGATGAGAAAAATACACTAAAAAGTGTTAAAGCAATCAAGATAGATTGCAGATAGTTAAAGAAACAAAGCAACTTCCAGTCACATTCACAAAATGTTTTACTATAGTTGGGTTAATTATTAAAATCAATCAAAATGTTTGAAATGTTTTGGGTCTTATTCAATTATCGATGAAATCATTAACTTTTAGCGAATATCCAATTGATGAAATTATGTACAAGTCAAGAAGAGGAGTTGAAGAAAAGGTAAAGTTTGTATGCAGTGTCAATTATGTGATATGATTGATTGTTTCGAAGACTTTTAAAAGTCGCGATTCATAATAAGCAAGAAGAAATGATGCTAGTTAAACTAAAATAAATTGGCAGAGATGACAAGGAACATTGAAATTGTGTTGTTGTAGATTTTCTTCTTTAATTAAGTAATTTGTGTAAAATAAAATAACTTTGTAAGGATTATAGAAAAATTGAATTAACATTATTGTTGTTTTTTGGGCTGGATATTGGTAATTGTTAGGCTGTTAAACTCTTTGTTGCGTAATGTGGATGATTATGGAAAAGATTAATAGATTTACTAATGATTTATGAATTTTACAATGGATTTATAGAGTTTATTAAGAATCTGCAAAGTTTGCTAAGGGCTTATTTCTTAAATTGCTGGTTATTCGATTACTATTAAGTTTTCTTTAAGATTTCTCAAAACAAGACAGAATTCAGAAAACTCAAGAGAAGGCTCTCTAAAATTTGAACTAGTCTTTTGTGTGAAATCATTATAAGCTATTTAATACGCGCCTGACATACTAGGTTCACTATAGAAACTAATAATTTCACTTTCTAGTGCAATATTATATTGAAAAGTTCAATTATAATTGCATCACCAGAAGCTATACAATTCCCAAAACACAACTCTTTTATCTCAAAATAATGACTAATATCTTACAAAAAAATAAGTTTATTAATAAACTTTAAAAGCTCAACATAATCATTTTCAATAAAAGCACTCAATACAAAATGATCTGCAGTTTATTAAACTACAATAAGGAATTATTGGTCCATACATAATTTATCACAATTGAATCTAATTTCTTGTCATTGTTTATCGCGAAAATATTATGAATATTTGCGACAAAAAGTATGTTAAGCCGACAGATAATTCATAATCACATTTTATGCTCCTCACTTTTATCTTTCTTTTATCTCATTCGGTGTGAATTTTGGTCAATTGTTCATGTAAACTAGCTCGTATGTTTTGTAATACTCACCAATTAATAATGATATATTTTTCATGTTGAAATAATTTCTTTTTTGTCTTTATTTAAGTCACCAAAAACTGAACCTAATTATGATAAATTTATAACAAATTTAATTTATTTTTTCCGAATGTTTTTCAATTTACTGAATTCACAAACTTATTAAAATTCACAAGAACTTTTTAAATTTCACACAGAATTAAATTCACTGAATCTCGCTTAGTTGGACGAGTTTGTATGAAAATAGGATAGAAAAATAAAATAAATAAAATATTAGAAAATAAGGATATATGAAACAAGATGAGTTTCTTAATCCGATGTACAATTCGAACTGATTTGAATAGTCATCCACAGCATTCTATTTATACAAAAAAAAAAGTTTTTTTTTTCTTTACTTCTATAAAAACTATCAAAATATATTCATCGTTTAGTAAGTGAATGGATGTATAGCATCATTTTCGGTATGCTGTAAAGCTTTGTACATGAGGACCACCTCCACTTACTAAGTATTACATGCATCCATGAGAAAAAATAATAAGATGCAATAAGTCTCTCTTTCTCATTCTTTCGTTGATTGAGAGTCGCAAAAGAGAAGAAAAAAAAATAAAAGTTTAACGAAACTTTACCGGCGCATGTGAAAATAAAAATAAATGGGATTTGTCTACTTTATGCTGCACATTGTGTATTTCATATTAAAATCAATGGCAATTGACCTTCGTGGAGTTGATTCAAGTACTTGAGCATTATAATCCTTTTGACAAAACTAGATCATGCATCATACATCTCGTCTTTTTGTCTTTTTTGGATTCGTGCATTTAATTTTTGCTTTATTTCATGCGAATTCTTCAACTAGCATGACTGCACGATTTGTTATGAGGGAGAAAAGTTGATGTAATTAATGAATTTTGCGAATTTGAAAATTAATTTGGGAATTCTGAGGGTAAGTTGGGTAAGATTGCGATGGTTTTGATTTTAATTAAAAGAAGTCATGAATTTTGGGGAAAAATCTTTGCTTCAAAAACTGTTCAAAAACAACAAATTTGATTTTACTCGTGAACTTGGCTGGTTTCTTGAACTTCATGCACTAGAAACTGTTGGGCATATAAGGTTCAGTAGTAGGCTTCTAAAACAACTATACTAGATCCAACGGTGCGGAACTGAAAAATTACATTTTGATCATTTTTTATCATTATTGATCATTTTTGATCATTTCATTAGTACGACACCCTCGACAAAATCATTTGTGTTCAATAAAATACTGAATTCTAAAGAAATAGGTTCAAGATTTATTTTCTAATCCATCAAAACATATCTAGAAGAAAAAAACAAGTTTTCGAAATGAAAATTAATTTCTGTAGCGCTCTTTCGTACCGTAAAACAACAGTTGTGATCATCTGTAATAAAATAAAGTAACATACTCCTCTGCAATAAAGATTATTTGACGCAATTCTCGTTATAAAACAACTTACGAGACACAACTTTTAGCAACAAAGTAGCTGAAAAAGTTATGTAAAAAAAATAAATTCTTATCTCTGATTGAAGGCAACAAGGAATTCTGACATGTAATTCATTAGACTCTGAATCATGTACAAAACATTAGAAGTACCAACAAAATTTTAATATTCAATTGTTCACTGACATTGTAGAATAAAGAGCTGATGATGATCGTGAAAAGTAAATCGACCAACGATCCATTATTCATCTCCATCAAGACAATCTCTTTAGTTGTAGATGCAAGTTATAGAAAATGAAATTTATGTAGCTTCTGTAAATTTGTACATCCAGCAGATCATAAACTGTAAATTTTATGCTAATATGTAATAGCATAACTAAAGAGATAATTTAAAATTTGTTGTCTATGGAGAGAAAATAATTGTAAATCTATACTAATTGGACTTTTTTAATTTGATTGTAATGTTTTGCAATGCATCGGCATTTCGGTATTGCCCTACATTTCGATGCTACAATTCTCGAAACACAAAAAATTTCTTCTCTTATTCAATTTTGCGCGATTCTTCTTTAAGTATTGAAATGTCTGGCAATGAATGGACAGTAAGAAGAAGAGACATCGATGACAATGAGTTTAAGTAACAATTTAATTGAACACTATAAATTACATGATGCTGCTTATTTTACTAATCTGATCTCTTCTTAACAACATCATCAATGACGTAAATAAAGCATAAAGAATGAGGTCTTTGAGACCGTATTGTGCAAAATTGTTTGGAATTTTTTGTAACAGTTTTTAGCGCATTTTTGAAACTTGTTTCAAAAAGGTAGCTTAATAACGCACTTTGGTCGGCTGGTCGGCTGGTCGGCTGGCTGGTCGGCCGCTAAGAAAAACTTTTAATCTAGACATCGTAGAGAGTTCTAGTTTTTTGCATTAGTTCCGTTATATCGAGTTATTGGCCCGCCGGACATTTAAAAATCTTAAAACAGTGTATTTATGCTATAATTAATGAATTTTTGTTTTGTTTTCAGTGTAACCTGCTCAAATTTTATTTTACCTCTATAATTTCAATATTACCTCTATAATTTCAAAAAATTTCTAGCCGTTGTAAAATTTGAATTTCAAAAAACCGTTAAATGATAAACTTTTTTTGTATGGAAATTCATTGGAACAAATTATTTAATTATACTATAATTAATTTTTTCGTAGTGCAACTTATAGCGGGAAAATTTCAAACTATTTATTGACCGTTAGAAAATTTGAATTACAAAAAAATGTTAAATGATAAACCCTTTCTGTATGAAAATTCATTGCAACAAATTATTTAATTATACTATAATTAATTTTTTCGTAGTGCAACTTATAGCGGGAAAATTTCAAATTATTATTATATTGACCGTTAGAAAATTTGAATTACAAGAAACCGTTAAATGATAAACTCTTTCTGTATGGAAATTCATTGCAACAAATTGTTTAATTATACTATAATTAATTTTTTCGTAGTGCAACTTTTAACGGCAAAATTTCAAATTATTTACTGACCGTTAGAAAATTTGAATTACAAAAAATCGTTAAATGATAAATCCTTTCTGTATGGAAATTCATTGCAACAAATTATTTAATTACACTATAATTAATTTTTTCGTAGTGCAACTTATAGCGGGAAAATTTCAAATTATTATTATATTGACCGTTAGAAAATTTGAATTACAAAAAACCGTTAAATGATAAACCCTTTCTGTATGGAAATTCATTGCAACAAATTGTTTAATTATACTATAATTAATTTTTTCGTAGTGCAACTTTTAACGGCAAAATTTCAAATTATTTACTGACCGTTAGAAAATTTGAATTACAAAAAATCGTTAAATGATAAATCCTTTCTGTATGGAAATTCATTGCAACAAATTATTTAATTATACTATAATTAATTTTTTCGTAGTGCAACTTATAGCGGGAAAATTTCAAATTATTTACTGACCGTTAGAAAATTTGAATTACAAAAAATCGTTAAATGATAAATCCTTTCTGTATGGAAATTCATTGCAACAAATTATTTAATTATACTATAATTAATTTTTTCGTAGTGCAACTTATAGCGGGAAAATTTCAAATTATTTACTGACCGTTAGAAAATTTGAATTAAAAAAAACCGTTAAATGATAAATCCTTTCTGTATGGAAATTCATTGCAACAAATTATTTAATTATACTATAATTAATTTTTTCGTAGTGCAACTTATAGCGGGAAAATTTCAAATTATTTATTGACCTTTAGAAAATTTGAATTACAAAAAAACCGTTAAATGATAAACCCTTTCTGTATGGAAATTTATTGCAACAAATTGTTTAATTATACTATAATTAATATTTTCGTAGTGCAACTTTTAACGGCAAAATTTCAAATTATTTATTGACCGTTAAATAATAATCCTTTCTATATAAGCATTCATTGTAACTTTTTGTTAATTACACTAAAATTAATGATCTTCTAATCTTCTCATGATCTGTAAATGAACGCAAAATAATTACATAATCAAATACTGATCGCTAACACAAAAATGCGCTTAAGTCCCTCGATCAATAACACGAGGACTTCTGTAATTTTTTTTCCTAAAAAGCAAAAGTCGAAAGAAAGAACGAAGGAATGAAGAAGAGAAGGTGAAAAATGACATATTTAAATGACATGATCAGTGATTGAAGTAAATTGAAATCGACATAAATTTGTCTTGATGCATATGTAACAAGGTTGTGATGAGACTGCTTGAGGTCATAGATTGGATAAAGGATGGAAGAATGTATGGAATTGCTGTGAATTTATGATTTACGGAAACTTGTTAAAACTTTTTGAATGTTAAGTTCATTAATAAGTCTCATTTGTTATATTTGATGGGGATTTATGGTATTTTTCCTTAACGGATGACTTTTTGTTTTAAAAAATCTTGAAATCCCTTCCCAAGAGCCAATTCCAATGTTATAGATAAGAGATGATCCTCAACTCTCAAGATTAAAATTTGATTGGAAAAAACTTTTTTGTTGCTGTTTGCTACTTTTTCAACTTCAACATTAAAGAAAATGAGCAAATTAAATTTCACGTGACATTAGACATAGTAAAACATATATGAGAGTACAGCCTATTATACAATTTAAACATTCTTTTAAAATTGAGGATGATCTGATGTGCTATATAATTTTCATGATATTAATATCCGTTTTCATACAAATTAATTACATTTCATCATGAAATCGAACTTAATTCTTAGTAATTTACTTAAAATATTCAAAAATCATTATTATTAAATTTTCCTAAGTATATTAATTATTTTAAATCTTCTAGTTTCATGCCTAAATCAATTTAGCATCATTAAGTCAAAACATTTTTATTGCCAAATATTAAGCTCAATTGAATTAATCTTCAAATTAGTCTTGTACTCCATATAACCATATTGGATAAGTTTAATGGCAAAAGCATCGAATGCCACGAGTTTCGGTGCAAGACAACATCACTGCAAATTTAAATTTTCATTGACTTAACTGTTGGGGGTACAAAATTATATTTAGCACCTCATTAGCTCATAACCATAACAATAAATCACTGCAAAATTTTAAATGCTCATTGGATCTTTTTTTTATTTGTGGTTTACTTGAAATGGAGACGAAGCTGATGATACATCCGTAAAGATATAATTATTAAATCACAAATTATGGATCATAACTTATAATTGAACTCATTCTGTAGATGAAAGATTCAATATCATTACATAAGTTGAAGACCTAGCATTTAAAACAATTTCCTAGTAGTTAATTGCCAATTGTCAATCACATGCTTCACCTGCTGACGATATAAAAGAACAATGAAGAATTGGCTTGAACTTTTTTGCCATAAATTGGGTTAAAAAAATCGTCATTATGATGAAATTGTATTTATCACACTTGACTATTGCTAAACAATATGAAATTTATTGTGAATGAATTATGAAATTGAATAAATATGTCGTGCAAAAATCATTTATTTTCAATTTGTTTCTAAATCATCAAAACGTATGATCGCTAATGATATTTTTATGTAGTATATAAATTCATATTATTATGCATTTGAAGCATATTCATGCTTTATTTAAATGAAGCAAGTAAGAAATCATTATGATTTGGCTGAATTGAGTGTTATTAATAGCTTTAATCGAGTTCTTAATGGATTTTCACTTTCATTTGTTGTTAATAATTGATTTACTTTGAAAACACATTAAGGAATCCTTAATGGGAACGTGATTTGTGGCTTATGAGGTCTTTCACGTGCCTGTAATTAATTAGGATTGTATGGAAGCTAAACATTGAACCTAAAGTTTCAAAATCTTAAAAAAATTTATAATTCAAATTCTGAACTTTAATAATCCAAAGCGAATTCAAATCCCGAACTGAAAAGTTAAGACCGAATTCAGAATTTTATAAAAACCGTTAACTGCGGACAATATGCATCTCAAATCAATTGCCATTAGTTCCAAATTAGCAGAAACAGAAGCTTCATTAATCCATTCCAAAGTATTTATTACAGCCAGCAATTCGAAACAATTGTCATGTTGAACATGTGTTTTACATGAATTAAGTGTCAAAACAGTTTTCAACATCATCATAAGTTATAAGTTGGTGGAAAAACTAGAAAAGATGTTTCAATATTAAATCAATTAATTATCCAAATCCTTTCACTTTCAAAAATATTTTTATTGACATGATTCTTTTTTTTCGTCTTCATAATATCAATCAGACATAATAGCATATTGTTTTATTTTATCGACTGAGAGCTAGCGGAGCTTGATAAACTTTCGTATTTAATAATATTAAATTCAATTAAATTTATTTTTCCATATTTACATGTAAATATTGTTATTGTCTGTCACTAATTGGTCGGCCTTGAGAAGGTCATCGATTAGACATCGATTGATGAATTCTCAATCTTTTAGGAAGTGAATTACAAATAAAAGCGAAGCTCCTTATATCGACTATTTAAATCTTCATATTTATTTATTACAATTAAGTAAAATGATGCAATTACAATCTCCTTAGTAAAAATTTATTACCGATGACATAAATCACCCGAGTTGTGGATGCACTTAAAAGTGATGAAAAATGCAGTCTGTGTCTCTCTCGATGAGTTCGTTATGATTTTGATTTTAATTAGATTCGAGCATGATTTTAATTTACCTTGAGTCGTATGACTGTGCATCATCATTGTCTCATTGCAATTATTTGTAAGTCTTTTTACATTCTCAAATGCACCTTTTGAGCTCCTCAAACTAAACTCATATTAACCTTGCACAGCAAGCAAGAAGAAGTGAATGAAGAAGTGTGATCTTGTGTGTATGAAATTAAATCACTCACTCGTCATTTATTTGAGTCAATTTATCATTCAAATACTTCAAAATAATTGGTTTTTTATGTCCGAACCTTAAAAATATGTAATTTTTAATTATTCGCGGTAAATTATGAATTATGGAAGTGATGATGATGAGGAAACATAAATGAATGTTGTGGATATAATGCAACAAAATAGCCAAAAACGTGAGCATTCAGATTGTGATCTTCTGCATTTCAATACAGAATTGACACATAGTGTCTATAGCTAGTGATTAATGATCTTGATGTCCACATTTAGGTCTCTTAAAATGATCAATTTCAATTATGCAAAAAAAAAATAATTTTGTTGAGTGCATCAATCATCACCTGGAACCATCGTCATGCACTCTAATTGCTTTTTAATTCAGATTCAAGAAATTTTTATAGTACAATTATTTGTTTGGGTTAATTTCATCAGCTCGTGCCATATGCATGCTGTTGCATCTTCACTTAACTGCATTCAATTCCATTTAATTCCAGCAGAATGAAAAGTGAAGTTAAGACTTGCATAACTTTTCCTACTTTTTTGACTGAACTAAAAAAAAATTAAAAGATGAAATTAAGTGCAATAAAATTTATTAAGTTGAACTGTGCTGCGGCTGTATGAATTAAAGTAGCTTCATCAACAGCTTCTGTCGCTTGAAAATTGCACGATTTGCTTCCCTTTTATTCATCCATGAGACTTTTGTGAACTTCTTTTTGTTCTCTCTTGCATTTCTTGCACATCTTTTTGTCTATGCGACATCCAACGACTACAAATGAAATGTACATGAAGACATCATCATGATTGTCACACATAAAAATAAAAAGTTAAGAATAACAAATTTTTTTCGCAATTTTTCAATCAATCGCTTCTTCTTATCCTCTATTCAGCTTCGCTCATTAGTTCAAGCATGAATTTGTGGGTGTCACGTTCGCTATTTTCTTACTTATTTGATTTTCTCATGGGATTTATGGCTTTTTAATCGACTGCTTTCGTCATTCAATTTTTCTTTAATCTAAAACTGCACTAAAATCTCGTTTGATTTTCAACAGAGAACATGAAGTGAAGTGAAATAATGCATAATAATATGCACTTCAGGAAGGAAAGAAGATAAGTGCAGCATATGCTGTAAATTTATAGAAATTGGAATGAAATTTTTATGTAATGCAAGAGTTTATGGAACAACAAAGGTCAATAGCTTTTATGTAGGTGCAAAGAATCAGTAATTTTTAAGATTGAAACTCTTTTAAAGCATTGAAGATTAATAACTTTTGGAAATTAGGTTGAAAATTAAAATTTCCAAAAGTTAAAATTTCAAAACTTAAGCTAGCCATAAAGCTCACATGCAAGCCTCAAAAGTATACTTCCACATTTTCTTTCAACATTTTCCATTTCCATCCCACAATAATTCATTCCTTCAATCATGTTGCAAAAACAAAAAGCTCTCTCAAATCCACAGAGAGAAATTCCTTACTAGGCATGCGCGCTAAAGACATTACTTACTTTTCCTAAATAACTGGCAAATGTGGAACAGAAATTTTTTACCCTTTGCTGAAACAAAAAGTTATTCTCCCAAAAAAAAGAAGTTTTTTGTTACGGGAAGGAAAAAAATAACAAAATAAATTAAATTATCACAAAGGAAGATCAAATAAGTTCAACATCAGTTAATAAGTACAGCACATCGTTACATAAAAACAGGAATAATATGTTAAAATAGGATATAAAGTTCTGTAAAAGAGAAGAAAAAAAATCAGACCTAGAAAAAAAAATCTTTTTTTTTTGCTTATTGGAAAAACTAGAAAAGTGAATAAAAATAATATAATATGCAATATAAGTTGGACAATAAGCACAAAAGATACGTTCACTATCCTACAAATTGATAATATTGTCATTAAAAAAGAATTGGATGTGAATGAATTGTCCATTTGACATTGAAACATCACTTGACATTAAATGGTGGAAAAAGGAAGAGACCATACGATTATGAAAGGCACTCACTCTCAATACTCAATCAAATGGATTATGAGTCATAGTCAGGCATAAAAATTAAAGTGAATAGACACAGTGAAAATTAAATAATAATAAAATAATTGCAAGTGCTTATAAAGTAGCCGTTCCTATATATGTTAATGGGAAGGGAATCAGCCACACATCTATATAATGTATAAGAATAAAAGCCGCACACAAAAAGTAATCGATAAAAAAGTTATTTTATAAACCATCCAACTGCAAAAAGAAAATACAGAACCTTCTAAATATATATACATAAAGCGAAAATATATATATAAAAGTGAGTGGAACTGCCAGTGAGCATAAAAGCATAAAGGAAATATTAAAGTTTTTTTTTCATTCTTTAAACACAGAACTCGCTCGAAATATATGCATAACACACATAATCATTAAATATTAAACTTTAAAAAAGGACATTCATGTTATATAAAAGCGTAAAGTAGCAGCAGTCGCTAACGTTGCCAATTGTCATGAAACAATAGAATAATAATATTATTTTTTTGCGAACTAGAACAGAGTGTGTGCATGTTTATGTGTCTGTGCCCGCGAGTTTGTTGGAATTAAAATTAAATTATAGCGTTAAAAATTAACATAGAATTTTGAAGTCATCATTAGTGCGACAATCATCAAACGGAAGGCAATTTATATTTATGAATGTGGATAATAATGTTTTAGCATAAAGCCAGACAAAATAAATATACTATATAAGTACCTCATGCATGCATCTTGTTGTGGATCATCATTACTATTGTTAACGGTGAACGACTGTCTCTTGTGTCTAAGATATAAGAAGCATTAAGGATTACCATTCCTACCAACCCCTCCACAATAATTGATTTTGTTTCCTTTCAACTTTATATCCTAACGTGATGAATGAAGAACGTACACTTAGACAAAAACTACTCTTCTATACGACTGCTTTCTTCGTGCTTTTGGGTACATTTAGTTTATTCTCATTCCTTTTTCTCGTACCATTTGTTATTGAGCCAGCGTTTCAAACAATTTTTATGGAATTCGATGAAAATCGAGCTCAATGCTTTACCGATGAAGCAATAGTAAGAGCCGGAACGAAGAATTGTACGTGGACTTCGTGTCGTGAGGGCTGTACACGTGATGTTTATCAATGCACGCAAATTTATGTAAACTATAAAATTTTTCCAAATGGAACTAATCCGTACAACGAAACTGTTATGGATCCAAAGACACCGCCCGATCTGAAAAAGAAGGATCATCGACGACGACGACGTTCAGCACACGATTATGAGTATGTTGATGGCAATGAGAGTCCAAATGAAATGGATGAATCGGGTGATACAGGCGGTTCGATTGATTATGGCGAACCTACCGAAGGTCTAATGCCCAATACCTCTGAATATTATTATAGACGAGCTCGCCTTTATCCAAATGTTAAAGGCTGCGGATATCCACCATTTTTAAATTGTACTGTTTGGAATAGATATTACCAAAACGAGGGATCAAACTTTTCATGCTTTTACTCGAAAGTTGATCCACGTTTAGTTGTTTCACATTTAGATATGAGCAAAAATACGCTTCACTTAGTACTTGCTATGGCAATACCAATTCCGTCATTCATCATTTCCGTTATATATTTAACATTCGCTTACTTTAAAATTTATAATGAGGATGAGGAAAATGAACCGTTGGATAAGAATGCTGAGGAAATTGCTGATGATGATATAATCGAAGAAGGAAATCCAGGAATTGACGTGAATGAGGATGATACCGAAACAAGTATAAATAAGGAGAGCACAGAGAATGGACAAATTCCAAATGGCAATTCCCTCACTCCAAATTCAGCAGCGGAAGCAAACTCATTTGGTCATCAGCTTAAAGTTAAGATGGCTGATGAAATGTCAAGAGAAAGTTTAGAAGGAGGCCTTATATTATCTCATTCCGAGTCAAATCAAGGGTAAGTGGCTTCTTCTTCACGTTCCTTTTTTCCACTTTTATTTATTTATTTTTTTTCTGTCCAACAACAATTTCTTCGTCATCATTCACGTCTGTTTCTGCCTTGTTTTGAGGATGTAGAAAAATAATAATGTATGGGGGATTTTGTGAGTTACGTAACGTTAGAAATGAATATTTTTAGACCCTCAAACGTTGTTATTAGGGAAAAATTTAACAAGGGGAAAACAACTAAATGGGAAAAGGTTTTGATGAGAATTTTGCATTAATTTTTGAAATTTGAACTGCATTTTTTAACATAATCGTGTTTAACCCTCAATTTGCAACATGTAATAATTAAATTCTCAGACACTTGTGTCTCATCCGAAGGTGACAAAGCAGGAGGAATCTTGGGTATCAGTCTTTATGTAAGCAAATGTACCAGCGCTAGGGTTAGACCTTTTTGGTCCAAAGGCTCGCGAACCGATTTTGAAAAAAATAGAAGTTAAGAAGTTCTATTTGTGAGGACGTGGGTTCGATTCCCAATAGAGGTCATTCTTTCAATTATTGGATATTGTTCCGAATCTATAAGGATGTAGATCTAGAACAGATCTTACTCTTTGTACATTGGCATTGCTCGTTTTATTAAATATCCCATTTGAGGTCATTACCTGTCAATTCTCACTGTTCAAGATAATGTGCTGAAGCAAAATTCCATGACGTTAAGTAGCAAAGAGTCTTAAAACCTTAATTTCCAATGAACGTCATTAATAAATGACCCCCTGAATGAAAAAAAAAACAAAAAGGAAGAGGAAAAACAAGAAGTCATTCTCGAGGGGTAAAAGCTGTTTCATCATACGTACATAACACAACTCATAAACTTTCATTCTTCACGTCCACAATGATTCAGATTCGGAAAAAATGTTCAAAAATTCCTTGTGCACAATATTTTCCGACACATTAGAAAATTGAAAGTTTTTGTTAATTTCTGTTGATTTGATTCTTTTAACATCTTCTACATAATGTTTTCGTTCATTGCTCAAAAAATCAGTCCTTAATATAAAGGATAAACACGATTTTTTATCAAAAGTTTGTAAAAGTTTATCAAAAAATATTGTGCATGATCAAATTTTGTATGAAAATTTATGTAAACTTTGATCGCAAATATCTCGAAAACGGCATCAAACGGCATGTCCTCAGTAATATGGGAGATAGATTTAAGCTTAATTAATTGATTTATATAGGTTTCAGAGAGGTCTTTGGAAGACTTTTTAACTTATGAATAGTTTAAGTTTTGTAAAAATACTCAGATTTCAATTCCATTTTTAAGGCTTAATAAGCAGATTTCTATTAAGTTGGTTGTTTTAATATGTAAAGCTAAGCTTAAATTAGCTAGCAACTGCTTCCAAGAAAACCAAATAACAACTTAAAGTAGAAAAAATCATATTTCTTTTTTCATACTCAAATTGTAAACAAATTTTGGGTGAGATTAAATTAATGATTTCTGGAGTTAGACAGCAAATAGGAACGAGATATTTTTAAAGGAAATGCACAAAGGAAAGATCTTTAATCTGGCATTTAAAAGACAAAGTTTAATTAACATGAAATTTTTGAATTTTTGAACATTTTTTTCGATTCTGAATCATTGTGACGTCATCGAAAAAAAAAATGTCGATAGCATGGAACTAAAAATGAATAAAAGAAAGAAAAGAAACTTTCTCATTCATTCAATAATTCAGCCAAATAAAGAAATAATCAATAGCTAGATAGTTGGATATAAAATATTAGAACCAGAAGACGTAGACAGCTCTCAGTTTAGTTTTAAAAAATTAATGATGAATTCATTTTCATGATATTGCTGTTCCTTTATTGATGATGTATAATAATTGTTTTTATGACTGTTCAATGTCAATGAATTTACATCGCCTTTCTTCATGAAAATTCCATTCAAACTTAAATTGCTTTTAAGTTTCTAGATCATCGACAGAGTCCCACGTTTAGTCTAATGAAAAATTTAAAGCTTTATGGCTATCAAGTGGATTTAATGGTTTTTGTGGCAATTTATATTCATAACTGACGGTAGCTTTATTTATGGGTAATTCCATGCTATAATTTTGCTATAAAATTTTCTTTAAATTGATTTTTTTCATCCTTAGGCTTTACAAAAGTTAATAAGATTTCCACAGGACATGTTAAAAGCCATAAGGTATGTTATTTGACATTAAAATGTCATCTAAAGTGATTATTAAGTCCAAAAAATTATATTTTATAGCGTTACTTGGTAACATTTATAGCGTTACCAAGTAACGCTCATGGAATCAATTTTTTGGACGAATTAACCACTTTAGATAGAAAATCAATGTCAAATCATATACCATATGACTTTTTACATGCACTGTGAAAATCTTATTAACTTTTGTAAAGCCTAAATATGAAAAAAATCAATTTTAGGTAAATTTTTTACAAAAATTTCTCATGGAATTACCCTTATAGGTCATTTTACTTACTTTTTAATGAGATTTGACGCTTTTTGATGGTAGCTAATCAGCTTGAGTAAAATTATAGTGCAGAACTGTGACGATATTGAAGATTTTCATGGAAATTCGACAAATTTTTCACGTAATTTTATAAAGTTTTATAAGGCAAACAATCCGAATAGCTTTTGGCTCATTTCATATTTTTAATTCAATTTTCAACAAAAACAAATTTTTCATCATATTGGCAGAAAGTTTTGGCATGAAACCATCAATTTGCAGTAAATAACAAGGGGTTGACAACTTTTTTCATCATGAAAATTATTGAACATTTAATCAAAATAAGGGTTGGTGCTTGGGTTTTCTTGTGGACTTAGTGGCATTGTAAAGACAAAGCCCAGACTAGTCAAAATTAGACTGGTTTTCTTACAAATAAGTTAAACAAGTTGACTTTAAGCTTTATATATTTTTACATTATAAGCCTAGTCGCTCTCTGTGTTCTCTAGATGTTCTTTCCCAACCTTTGTTACGCTCCTATAACACCTCTCAATACATGCTTTCGAAATCAAACAGTCATTTTTAGCGCATTTTTGAAACTTGTTTCGAAAAGGTAGCTTAATAATACGATTTGTTCGGCTGGATGGCTGTTCGGCTGCTTGCAAAAACTTGATCTAGACATCATAGAGAGTTCTAGTTTTTTGCGTTAGCTCGGTACTATCGAGTTATTGGCGCATCGATCTGTTTGAAAGTTCAAAACCATCGTTAAATACTATAATTAATGTTTTCTTTAATTTCAATACAGTGCAACCTGTCAAAAATTTTCTTCATAAGAGTGTAACCTGTTCAAATTTTTTGACTACCTCTATAATTTCAATATTACCTCTATAATTTCAAATATTAATTACACTAAAATTAATGAACTTTTAATCTTCTAATGATCTGTAAATATACGCAAAATAATTAGATACTCAATTACTGATCGCTAATGCAAAAATGCGCTGAAGTCCCTCGATATATAACACGAGGACTTTCGCCAATTTTTTCAATTCATTCTGTTCGAATTTACCAATTCATGGTACTTTATACAAAGGAAAAGATGACACCCCTCGATGAATATTACATAAATTGACATAAATTACCAGAAAACTTCACTCATACCTGAAAGTTTTTTGTCAAGAAAATAAATTGAAAGCTTTCCAAGAAACAATAAGAATTACTTAACAAATGAACACAATTCATGGGTGTTGCCAAATGTAAATTTGAACAAGAAGAAAAAAACATTAATTAATCAACAAAAAAAAACGAATAAAAAACTAATTTTAATAATATCGTTTCAGCAATATGGCAAAGACAATGTTGACAAGCATAACATCGCCACAAGGATCGATCGCTGCAGTATAATTCATTAAAAAAATGCTGAATTGAAATTGAGCGCGTACTGAGTACATAAAAAAATATTTTTTTCCTTCTTTTGCAAGTCGCATCTCGTCATATAGCATGTATGTGAATGAGAGTATTTAAAAGGACTGGCGTATTCTAAGACGTGTAGCTACAATTAAGGATTTAAAATTCGAGAAAGAAGAAAAAAAAATCGTTTAAAAAGCAGCAATGAAGCTTCGACAGCATGTCCTTTTTGACAAACATTTTAGTAAATATTAGATCGTAAGCGTGCAAATAAAAGCAACTACATACATTAATTAATATAAAGCATCTTTTTGAATTTTCACAATTTTAAAAAATTTTAAAAGAAACAAAAAAAATTACAGAAATTTCAAAAAAAAATAAGGTTTGAAGCAAATTGAAGCCAAAAACAAATTGATAAGGAAAAAGTCGTTATTCTTAAATTTTAGGCAAAGAAAAGTTCTATGAAATTATTCAGAAAAGGAAAATTGGTTTAATTTTGGATTAGAAGTTCGAAAAAGCTTTGCTGTGAATGAGAAAAAAATATTGTTTTGTAACTGATTTTTAAAATTTGAATTTTGTAGTTCTTTTTCTTTGATTATAATCAAAATCATAGTTTTAGCCCCTTTTCTAAAAAAGGCGCAAAAATTGGTTGTAAAAACAGAGCTCAAAGTCGATTTGATTCGAGTAGATTGAACTCAAAATGACTTGATTCGACTTGGAGCTCTGGGCCCAAAAAATTCATAATAACCCTCAAATTAGTTCCAAAAATTGACATTAAAGCGTAAAAGCATTTGTGATAAAACTAGTCTTCGTGTCTCAGCACTCTTTCGCTCGAACTTCCAAGCCAAAATACTCAATTCTCATCTTTTAGTAGCTATCAATTTATGACGAATTTGTTGAAATAATAAAAAAAAAGTTTGAAAAATATTTTTTGAGCACAAATATCGCATATTTTAATGCAACAAGTTTCAATCATTCAAGTTTTTAATCAGACATTTGCTTTATGGTTACCGCTATTTTTAAATTTCACTTGGGGATAGGATTTATGTTGTTCATAAAAATCAATAATTCGTCGTTCAACAAAAAATATAATAAAAAAATTATTATTATGTGTTAAATAAATTGCATTTTTCGAATTGGTATTATGGTAAAATATACATTAAAGAGCATATCCAATGATAATAGGGGAAAATTTCTTATTCCTCATTTATAAAAAAAAAAATCATTTCCGCTCTCATAATGCAATTTTTATTGAATTAAGTGACCAAAATTCAATTAAATACAAAATATTCCGCAAAAAGTTTTCCATTTGGGTAGGATATATGTTGGATATGAATCAAGGCGATAGAAGAGAAAAGAAAATGAATAAAAAATGAAATTGTTGAAATATTGAAGTGAGAATTTCATCGAGTTTAGATTGATGACAGATTCATAGATGGAAAGATGCCTGTATGTAGTTTAACAATATCATATGGATGTGCTTTTTCACATACGGTGATGCTTTTTGCAAAGCTTTTTGAGTTTAGAATTTTGTATGGATCGAAATTGAATCTGTGTTTTGGAGTTATCTTGATAAAGATGTCAATGATATGGCAAATTTATGGTATAAACTCTTTTTTGAATTTTTCATAATCTCGTTTTAAATTCTGGATCGGATTGTAAAGGAAATTTTATATTAAATCAGGTTAAATCTTGAAAAAAGGCGCGAAAAAGAAAGTTTGAGAATCAAATTAAACAATCGATCTTAATTCATTGTTTATGAAATCTAAAAGTTCTTTTTGAAACTAAGCTTTAATTCTTCTGATTCTTAAATAACAAAATTAAAGTTTCTCACTCAAATTATGTCAATTTAAATGTACGAAAGAGAATTCTAGAAGATATTTCATATTTTATTGAGATAAATAGACATTAGCTATCATATTTCATTTGAATCATGTCTGATAACATCCAAAAAGCATTAAAGTTATATCAAAGCATCCTTTATTATGTCGAGAAGCTTAAATTTCACAAAAACTTTACTTTCTATCAAAAAAGTTGAGCTAATAAATTCAAAAAGTTTGTTTTTTATAATCGCAAAAAAGCATCGCTTGTGTGAGAAAGAGTACATAAATTTTGATAATACCATAGAGAATTGATAGTAATGCTTATGGACTTTCACATGACACAAATAAAATACACACGATGATACATAAATACATAACTCATTCACAATTCTAACTACTCTATCTATTCTTATCCCCCTGTTGTTACTTATTCGTGATTCATAAACAAAGAGAAAATTGGAATAGAGCATCTACATAATATTTGCAAAGAATAATAATAAGTAATGGCTTCAAAATTTCAGCGAACAAAAAAGAATGAAAATAATGAAAAATGCGCTCAAGCGTGATATAAAAAAAAAAACAAAATAAATAAAAGAAAAGAAAATGAAGCAAAATTTTTCCCTTTTTTCCGAATCAGATGATTTACAGAGAAAAAGCTCAAATTCAAAATTAATTAATTATGTGCAATACGATACTAAACTTAAAGAACAAGAAGAAGTTAAAGTCCAAAAATAATAATGTATAATTAGATAGGATAAAAATGTAAATGATGGATGACTCTATGACGAATGATAAATGTTCAAAAGAATCCGCTTGAGGATAACTAATGCGCATTTTTGTCTGTCAGATCAGTAAAGGAATCTATTGAAAGTTTAAAAAAAAAGTTTTAAAAAAGCAAAAGTGATCAGATTTTATTCATTAAAAATGTTTTAAATTTATTAAACTTTTCGGGATTATAATCGATTATATTAATTCAAATTCGGTCAATTAAGTTTCAAAATTATATAAAAAAAATATTTCAAAATTCTTTGAAAATTTGTTAGCTTTTTTACAAATAGCTCTCATCATATGAAGAGCTTAATCACAAAGATGGGTTCTTAGTCAAGAGTAGGTTCACTATCAAATAATGTTTTGAAGGTTAAACGCTATTTTAATATAAAATTGTTTTCAATTTGCTTATCAGAAGCAGAGCTCGAAGTCGATAGAGGACTCAGAAAAAATTAAGTCGACTCGAGTTGACCCGAGTCTAGCTCTGATTGGAACAACTTAAGTTTTCTATTCATACTAAATTCGGAGATATTAAATAAATTCAAAGATATTACAGAACATTAAGCTTCGTCATAGAACAGAGCTATTCTGTATGAATTGAAAAATAAAGGTTTGGTTTCTGAAAGAAAACTTTAGCAAATTGGACAAAATTTGGTTCTTTTTGAGAATTTACTTCTGTTAAGAGTCAAATCAGCAAGATCTTGAAATGTTCTAAGTTGACTCCAATATGCTCCTGAATTCTCGAGTCAAACTTATGCAAGTATTGTTTGTTCTGAATTCAGATAAGAGCTTGAATTTATATTTGGAATTTGTTTGAAAAAATTGATCAAAATCAAATTAACTTCTTACAAATCTCGTTGGTTTCGAATTCTCTGATTCAGATTAAAATCAAATCTACAAAATTTCGATTGACCTTAATCAAGGCATCCGCAAATTATAATCTAATAATCTTTGGATAAAGATTTTAATCTTATTGTTTTTTGAAGATTGATGATTTCAATCTTGAAACAATGTTTTGAACAAATATTAAGATTGCAGTCATCAATAATCTTCAAACAAAAAGATTATAATCTAAGTACAAAGATTATTATTAATCGGATAATATATGAGATCTTTGACTAAGAAGTAGAATTCCAATAACGGAACTTTAAACCAAATGTCAATAATTTTTGACAATCTTAGAAATCAAACCTATTTGAGAACTCTGTGAAACCTTACAAAGTACAGATCCCATCTTTGCTTGTTCCATTATTTAATTATTAAAATGTTTTTAAAAAAAGCGTCAGACAAATTTCATTCCATCATATAGTAATTAACTAGTTGACTAAATTAATAAATATGACAAATCTATAATCAGCCACTCAGTCAAAGTGATACCAATAGCGTATTTGTTTTGCAGAAATGCGTTGATAAAAGTATATTATGTTGAAAAATAATAGCTTCTAAAATGTTCATCAAACAAAAAGAAAATGAAATTTTCCGATTGCATTACCATAAACTGTAAAATTTTCTACACAATTGCATTATAAATTCATGATGGATTTTTGCCTTGCCTACCTGTTTTTGTTCTTAAAAAGAGAAAATTATTATACCTTTAAAAAAAGGAAGAAAAAAAAAAACTTAAATGAAAATGAACAAAATAATAAAAATAAAAGCTTTAATTGAAATTAAAAAAAAAATTGTACCAATGACTTTTCATTCTCTTGTTCATCACACAATGAAGTATCAGAACATTTCACCGAATGGATTATGCAACCAAATAAGAGAAAGTTCATTAATGAGAGTGCAACCATGCTCTGCTGCATTTTTAATTTGAAATTCATCTCTCTTTCAGTTCTTAATTACAAATGACAAATGACTCGTTAGTATTGACTATGAAGCTTCACGGATTGTGTCTTAAATTATTTTTATTTCCCTGGATAACACCAGAAGAATGGAAATTAAAGTGCTTGGGAACTACGACGATTTTTCCAATTATCACTTTGCAAGGTAAGTCAACAACCTAACGTCTTTGAATAAAGCTCTTCTGTGCTTAGAGTTCAGTTTTGAATACTTCTGTGATCCATGGCATCACTTAGATGACTGCTCATCAGTTGATATTTTCTACACCAGTTTGGCTCTATCAACAGCTTCATGTCCGAGTTCTTCAGGATCTGCTTTCGTCCACAAAGTCAGATTTAAAAACGTCACTCAATTGAGCCTTAACAAGATTAATAAAATTAAACCTGAATGGAGGTTTAGTGACAATTCTTTTATTGCGTAACGCTTTTAGCGCTTAACGTTCACTGCATAGAAGCAGCTAGAGCGATCTGGGATCCAAAAATGATTTTCATCAAAAACTTTCTTAAATTTTTTTTAAGGTGGAACTTTTCGAACTACTACCCCGACAACCACCACAACCAGTAAGTTCTATTTAATTTTAGTAATTGACATCATTTTATTTTAATCAAATTAAAAACCTAATTTCAATTATTTTCAAATTTTATTTTAGCAACAACTACAACCACAACAACCACCAGTATTTATTAAATAAGAGATTATCAATTATTAAGTCCAATAAACCCCTTTCAAAGTGTAAACTGCATTTTAAGACTTTTAACGGTTTTTGAAACAATCAGATTTTAACGGTTTTTTGACATTTTAAATTAAAGAGGTAGTCAAAAATTTAAACAGGTTGCACTCGATGAAAAAATATTTGACAGGTTGCGATGAATTGAAATCAAAAATTGATTAATTAAAGCATAAAGCCTTTGTTTAAAGCTTTTAAAATGCCCGTGCTCGCAAAAACTAGATGGAACTGAGCTATTTAAACAAGCACGAGCTCTCTACGATGTCTGGATTATTTTAAAAAACAATTGTCCAAAAAATGCGTTAAAACCTTAAAAAGTGGACATTATAATTGAACAATTCCTTAATAATTAATCATGATAATTTAATGAATTTCCATTTCCAGCTACCACGACCATTCCACCCACCGTGATAATTATAACCACAGAAATTCCAACAACAGAGAAGCCTCTTCCTCATATTTGTTATAAATTATATCATCATCATCCACTGCTATTTAAGCTTGCTGTATGGAAGAAAATTTGTCCACATCCAATTCCAATAATTTTTGTTACTTCTAAAAGACCAGAAAGAATAAGACAGCACAGACCTACTTTCATATTTGGCTCCACAAAAGCATCACGTCCTGAAAAGTTTAGAAAGCATTTTCCTACAATAGTCTTAGGAACATTAAAACCTACTCGACCTCAGAAAAATGAAATGTTTTTTGTAGAAAGGCGATCTGAGATTTAAGCTAATAATAAAATTAAGGAATTACTGGCTGTTAAATTAATCTATCAAAGCACACTAGCTTCTTCTAGATCATGTTAAATTTAATTTAAAACTCAACATTTATTGAGGACACAATTCACAAAGAAGTTCAGAATATATTTTATTGGATCCAATTCTAAGCACATAATCATTAATGAATATAGAAAGCAAAATAGTAAAGTTTATGGAGAAATGTCCATATTATCTGATTTTTCACATCCATTATCGTCAGTTCCAATTTTTTCCTCAGCATCATAATCTCTTACTTCCGAGATCCTCTTCAATTTTGCAATTGGTGAACGACTTACATGACTTTTGGATACTTTTGATGACAATTTTTCACGGACCGGTGAATGTCTAGCGAGACTTTTGGATCTAGAACGCGAAATTGTATATTTACGTTCATCACGTTTTTCACGGTGCGAGCGTTTCTTTCGATCACTTCTATGACGAGATTTAGACCTAGTTCGACGGTCTCGTTCACGACTTCTGTTAAGTAGAATTTTTATATATTTTTGGCTGTATTTGGAAGGGCTCCAAAGTTACCTTGAACGATTTCTGCTGGATCTTTTATGACGGGATGATCTTGATCTATCGCGCGATCTCTTTTCACGTCGTCGACGTCTATCCTTGCTTCTACTACGTGATCTGAATGTACAAATTATTGTGTCAGCAAAGAATTTTCTATTATTAAATTAATTTACCTTCTTCTGCGGCTTGTTGAGCGTTTCCTACGACGGCTGTGACTTCTAGAACGGGATCTTGATTTACGGCTACGACTTGTAGACCTCTTGCGTCTGCGACTAGATGAACTGTGAAGGTTTAATAAAAACATTATTATTAAAACAGACTCAAAAATGTCAATACTCTTACCGTCGTCGACTACGGGATCTTTTCGAGCGAGAATGACTAGCTCTACTTCTGGAACGACTTTTTGAACGTGATGTTCGACTAGCAGAGCTTTTATCTTTCAAGAGCCCAAATGCAGGATCAATAACAGCAGAAATTTGATTGTGACATTCCTTCACAATAGACATCGCTTCCTCAATTTCTTTCTGTGCTGCCTCATTTGTCTTAGCTTCTGGTTTAGTAATTGGTTGGGTTGAATGATAAAGATTTAGGGATGAATCATTAAAATTAGTTCCTTGCATTTTCAGAGCATAAATCACACTTTTCTGTTCACAGAATTCAATCATTGCGATTTTTTGCCGATTATCAGTCTCAGCAAATCTCGCGTACTTAACTTCACCTGCTCGTTTAAAGAAATCAATTAAATCATCCAGTCTCCAATCTGATTCTACATTAAGGACCAAGATTGTTCGACGAGTTTCTTCAATTTTACGATCATCATAATTAACAGGCAGTGCTGGATATTCTGGTAAGTTGTATTTTTCCAGCTTTGGATCATATGTCTTAATCACTTGATTAGGAATTTGTCCTTCAGTTCGAGACACAACTTCAGATGGAAGCTTTGATTCTCCATAATTTCCAAAACCAGGAATTAAAGTTCCTTGTGCAGCCATCTCCAATGCATGATATTCATCAGGTATGCTTCCACTAAAATGACACAGACGTTAACTAGAGTGATATGTGAGTCAATTAGACGCAATTACCCTTGAACAGGTATGCAAATTAATGCACGATCAATGAATACGGTATTTGTCATATGTTGTGCTGTTGCTACAGATCCACTTTCTGAAAATTTCACATAACAGATTCGCGAGACAACTGGAACAGATACATCTCGTATGGATGGATCTAAAATCATGATTTGAGTGATTTTTGAGCTTTTTATTTAATTGTTGTCAACTTACAAAGTCTAATTTCTTCAATTTTTCCAAGAATACCAAACAGAGCTTGCATTTGATCTTTTGTGGCTTGCGGAGCTATATTGGTGATTTGTACCACCTTCGTCGATGATCCACCTGCCATTTTTAAGGCAGTTTAGTCACTTAATTATACAATTTTAATAATTTTTTGATTTTTTCACTACAAGTTCTAAAATGTTTGAATTTTAGCGTGATTTTCTTGCTTTAAGCGCGCTTTTCTCGAGAATTCAAATTTATTTTAACCGTTTTACTATCTCGAGATCATGAGCAGCTCCATATTTGAAACTCAAGCTGATAATTAAAAATCATATTTAAAACTCATTGACTTAATAACAGCTTATTAAGCTGACTATTCGAGGTTTCTTCTCGAGCATGCTCGAGCACTTAAATTAAATTGCAGCCCAACTTCAAGTCAGTGCTCAATTTAAATCTAATAAAGCCGTTAAAACTAAGAACAACACATACAAAGAAGTAAACAATGAATTATTATATTTATTTCGTGATTATTGCTAGTTTTAAGTTTTTCACTCATTATCTCAATGTCATTGAGGTATTTATCGACAGAGATTTGCCTGAGGACATTATCTATGATTACATCATTGGTAATTATTGCATATATTAAGATTTAATTGAAAATTTATTTATTTTACATCAATAACTTTAATTCCGTTAATTAAGTTGGATCTGGAAGCAGCGGAGGTGTGATTGCATCTAATTTGAAAGGCAATGTCTTATTAATTGAGGCTGGTGGATATGGATCAGGTTTTTTCTTTAACATTCCAATTGTTCAGCCACTGTTACTTCGTTCTGATTATGACTGGAAGCACGAAACAGTTCCTCAAACTAATTCATGTAAAGGAATGAATGATAACACATGCTTCTGGCCAACTGGCAAGATTATATCAGGAACTCATCGATTGAATAACATGATTTATCATAAAGGACATCCAATTGACTATGCTGACTTCTTTAAGGACATTAATGATGCTAAGAAGTACTTTAGAATGAATGAAAAATCGATTCCAGTAAGTGAGACTAATTTCAAGTCCGCAGTGTCTCATGCATTCATTAAAGCTGGAAAAATTCTTGGATTTGATGGTAAGTCCGGTCAATTCCTTTAAAAACATCCTTACTGGATCTTCATAAAATCTTTCCAGACTTTAGTCACGTCAATCTAACGCAGCTTTATGGGAAGAGATTTACTCAGATCTACAATTGGTGGAAGAAGATATTGGAACCACCAAAAGTCATCCTCAATGCCATGGTCACAAAAGTGCTGTTTGCAGGAAATCAGAAAATAGTCACAGGAATTGAATTCATTAAGAATGACCAGTTACATGAAGTTTTTGGAAAGAAGATTGTTCTCTCAGCTGGAACTATGGGAAGTCCTAGAATTCTATTACATTCCGGGATTGGACCAAAAGATCATTTAAATGAAATTGGCATCAATGTTGTAGAAGATCTTCAAGTTGGTGAAAATCTTCAGGATCACGTGACAACAAACATTGAGATTTTATTAAACCAGACTGTTGGATGTTCCTTAAAAGACATCTACAATCCACTTAATGTTATTGACTATTTGTTTAAAGGAAATGGGCCTTTAGCATTAGCTGGATCTGATGCTATGGGATTTGTGGGATTTAATGCTTCGAGTGACATTCCAGACATAAGTTTCATATTATTGCCAATTAGCATAGCTGACGATCATGGATTGCATTTAAGGAAGGCAATTAACATTAAAGATGTGGTTTGGAACCGATATTATGTGCCATTAATTGACCAGCCAATTGCAACAATCCTTCCAATTCTTTTACATCCACAAAGTAAAGGAAATTTGCGATTAAGAAGCAGGAACATCTCAGATACACTTCTAATCAATCCAAACTATTATAATGCACAAAAAGACATCAAAAGCATGATTAAAGCCATTCGAATAATCCAAAAGCTCATCGAGGCACCGCCAATGAGGCAATTAGGTGCTGAATTGATACCAAAGAAGCTACCAGGCTGTGAAAATCATAATGATAATTCAGATGGATATTGGGAATGCTACATAAGACATTTGACACTGACTATGTACCATCCTGTTGGTACTTGTAAGCTTGGAGATTATGAAGACAAGACTTCTGTAGTTTTAAGGAACTTTCAAGTTAAAAATGTTAAAAATTTGTATGTTGTGGATGGGTCAATAATCCCTAAAGCAAGCAGTGCTAATCCCCATGCATTAATTTCAATGTTAGCCCATAAGTTTACACATGAAATGAATTTGATTAATGATGCAGATGAGTAAAGTGTTATTTACACGATTTCTTGTTAAATAATTAAAGATAAATTTAGAATTCTGTTGAGTTCATTAAGTGCATGTGGCTAGAAAATTGACTCAATATTTGTACATGGAATCACTTTATTGTGGTTAGTTTTGAATGTGTAGCGTGACACATGTGTGATTGAGATAAATTACCAAAGAATTGCATATTTAAATTTAATTTTCAAAAGTTCAACGGAATTTCGGGATTTGAATTTCTTGCGTCAAATGAAGCGAGATTTTGAATCCAAAAAGTCCGCTGAAAATTCAAAAAAAAATCGCATCAGTTGAAGCGAAAATTTCAAATTTAAACATTCCGTTTTAAATTTACATACGATCAATTACATTAGTCATGACTATTTAAATAAAAATTCTAATTTAATAAATGCTCAAAGACTGTTGTTCATGGACATAAAAAATAATAATTTATTAAAAATAAAAATAGATAAAAATTGAATATTCTATTAATTATCCTACAACCTTTTGCTTTCATTCATCACGTGCAACGACAGCGAAAATTATTTGATCAAAGGTAAATGATAGTCACGATTATTTTACGAAAGGCTACAATGGAATTTCCATTTGCGATGTCCAGCTAGTGTTAGTTTTTCCATTGACAGGTTGAGAAGTGCAGGAATTCTTTTGTTTATTTTTCAAGTCAGTTGTGGACTTTTTTGGGGAAATTCCTGATAGACATCCTGTTTTTAGGAACTAATTAATGAAGTTATATCTAAAAGTGAGTTTAAGGCTTCAAAAATTTACATAAATTAAAACTTTCAAGAACAAAATGATTAAATATTGAATGTAAAACGAACGGAATTTTCCCGAGCACGTTGCTATGGACAGTCGCAGTCCATAACATAAGGACAATACCATTCGTGTTATTATTTTTTTTCTTCTGTGTACACGGTGCATTTTATCTTGAATGGTCAGTCGGTAAACACACAAAAAAAGGAAAATTAAGTGTCATTGGATATAAAAATAATAAAATTAGCTCTTTAGTCATTAAGAAGTGCCTGAATTGTAAGTGAAATGGAAAGTAAATTGAACTGTGCTAATTAAAACTCTACAATATTAAATTGGACATGCAAATTATCATTTGATGTCCTTCAAAGTGCTTTAAAACGCATTCCATTCAGTGATTAAAATCTTATTTTGCGTTTTACAGATCCCAATTAATTATGGATATATTAAAAATTCAATGCCACATATTATTTTGTTGTTAGTGAACTTCCATATTGATCTACTCAATTATTCATTATCCTTGTTCCAATACCATTTGATTACCGAAAATTTGAATATGTAGTCACATTCACCTTCTCTCAAGGCAATCAATTATTTACAATAATATCAAAATTTTCTTTTTCGGGATCTTTGGCAAATGACGTCTAATCTTAGGGTTCTTTTAGACCTTCTCCCACCTGCGTCATACAAAATTCTTCTTTCCAAACGTATCAAAGACCCATCTCCACCCCAAACTAATCATCATCATTTATGATCGACCCCCTAATAACTGCCTTTCTCCTTCCTATATACCAGGTTGTTCACATGTGACTTACATTATGTTTTTTGTGTATCATTGAACGATAAACGGAATAACTTTTGATATTTTTTTGGAGGTCAGTTAATATTCAATTCCGATAAAACAATGTCGTCTGAGACTGTAAAAGTCATTGTACGATGTAGACCTAGGAATGAGAAAGAGGAAAAACTTAAATGTCAAGTGAGTCGTTGTTTTCCTTAAAAAAAATCAATTTTCGGACTATAAATTACGTACTTAACTATTGATTCTTATCGAACAATTTAGAGTATTGTGCGGATTGAGGAGTGTAGAGTGTATTTGGAGAATCCAGCGGATAAGAAAGCTCCAGAGAAGCAATTTGTGTTTGATAATGCATATGATGGTAGTTCTCATAATGAGTCAATTTATGGTGATATTTGTTACTCACTTGTTGAGAGTGTGCTGGAAGGTATGTATGATTATTAGGTTCCATCGTGAATCCTGTAATCAATTTAAATTTTAAACAGTTTCATCTTTGGGGCCGTTCACTTATTACGTTACGCAAAAAAACGACTTTTTTCACCCCCCCCCCCCCCATGTACAATATGTTACAACTCACAACCCCCCCCCCCCCCTGAACGTTCATAATTTATTTTATCATTAAAAAGGTGGAAAATTTAAAAAAATGTTTAAAAGACAGACGACGGTTAGAACGTTACAGACTTCTTGACTTCTTGACACACCCCACCACCCCCCCCCCCCCACCCCCTTATGTTACATTTTGTTACAATTTTTCAACACCCCCCCCCCCCCCTCCCTTCTTAAAATGCGAACGTAATAAGTGAACGGCCCCTTAAAAAAGGACTCTAAATTATGAAATTTACCTTAAATAAGCATGCTACATATCAGTAGAGCCCATAAAAGCTTCAAGATCCTGACCTATCCTAACTTAAAGCTCAAACATTCATAATTCTTTAATTAACCAAATTCTCGAAACTTCAAACTTATCCAAAACGTCATAACTTGCACTAATTACATGCACTTACTGTAAATAATTAAAACATTCCATTTCTATTCACTATAAAGGATACAACAGCACGATATTTGCGTATGGACAAACTGGTAAATAGAAAAATTCTACTGATACTGATAGAAGAACTAATCACTTTCTATCAATTCGTAAATACCTCAACAGGATGTGGCAAAAGTCACACAATGCAGGGACCAACATTATCAAAATTAGTTGATGGCCAGGAACTAGATCCTTCGCACGTTTACGAGTCAAAAAATAGTGGAATAATTTCACATTCGTTTGATCACTTGTTTGAAGCTATAAGCGTTGCACATGACATCCGTTACCTCGTCGTTGTTAGCTATTTAGAAATTTATAATGAAAATATTCGCGACTTATTAAGCAATGACACATCAAATAATCTTAAATTAAAGGAAAATCCCACGGAAGGTGTAATTGTTGAAAGCCTTTCGCGACATCCTGTACATAATGTGTCAGAGTGTGAGCAGCTTTTACTTTATGGTGCTAAAAATAGAAAAGTTGGTGCCACATTGATGAATGGTAAATTTAATAAGACCCACACCTAGTCTATTAATATTGATTTTCAATCCATTTAAATTATCATTATTATTATTATTGTGTACAGCTGGAAGCTCACGATCGCATAGCATTTTTATCATAAATGTCGAACAAATATCTAAAGCACAACAAGGAGAATGCGATACAAATGAAGATGTCATTATACGTAAGGGAAAGTTGAACTTGGTAAGGCAATTTTCATAATTAAATTGTTCCTACTCAATGTCAATCAATTAAATTACAATAGGTTGACCTAGCAGGAAGTGAAAGGGCGAATAAGACTGGTGCAACAGGAGAGCGCATGAAAGAAGCTACAAAAATCAATTTATCGTTATCTGCCCTTGGGAATGTAATATCAGCATTAGTCGATGGAAAAACCAAACATGTTCCTTATCGTGATTCTAAATTGACACGTCTACTGCAGGATTCACTTGGTGGAAATACTAAAACATTGGTATGAATGGATTTCATTCTTATTATTCATTATTGTATGTGGCTATTGTAATTTATTCAAAAATATGTAGATGGTAGCTTGTATTTCACCTGCCGACTATAATTATGAAGAAACATTATCGACACTTAGATATGCGTCTAGAGCTAAAAATATCAAGAATAAACCGAAAATTAATGAAGATCCAAAAGATGCTATGCTTCGAGAATATCAGGAAGAGATCAATATGCTTCGAAAACTTTTGGAAAAATCTGGGACCAATGGAACAAATGGAGTTATTGCTGATAATAATAGTATAGATATTCAGGAACAAATTAGGGAAGAGAAACTTAAAGTTGAGAAGGAATTTGAGGAAAAGGCAAGAAAGTTGAAGGAAGAACATGAACAACAGAGAAGGGAGAAGGAAGAACTAAAGCAAAGTAAGTTAATATTCATGAATTCAATTCTGTAGGCCTTGGAGAGCTCAACAGGTTCTCTCACTCTTAGTATTAATCAGAATCTACATGAATTATTCATCTAGTCCTACCTCATTTAAGATTAAGCATTATGAATAATAAATATCTTGAGATATTGACATTTAAGCATTTCCTCAATCTCCTTAACACTCAATTAATCTAAATCTCTATTTTCCTCCGTCAGATATGGAAGAGCTAAAGCGAGAATACGAACAAAAACTCCACGAAGTAAGTGAGAAAGTAAAGACAGAAGAGAATCATATACCAAATGTAAAAGTAGTGACAGATGAAAATAGTACAAAAAAGGAAATAAATATCAGTGATAGATTAAAGAACTTCAAAGACATATTAATTGGAGGAGAGCGAGCGAACGACACTCAACTTAAAGAGAAGCGATTCAAGAAGAAATTAGCATCACAGAAGAAACTGAAGTGAGTATATCCAAGGTTCTCATGATAGATAATGTCTATAATTGTTCTATTCCTATAACAGCGCATTGAATTATATTTTAAATCGCATTGAACAGTCTGAGGATCGAGATTTATTACAAACACATTATTCTGACATCCATCAAGAAATTGTAGCCAAGACGGAGTTGTTAAAGCAGCAAAGGCAAAAGATAAGATCACTTGAGCGTGAGATAGTTGACATACAAGGAGAATTTCAACTCGATCGAGCAGACTATCTAGAGACAATCCGTCGAATACAGAAACGTAATCGCTTCTATGAGCAATTTTTCGAGAAAATTAGTCCAGTATTGAAACGAGACGGCAAGGTTTGGAATATTGATTACATCAAGTCTGAGTCGGTGTGGAATGATGATTTAAAGAAATGGAAAATTCCCGACAGTTGTATTATGCATGTAAAATTGCCACCGGCTACATCAAAACCAAACAGCACAGAGAGTACAAAGAGTAGAGAGAACACATCATCAACAGCACCGGCACGTTTGGAATGTCTAACTGACTCATATGAAAGTGATGAAAATAGCGAGAAAGAGAAACAAAAGGACATCGACATTGCCTTGACCTATTTTCGACCAAAACGTATTGAGAAGCTGATTCATGATAGTCGTGCGTGGAAAGCCGATTTAACACATAAAGCATTAAGCCTACCGAAAAATACATTTGATGAAAATATTCTAAACAAAACATGGTTCGCTGGCAGTAATTTCATAAAGACTCATAATAATCCTTGGAACTTGAATTTGAATAGTAAGTAACGCACCATACCGATAAATAATTTATTATGTTTGTTTTCATTTCCCGATTCTTTTAATGTTTGTTTATCGTCAAGGTCGTAAGCTTTATTGAAATGATTCTCCCCATTTTACCGGCAATCAAGCTTGATTAGAAATAATTATATTAGCATTACGATCGTGACCCATTTTTTACAAGTAATTTCCATTCTTATTTGACTCTAATATAATGCATTAATATTTAATTTTCCCTCTTGTTTGTTTGTTTGTTTATTTCTCTCCTAATTTTCAACAGCTAATCCATCGAAGCCTGTTTGGTAGCAAGAGGGTCCACATCGATAATTGATTTTGGAACTAGCAAACTTCTTAATATACATTAAAAAAATGTGTTAACTGTGTGCCTCGTGATGAATTGTGTGACCAATTTATAAGCAATAAATGCAACTCAATCAATTTTTTAAAGGAGCTATATAAAAACGGAATTAATTCAGGAAATTGTACCGAGATATGTCGCGCTATATATTTACTTATTCTTCGTTATGTTTTAACTTTTATTCTATATCCATATATATTATATATTGAGGAAATGTTTTCCCTTTGTAAATGAAACCTAATGTTGCATCACATTGAATAAAATTGTAATTTCATATTCACACAAAATTTTCAATTTTTGTGAATATATTGTTTTTGGTTTTTCGGAAAATCAGTTTTTTTAACTTTCTGCTTCAGGCTTACGAAATCAACCCAAATACCTGATATGTAAAAGTTTGTGCCTCGAAATACCTATCTAATGGTGAAAACAATTTTTCATTTGGCAGTTCCAGTTCCAAAAACTCGCAAAAAAGGGCATTCTGTTAGTTAGTTAGTTAATCGGTGCGATAACTCGCTTCAAACTTAATATTAAGACTTCCGGTTTTTTGCTTCTGATAGATAAAGGCTACCGCAAGAACTGTATTGTTTTTGGAGTCATAAGATGCTTCCAGTGAGGCACAAGATGCATAAACATATTTGTATGGGAAAAGTTTAACCGATTATTACATAACATATTTATTTTTTGTTTACAACGGAAATATTTGTTGGTATTAGTGTGATATTAATAAAATGGTTGTGACAGTATGCATTAAGTTAAATGTATGTGAAAAAATGTTGGAACTAGCAAGTTCCTTTACAAGATTCAGCATACTGTATCTATGTTATTAAATACAAACTTTATTTGTATCATAATGAAAATATTTTTTTTTTTGTTTATAATTCTTAATTTTTTTCCTACTCGATTATTTTGTTTTTGTTTCAAACAGGCTTATACTTACTGGATCTTATTTCCAACGACAGCACAATTTCAATTTTACTTTCACAATGTCTGTGAAAGTGTGTTAAATACTTGTTAAATGATTGAATTAATTTTCCACAATGATTTTTCACTTTCAACAAATTTTCAAAGTTCACTACGAACTTTTTCTTATCTTAATTATAAAATTGATTGAAATTGTAATTGTCAAAGCCTACTTAGATCTTTTTCTTATTTCTTAATTATAAAAAAAATTCAAATTGAAATTGTCAAAGCCCACTTGTACTTTTTCTCAAACTTTACTGGATCTTGATTTTAAGTTTCAGACATGCTTAAAACTTTACTGGATCTTGATTTTAAGTTTCAGACATGCTTAAAACTTTACTGGATCTTGGTTTTAAGTTTCAGACATGCTTAAAACTTTACTGGATCTTGGTTTTAAGTTAAGACATGCTTAAAACTTTATTGGATCTTGATTTTAAGTTTCAGACATGCTTAAAACTTTACTGGATCTTGGTTTTAAGTTTCAGACATGCTTAAAACTTTACTGGATCTTGGTTTTAAGTTTCAGACATGCTTAAAACTTTACTGGATCTTGGTTTTAAGATTCAGACATGCTTAAAACTTTACTGGATCTTGGTTTTAAGTTATAGACATGCTTAAAACTTTACTGGATCTTGGTTTTTAGTTATAGACATGCTTAAAACTTTACTGGATCTTGGTTTTAAGTTTCGGACATGCTTAAAACTTTACTGGATCTTGATTTTAAGTTTCAGACATGATTAAAACTTTACTGGATCTTGGTTTTAAGTTTCAAACATGCTTAAAACTTTACTGGATCTTGGTTTTAAGTTTCAGACATGATTAAAACTTTACTGGATCTTGGTTTTAAGTTTCAGACATGCTTTAAACTTTACTGGATCTTGGTTTTAAGTTTCAGACATGCTTTAAACTTTACTGGATCTTGGTTTTAAGTTTCAGACATGCTTTAAACTTTACTGGATCTTGGTTTTAAGTTTCAGACATGCTTAAAACTTGACTGGATCTTGGTTTTAAGTTTCAGACATGATTAAAACTTTACTGGATCTTGATTTTAAGTTTCAGACATGATTAAAACTTTACTGGATCTTGATTTTAAGTTTCAGACATGCTTAAAACTTGACTGGATCTTGGTTTTAAGTTTCAGACATGATTTAAACTTTACTGGATCTTGGTTTTAAGTTTCAGACATGCTTAAAACTTTACTGGATCTTGGTTTTAAGTTTCACACATGATTAAAACTTTACTGGATCTTGGTTTTAAGTTTCAGACATGCTTAAAACTTTACTGGATCTTGGTTTTAAGATTCAGACATGCTTAAAACTTTACTGGATCTTGGTTTTAAGTTATAGACATGCTTAAAACTTTACTGGATCTTGGTTTTTAGTTATAGACATGCTTAAAACTTTACTGGATCTTGATTTTAAGTTTCAGACATGATTAAAACTTTACTGGATCTTGGTTTTAAGTTTCAAACATGCTTAAAACTTTACTGGATCTTGGTTTTAAGTTTCAGACATGATTAAAACTTTACTGGATCTTGGTTTTAAGTTTCAGACATGCTTTAAACTTTACTGGATCTTGGTTTTAAGTTTCAGACATGCTTTAAACTTTACTGGATCTTGGTTTTAAGTTTCAGACATGCTTTAAACTTTACTGGATCTTGGTTTTAAGTTTCAGACATGCTTAAAACTTGACTGGATCTTGGTTTTAAGTTTCAGACATGATTAAAACTTTACTGGATCTTGATTTTAAATTTCAGACATGATTAAAACTTTACTGGATCTTGATTTTAAGTTTCAGACATGCTTAAAACTTGACTGGATCTTGGTTTTAAGTTTCAGACATGATTTAAACTTTACTGGATCTTGGTTTTAAGTTTCAGACATGCTTAAAACTTTACTGGATCTTGGTTTTAAGTTTCACACATGATTAAAACTTTACTGGATCTTGGTTTTAAGTTTCAGACATGCTTAAAACTTTACTGGATCTTGGTTTTAAGATTCAGACATGCTTAAAACTTTACTGGATCTTGGTTTTAAGTTATAGACATGCTTAAAACTTTACTGGATCTTGGTTTTTAGTTATAGACATGCTTAAAACTTTACTGGATCTTGGTTTTAAGTTATAGACATGCTTAAAACTTTACTGAATCTTGGTTTTTAGTTATAGACATGCTTAAAACTTTACTGGATCTTGGTTTTAAGTTTCAGACATGATTAAAACTTTACTGGATCTTGATTTTAAGTTTCAGACATTCTTAAAACTTTACTGGATCTTGGTTTTAAGTTTCAGACATGATTAAAACTTTACTGGATCTTGGTTTTAAGTTTCAGACATTCTTAAAACTTTACTGGATCTTGGTAATTTGGTGCAGGCATGATTGTGAGTTTACTGGATCTTGGTTTTAAGTTTCAGCCATGATCCAAACTTTACTGGATCTTGGCTCCAAGTTTCAAAAATAATTAAAATTTTACATACTTTTGGTTCTGAGTTGTAAACATGGTTAATTTTGGATTCTTGGTCGATACATTTGGAAATCCAGTACGATCTGTAACCTATAAACCTACTGTAATCTATAAACAGTTGAACGAAACGGAGTGAAACGGAGTGGAGTTCAACACACCTGTAACCTATAAATCTAAACTAGGTTGAGCGAAGCTCACAAATTTTTACGTCCTGAACGGAGCGAAGCGAAGTGAAGGCGTGAAAATTTTACCCAGTTTAAAAAAATTCAGTACGATCTGTAACCTATAAACCTTCTGTAATCTAGAAACAGTTGAACGAAACGGAGTGAAACGGAGTGGAGTTCAACACACCTGTAACCTATAAACCTACTGTAATCTATAAACAGTTGAACGAAACGGAGTGAAACGGAGTGGAGTTCAACACACCTGTAACCTATAAATCTAAACTAGGTTGAGCGAAGCTCACAAATTTTTACGTCCTGAACGGAGCGAAGCGAAGTGAAGGCGTGAAAATTTTACCCGTTTTTAAAAATCCAGATCGATCTAGATAATTTGGTTGCATCTATGACTTTAAAAGTATTTAAAAATAAATATTGATATTGAAGTTCAACACACCTGTAATTTATAAACCTACTGTAATCTATAAGATCTGAGTTCAACACACCTGTTGTTTTATTTTTAATTTTTAATGAAACACGTCTTAATGTTTTTGTTCGTGTTTTTCAACTAATTTTTTTTATTTTCTCAGACTACTGAGATTATATTTTACACCTGTAACCTATAAACCTTCTGTAATCTATAAACAGTTGAACGAAACGGAGTAAAACGGAGTGGAGTTCAACACACCTGTAACCTATAAACCTACTGTAATCCATAAACAGTTGAACGAAACGGAGTGAAACGAAGTGGAGTTCAACACACCTGTAACCTATAAACCTACTGTAATCTATAAACAGTTGAACGAAACGGAGTGGAGTTCAACACACCTGTAACCTATAAACCTACTGTAATCTATAAACAGTTGAACGAAACGGAGTGAAACGGAGTGGAGTTCAACACACCTGTAACCTATAAACCTACTGTAATCTATAAACAGTTGAACGAAACGAAGTGAAACGGAGTGAAGTTCAACACACCTGTAATTTATAAACCTACTGTAATCTATAAACAGTTGAACGAAACGGAGTGAAACGGAGTGGAGTTCAACACACCTGTAACCTTTAAACCTACTGTAATCTATAAACAGTTGAACGAAACGGAGTGAAACGGAGTGGAGTTCAACACACCTGTAACCTATAAACCTACTGTAATCTATAAACAGTTGAACGAAACGGAGTGAAACGGAGTGAAGTTCATCACACCTGTAACCTATAAACCTACTGTAATCTATAAACAGTTGAACGAAACGGAGTGAAACGGAGTGGAGTTCAACACACCTGTAACCTTTAAACCTACTGTAATCTATAAACAGTTGAACGAAACGGAGTGAAACGGAGTGGAGTTCAACACACCTGTAACCTTTAAACCTACTGTAATCTATAAACAGTTGAACGAAACGGAGTGAAACGGAGTGGAGTTCAACACACCTGTAACCTTTAAACCTACTGTAATCTATAAACAGTTGAACGAAACGGAGTGAAACGGAGTGGAGTTCAACACACCTGTAACCTATAAACCTACTGTAATCTATAAACAGTTGAACGAAACGGAGTGAAACGGAGTGAAGTTCATCACACCTGTAACCTATAAACCTTCTGTAATCTATAAACAGTTGAACGAAACGAAGTGAAACGGAGTGAAGTTCAACACACCTGTAACCTATAAACCTACTGTAATCTATAAACAGTTGAACGAAACGGAGTGAAACGGAGTGGAGTTCAACACACCTGTAACCTTTAAACCTACTGTAATCTATAAACAGTTGAACGAAACGGAGTGAAACGGAGTGGAGTTCAACACACCTGTAACCTATAAACCTACTGTAATCTATAAACAGTTGAACGAAACGGAGTGAAACGGAGTGAAGTTCATCACACCTGTAACCTATAAACCTACTGTAATCTATAAACAGTTGAACGAAACGGAGTGAAACGGAGTGGAGTTCAACACACCTGTAACCTATAAATCTAAACTAGGTTGAGCGAAGCTCACAAATTTTTACGACCTGAACGGAGCGAAGCGAAGTGAAGGCGTGAAAATTTTACCCGTTTTTAAAAATCCAGATCGATCTAGATAATTTGGTTGCATCTATGACCTTAAAAGTATTTAAAAATAAATATTGATATTGAAGTTCAACACACCTGTAATTTATAAACCTACTGTAATCTATAAGATCTGAGTTCAACACACCTGTTGTTTTATTTTTAATTTTTAATGAAACACGTCTTAATGTTTTTGTTCGTGTTTTTCAACTGATTTTTTTTATTTTCTCAGACTACTGAGATCATTATTTTACACCTGTAACCTATACAAGAGCCTACTGTAATCTATAAACAGTTGAACGAAACGGAGCACACAAGTTGCAAAACTATCGAAGACTGTAACCTACTGTAACCTATTTTGAAGTCTGATCTACATAAGAGACTGACTGCGGAGTAGCAACTGGAGCGCAGCGGAAGTTGCAAAACTATCCAAGACTGTAAACTATGTTTAAGTCTGATCTACAACAGGGAGTTAATGGCTTTCTTCAAAAGTCGTATTTTTTTATTTATAATTTTAAGTATTGTATTTTTTGCGACACTGGAACCATGATTTTCTTTGTAAAACGTGTTTTTAAGGCATTTTTTACTTTGTTGATAATACACTAAAATGTTTAGTTTAAGTTTTACATTTTATTGAGAGAAGATCTTTCAATATTTTCTGAACAGTACATAGAGAGTTCTATAGGATTGTGTGAATATTCCCATGAAGCGTGATCGGCTTCATTACTAGTTTATTGTGTGTTTTCAACATGTTGCGTCTATTTCTTCTACATCTACTACATCACTTCACCTACTTTAAACAGTTAAGCCTTATTATCTCATATCTTGTTCATGCAATATTTTTGTTTCTCTTAATGTTGTTGTTGTAACATATATTCTTAAAAGAAGATGCAATTTCATCTGTCGTGCATTTCTTTATTTGCTTGTTCTTCTTGCAGTTGTATTTTTTAGGTCTGCTTTGGAAGTGATATGGGAAGTATTATTATGTTTTTGACTAGGTGACTCATTTGTTCGGTATTGGAAGGTATCTCATTTTTTGATGATCTTAGATCATATTGAATGTATACTTTTAAATATTGTGGGAAGTTATAATTTGGGTACGAAACTCTTAACTGTATGTTCGCATTCCTAAAAAAACCTTTACCTATTCAGATCAATTGTGATCCAGCTAATGAGAGTTTAACGAGGGAGGATGCGCCAAACCAATGCACTCAAACCTAGATGTACAATGTTTAGTGGGATCCGAACCACTCCTCTGATGAAATTTCTGTCTGTAGCTTACAAAGGAAGGCTGTGAGCCTCATTTCCAGTACATATGATTTGAAAAAGAACAAGTGAAAAATTTCCCTCACCCAGTCTCGAACCCATAATCGCTCTGTCGGTATTGCAACAATTAGGTACCAAAGTACTAAACCATTCCGCCAACGAGCCACTTCAGCTCAGTTCGCATTTCTAGCTGACCTTAAAACCAGAGATAAGTTTAAGTCAGCCACAAAATATACTAAAGCAAAAGTCAAAATGCACCTTAGTCATCAATAAACGGATGTATTATGTTACTACCTTCGTCATTCTCACTTACACTACAAAAGGCTCAATTTACCTAACAATAAGTCATTAAATGAATGATCTTAAAAAATGAAATTGAGAATGCCAAAAAATAAGAAAGAATGTGTTACAAGTGAAATTTTTGTTTTATTGTATGTAACAAGAAGATTCTTTTCATTTATGACACAGTCAGTGCCTGTATAAGCATATAAAATTTTATTATTGCTGTTGTTATTTTCCTCAGAAAGGTGTGTAACATTCCAAGGTCACTCTTTCTCCCAAAACATCTTCCTTCCATTATTTCATGCTTCAAGTTGAGGTTCAGTATGAAATTTGCCGCGATCGTGTGAGAATATTGTCTCTCAGTGAAGAAGTGTCGACGACAACGTACGTAAGTGGAGGGAAATTGCTTCAAAGTGAGAGAATTAATATTTTTTTTGGTCAGTAAAAGCCTTTAGATTTATTAAAAAAAAGACTCGTCTCGCACAAATATGAAAAGAAAGAAGAAATTTTTTTAAAGTTGTAAACTTTTAATATACATATAAAAAAGTCTTTGAGAGCCTATAGCTTGAAACGCACACATGATGAGAATATCATACACATTCGTGCCTTGTGTAACGGTTTCTTTGGAGGTAGAAGAAGAATATAAAGAAATTAATAATATTATTGAGTGAATTCTTTCTTACCATCTACTGAATACTTTTTTTTTCAGTCTTCGATTTGTTGCGTGGTTTGATAGACCGAACTTTTGAGAATGTAAAGTGTTTACGGTGCAAAAAAGTAATAACTTTTTTTTATATATTTTTACTCTTAATTTATGTAGAATTAACATCAATTAATCTGTTATAAAGTGAATAGAAGATAGTTGCAGTTCCAACATAAAGCAACAAAGTCAAGAAGAAAAGTTTTGTGCAAATTAATTTTGCGACACGTAGTGAAAAAATAAATAAGAATATAAACACAACTTAATACTCGTAATAGTAAAGTTAAATAGAACATAATGAAAGTTATATTAGGCTTAACATTGCTACTACTAACATCGTTTAGAACCTTGGATGCTCAAGATGATTCATTGGCAGGGAGCTTTCTCTCAGGTAAGACTGTCTATCAATTGTGCCTTCAAATGAGCCCTATTTACTGTTAATATTACTGACACACAAGGGAAATATACACCAAGTGTGTCTAACGGAAGTTTTCGGAACTTGAAATGCTGCTGTGCTAATACTTACTTAACTACTCGTCGATTTTTTGGGTCATTCATAAGTGACGTAAAATTAATTATTGATTTTTGTTGATCTCCCACTTCTTCCTAGTCACGTAGCTGCTTATAAGATATCAAACAGGTCAAGGACCCCTAAAATCTGAGACGTCACTTTCTAATGACCCCCATTTTACTTTTTTTGGGACTTGATTAATTTGCGATAATTTTGGCATCGCTTTCGATGAAATTCTCTTTCTCTTTTCATTCCCTTTGTGCTCCTCTCCTCTCCTCTATCGAAATTAAGTCTCTTTTATGCACAATAATATAACATAAAGTAACGATGAAGAAGAATATTGAAAAAAAAAAATTCACTTATTGCCAAAAAACCTTCTTTTTCATACTGATTCTCTTTCGTTGTGATTTGACACAATGACTCAGTTTTGTATATTTTTTTTTATTTTATTTTATTTATCTTGTTATGGGTGTGAAATTTCTTTTCTTCATTTCTTATTAATAGTTTCGTGCTTAGCTTTCGAGCTTTTAGTGAATTTATTTCTGTTGTTTTTGTTGAATGGATTAAAAGCAATGTTGTGTATTCTACAAATCATGTCAACAAAAGTTATTTCGCTTGCTACTGCTTGGGGACTGTGTAAGCTGTTATATCGGTCAGCTGATTTTTATTATTTAATGAAACACTTTGTCCAGATTGTGTGTGCTGGTGTGTGCTTTGTTGACTTTTGGACTTTTTGGAATGGAATTTTTGAAAGCTAGTTTATCTATTAGGCATCATTTAAGATTCAAGAAATTAGAACTTTTTTGTTGATTCAGGAAGTATGTATATAAGTTTGATTTTAGTCATTTACAAGAAATGAACCCTAAATAATCACAATTATAGGTTGAAAATCGTTCATACCATAGAATGCCTTAGTCAACTTTTATAAAATAGTGCTGAATTCTCGACTCAACTATACTCTATAAAATGTTTACAAAGTTCAATCCTATTTCAAGTTCTAGATTGATGTCTGTAGAGTCTAAACACAGTTTAAATTTACTTTATCCGCTCAATGTAGCTTCACCTCCTCGATCTTAACGCAGTTTCAGACCCCTACAATGTCAACATAGTCATAGGTGACAAACGATTAACCTGCTACTTACAAACATATCCAAATTATTGAATTGAGCAGATCTAGATTGAATCTCGAATGTTGTTTGATTTGATCTCATCTCTTTAAGTCTCAGAATACAGTCAAGAGACTTTTAGAATAGGATTTAAAACTCAAAATCCATCCTCAAATCTGAAATTACATCCAAGCTTCATGAATCACCAAAATCAACAGTTCGTTGACTCTTTCCGAATTCCAAATAAGTCAATATCATTAAATTTATGCAAATGTCTTAGTCATGTATAATATTACGAAATTTTGAGACGGAATCAAAATATGTCACGCATTATTTCTTAAAAATGCGTTTTGAAGTTATTCCCATTAAGATTCCTTTACTGAAATCATCCAAGAAGATGAGAAAAACAAATGAAGAGAGACTAGAATATACAGCAAAGAACACGGAGGCTAAACATTATAAAAATTCATACTATTTATGTGTCAACAGTTATTTTCTCCTCTTTTTAAGCATTCATATGCATACTTATACACAACTAAACGAAACTCTTTTTTTTATTGTGAAATGAATGAATTTTTCATACTGACTCATCGGCATGTAATGTTATTATACACACAGCATTAAATGCAGAAGAAAATTCATGAAAAATAAATGGTGTTATTCATGCAATGAGCTAATATAAGAAAATTTCACTTTCTTTCTCTTCCACATCATCTTCTTGTTCTACGTAACAATAATCATCGTCATCATCATCTATCCATCCATTCATCGTGATCAATTCGACCGGTAAATGCGTCCGGTAATAAATAGGATTACTAGACACAATTACAAGTACAGAAAATTCAAAAGACTGTCCAGGGGTATGCGTGCATGCACTTGCAACATTAATATGTTATGAGGTTCTTGAAGATATTAAATGTCCATCATCGAGTATGAAGTGTTGTGTAGAAAGTTCGAGCGGTAAGCATTTACCCTACGATCTTTGAACTTAATTAAAATTTAATTAAAATACTATCTTTAGCACTAAACAACACAACGCCTCGACCTGCAACTCGATATTCAACCACAACACACCGTACGACGACTGAGTATGTGAGGCACACGACGAGTAAGAAAGACAGTGATAAAAAGGACAATGAGTGTCCAGGTGTATGTGTTGCTGATCGTATTGCTGATTATTGTGAAGCTTATTTAAGAACGCCAAACTTATGTAAAGGCGGAACGAAATGTTGCGTTGCCAAAGATCAATATATGGATGATCCTGACCTAAGAATTCTCATTAATACACAAAATTCAAGTAAAGCGCCAAGCAAGCCACAAAAAACACCGGAGAAAGTAAGTTCAAAAATAATTTTTTTAATGACTATTGTCGTGCTAAACAGTTTTTCGCACATTTCTACACAATTGTTATTGCCTCTTTTCTTCTTTATTTAGATTCATTCAGAGCCATTAAAGTCAAAAACGAGTCCACCAAAGTATTCGAAAACAACAAAAAAACCATATCAACAGCCATCAAAGCATGCACCTAACAGTCAAGGTCAAGTTCTTAAAGAATGTGAAGGCGAGTGTGTCAGTGGGCTATTTGCATTGTTTTGTGACGACATAGATTCAGAAGCTTTCTGTCCGAATGAAGGAAGCTGTTGTATGCCTGCAGGAAGTAATGATAAGGAAGTCTCGACCACACCACGTCCAACAACTCCTGTAAGAATTTTTGAATCATTTTTTGATTCTATTGATTCTAATTTGATTTCTTCTTACTAGCCACCATTGCCTAGATGTCCAGGATTTTGTTTGCTTAACATTATGGCTGCTTTCTGCGAAAAACCAGCAGGTGAGGAATGCAAACTGTAAATTTTATAAGCAAACATAATAAAATAAATTTTTTCTCTGTACTAGTCTTAATATCGCGAACATCAAGCTGTAAAAGCGGTTCAGTTTGCTGTGATAATACAAAAGTAGCACCAAAAACAAGACCTCCAACAAGACGACCACAACCAACAACTACTCCATATTATCCTCCTGCACCAACTCAAGCTCCAGATCCTCGTGAAGAATGTCCAGGGTCATGTATTGTCAGCTTATTAAGCTTTACTTGCTTCAGAAATGCCGAAATGACAGACTTGTTTAAATGTAAAAAATCTGGGACTCAGTGCTGTGCACCGAAATCGAAAATTCAAGAGCAGATGGATAAGAATAATCGAAATTACACATATCCATATAATCCAAATATCGGACCAATTAATCCAAATTATCCACCACCACCTCAGTATTATAATAATTATCCACCACCACAACCTCAACATCAACAGCCTCAACATCAACAGCCTCAACATCAACCTCCTCCTCCTCAAAATTATCCACCACCTCACGTGTATGAACCAACAATATCTCCAATATTACAACAACAGCCTTCATCGATTGCTTACGAGCCACAAACTACACCCAAACCACCACAAGTTTATTCAAAATATGTTTGTGGCGTGAAAGGAACCAGTCGCGTGGCAAAATCTTATTTAAATGCAACGGAACTAAGTGATTATTCCACGGCATTGTCAAGGAGGAAAAGAAGCGATGACCTTGAAAGAGAAATTTCAAATATTTACAAATCAAAATCATCTGAGAGACTTATTTTGGGAAGTAATCCAGTGCCAATACCGATTGTGTATCAAGACAATCATTCATTCAACTTTGATTTGCCATACAATACAAGAGATTATGTCAACACATCAGTGGCAAATTACAGACAGGGTCGTGTAGTTGGTGGTGAAGATGGAGAAAATGGAGGTAAGTGAAGCAAATTGTTTGCATCATTTTTACTAAACGCACTCTTGAAGCGGAATTTTTTCGCGTCATTGTTACTGAACACACTTTTGAAACAGAACTTTTTTAACCCAAAACTATGTTCAATAAAATCCAAAAATAGTCAACATTATAATCTCAATATTCAATTTACGAAAGTAAAATTACATGTTATTGATTCTTCTTATTCTTCTATTCAGAATGGTGTTGGCAAGCAGCTCTGATCAATTCACTTAATCAATACCTTTGTGGAGGAGCTCTAATTGGTAAATTAGAAAGCTATTTTGAATTTCTATTTCATTACCAAAAAAAAAAACTTTAATTAAAATTCCATTCATTTAGGCACACAATGGGTTTTGACTGGCGCACATTGTGTCACAAATATTGTCAGACAAGGCGACGCCATATATGTTCGTGTTGGAGATTATGATTTAACAAGAAAGCATGGAAGCCCTGGTGCACAAACACTTCGTGTTGCTACAACTTATATCCATCACAATCACAATTCACAGACACTCGACAATGATATTGCACTTCTGAAACTTAGTGGACAAGCAGAACTTCGTGAAGGTGTTTGTCTTGTTTGTCTACCAGCGAGAGGTGTGAATCATGCGGCAGGCAAACGTTGTACAGTAACTGGATATGGTTACATGGGAGAATCAGGACCTATTCCATTAAGAGTTCGTGAAGCAGAAATTCCAATTGTCAGTGATACTGAATGCATACGAAAAATTAATGCTGTGACTGAAAAGATCTTCATCCTACCAGCATCAAGCTTTTGTGCTGGTGGAGAGGAGAATAATGACGCATGTCAAGGGTGAGTGAAGCTATGACTTGATTAATTTTGAAGTGACTCACAAAATATTTAAAATTATCTTAGTGATGGTGGTGGTCCACTGGTGTGTCAAGACGATGGATTTTTCGAGCTAGCTGGGTTAGTGTCTTGGGGATTTGGATGTGGACGGCAAGATGTTCCTGGTGTATATGTCAAAGTGTCATCATTTATTGGATGGATTAATCAAATTATAAGTGTGAATAATTTATAATATTTATAAAATTAAATTATTTATTGTTTAGGCTCAACTAGGAATGTTACTAATATTATTATATAATATGGAGATGATAGTTTTATGAATCTATAAGAAATTTCATTAGAAAGTTAAGTTATTGAATGTAAAATTTTTGGTGTAAGAGATAGGAATTTGAAAAAAGACTGTAGATTTCATTTTCATTCACTGGAGACGATATTTTTATTGCGCTGTGGGTATGGTCATGCACTTAGAATAAGGATTTGCAATTTTTAAGCAAAACATTTTTTGCATCTTTTTTACTGAACACACTTTTGAAGCGAAATTGTTTTGCATCCTTTTTACTGAACACACTCTTGAAATTAACTTGTTTTGCATCTCTTTTTACTGAATGCATTTTGATGCAGAAAATGTTCACTTCAATCCAGCCAATTTTTGATGTAGAAAGTAGTAACCATACCCATAGCTCAATAAACCTATAAATCGTGAGAATCTCTACGAAACCTTATCTGTTAAAAATGACTTTTTGAAAAGAAAATAAAGAAATAAAAAACCTTTTTATAATATTAAAAAAATTGTTTTAAAAAATTATTAAAACAGAAAAAATAAGATTCACGATAATGTTTTAAGTTTGATGCGATAAAAACTTAATTTATGTGTTGCATTGCATTGCACACCGGCAAATTTAAAGAAAAATTTAACGAAAGGAGGTAAAAAAAGTTTTTCGCGACAGACTCGTTTTTACAGATCCAAAGATGCTTTATTTCAATTCCAATATTGAGACTCTGCTGCAGCAATATGAGATAACATGAATATAAAAAAAGTCGAAGGAGTTAATGTTCATCAACAAAGGCAAGAGAATAAAAGAGGAAAAAAAAATATAATGTTATTGATATTTGTTATTCGAGAATTGCTCATAAGTAAAAAGTGCACATGAGAATTTACGTTTTTTTTCCTTCTCATTGTCCTCTTACATATTTATAGAATTTTTTTTTTACTCCCGTCATCAATACAATACCGATAAAAATGTAGCACACAGAAACAGGCAACAAATGGAGATACATGCTGAGAGATTACGCTAACGTTTACGTATTAGGAATTGAGGAGCAAAAAAAATTAACTTTTGATAATGCTCGATGGGAAATGTTGAAATTCCATCTTTTTTTTTTTGTTTTTATTTTTCAATCATTAAGCATTCTGAAGATGGCATGGACGGTAAGCACAAAAAAATATATATATGTGCTTCGTCTCCACATAGAATTTTCTTATAAATATTACGCACAAATTATACTTTCAGTTCTCATTCTAAACAGAAAAAAACCAAAAAGGCCTTATAAAACTTTGTAGCTTGAACAGAACAAAAAGAAAATTCGGCAATTGATGAGCAAAAAATGATTGTGAAATGAAATAAATTATCGTTTAGACAAAACGGAGTTCAATAAAAATTCTTCAAACGACTCATAATGTTTTTGTGGCATGAATGATGTATGGGAAAGTTTAAGTGATGAATCTTGAAAAGATCGGTCGTAAATTTTCAAATAAGAATGAGTTTTTCTATTGTTCAAGTTGACATTTTCATCAACATTTAAATTAGATTTGTTACTTTATAAAAATTCTGATAATAATGAATGATTTAAAAAGGAACAATCGAACTCGAATTTCTTACTATTCGATGATTTTATTCATAAAAGATTGAAAAAGTTCAACAACTAAGGGGTCGTTCACTTATGACGTCCATAATTTAGGGGGAAGGGGTACCAAAAAATTTGTGACACATTGTGACAGGGGAGAGAGGGGGGTCAGGAAATTTGTGACATCCAATTTTCAATCAGAAAATTATAATATTTTTTGTTCTTGGATTGGGCGTCATAGGGATTGGAAGGGTAGGGGGGGGGGGGGGATTTACATCTGTGACAATTTTATGACAGAGTAGGGAAGGAGGAATCTACAAAATTAGGTTATTTCATGGACGTAATAAGTGAACGATCTCTAAAGAAATCGTTTTAAAATTATAGAGACTCGAACCATGACCTTTTAGGTAAATCAATATCATTTATTAAGTTTACAATTTTTAATATATGAAGATTTAGACTTTTTGTCATTTTAAAGCTTCAATTTATTTTTAAATTAAAACTTTATCAATCATTTAAAATCAACATATTAATAGTACCAACCATAAAACTTAATAATCACACTTCTTATAAGATTTCCAGCACGTGAGAATTTAAAAGAAATCAAAATTATAAGAATTCTCTTCCTCTCTTCCACACATATACGAGCACATAACATGCAATATTTTATAGCATCATACAGGAATAAGAAACAACAAATAACTCAACATACACATAAATCATGGCAATAAAGAGAAAGAGTGTGAGAGCTGTAAGATGCTATAAAATAATATTTAAAGAAGAAATAAATAGAAGAACATGAGCTTTAAGGCGGAGTAAAAGAAGTTGAGTAGCATTTGATGTTTAAATAATAAGACATAAAAGGGAAACAAAAAAAATTCAATTAATTCACTTTTTAAAGGAACGGATTTTTTAAATGTTGAGTCCATAGACTTCTGGTCAGATATCATTTTCTTATTAAACTGAGAGGTTGTGCTCGGAAAAAATTCAAAGGATTTAATTCTGTTGGAATTGTGCAATTATAAAAAAAATATTAAATGGACAATTAGAAAAAATTAAAGTGAAAAAAAATTATTAAAAAAATTTTCAAGTTCACAAAAAAAGCGGGAAAAACTTTTAATATCGATTTTTAGTTTAATATTATCCAAAACTTAGTTCTCCACTGCTTTTATAGAAATAATTATTACCGGCATATTGAAAATTCCCTCCGTACTTCACCCAATTTTTGGCTTTTAGATTCATTTTGTTTTGGTATTTTAGTGTAAAATTTAGTTTTAAATTTTCATTTTTTTCTAAATTATGCTCGTGAAATTAATTCGGTTTATTTTCTTTTCTTTATCTTCAATGTGATTTTCAAAAATTTAAAAAAAAATTATTAAAATTATTCGTTACGTGTGTAAATGGATTCATCAATACCGTCTATAACATCGGGTAATATCACTTCAACGTCCACAATTATTACAAGTACACCGGCATCGATTAAATCAACTTGTTCAGTCATTGTCGATCCGACATCGTCAGACGATAGAACACAAACTACTTCTAGTGCCTTACTTACAACGTACTCATCAACTTCTACAGATCCACATCACACACCTAAGCGCGTCTCATCGTCAACCGTTTCGAGTCCAATTTTGACTCCACCGACTGGAAAGATCCTTAGTAGGAACTGTAATGGTACAAGTGAGTATTAGAGTTTATTAATTAAGAGTTAAAAGTTTGAGGAACTAGCTATTGATGCAATTTTGATTCCAATCGTCTGGTTAATTACCTAGAAACCGCTCCTTACTCTCGATATCTCCCAAGTGATACCCAATACACATTCTGACATTACATGGTCACCAAAGCATAAAAATTAATCAATGTTAGATAATTAATTACATAAAAGTTCTTGTTTACTATCGCGACAACTAATTCATGCATTTTTTTTGCTAAGCACAACATTAAAGAATGTTCAAATAATTGAGATCAAGATATTAGTCTGTTAAGAAGATGTGATGAAAGACACCGACACAAAATTTTTGCACAAGACGATAAAAAAAATCACTTTGTGTGGCTCCTTTTTGTCTGAACTATAACAAAAAATTGCACATTTTTCTGGAGTAGAGCAGAAAAAAGAGTCTCAAGCTATGTTGTTTAAGATTTAGTTTTTTGTGTGTTCTGATAGATGTTAAATGGTTAAAGGCTGTGGTAAAAAAAAAGTTGGAAGTCGCGGGATAATTATATGTGTGTTGGAAGTGAAACTAAGTTGGATGTGATTTAAGAGATTTGAGTTTTTTGTTAAGAGTGAATTTTTCATAGTCTTTTTAAGGTCAGAAAGTTGAATTTGAGAGTTTTTTGTGGAATTGTTGAACAAATTTATCACAAATTGTGCCATTAAATAGACAAACTTTTCCAGTTTTAATCTAAGCTTCAAACTTACTTCATTACTTCATTGTGGATAATTGTTGTGTTATTAAGCTTTGAATTTAATGCTCGGAAATCCCGACTCGGGATGCGATTTCTTAATCAAATTTTTAAATCCAAAATTCAGTCTTGTCTCTAGAATTTCACTTTGATTTCAACAATCTTGACTTTTGATTCTAGAAATCTTTTTTATTTGATTCCAATAAACTTTAAAAAAATCCATAATAAATTCAAATGGCATTAACAGAAACGAGAACTGTTAAATTTGTCAATTTCCACAATTATTCTCAATCCAACCAAATCACTCAAATAAACCTTAAAACTCTTAAGATTAGATTAATATCAAGATCCCCACGATAAATGAGCACATGCTATTGAAAAAATGTACAACAATGGAACCAAAATCATAAATAAGCGCGCAATGAGTCCTTTTTCTTTAATTCTCGTATCCTTTTCAAAACATCTTCAATTGAACGTGAATAATAATCACAATGAACAGTCCAACTGCTTCATTTGTAAGCCTTCTGTTTATTGAAGAAGTAAAAAATTTGAATAGACGATCGTCAGCAACAATTGAACATTATCATTCTTTGTTCATTCACTGTGTATTTTTATTAATAAGAGAGGAACTATGCGTAAATCAGACACCGAAAGCCGGACATATGTAAGACCCATTGAGAAACCAGAGCGAGAAATTAGAATAAAAGATCTAGAACGGGTTAACATATGGCCTCGAAATAATGCTCAAGAAACGGTTTTTTATTTCTTACTCCATGAGACGGTTACACAAAAGACTTGAAGAAGCGTTAAACTCACCCCACAAAAAAAAATTAACATAACAGCCACAAAAGCATCTCTAGTTTTTCAAGAAAAAAAAGCCAGCAAGCAAACGGAATTTCTGGCATCCATAAATTTCATCAAATACGGGCAACTAATGAAATGCGCGCAACGACAGCCGAATATAAAAAGAAATTAAGAATACAGACAAATTAAGAGCAAAAAGTGTTGTGCTTTAAGAAATCAGAAAATTTTTCATGCAATGTCATTTTTGCGATTTAAGGCTTTATTTCATTTATGAGACATTTTTTTTAGTTCCTTTCCGTCCCGACCCTTTCTTATTTTTCTTAAAATTGCAACGAATTTTTTTTTCTTCTTCATTTTTTTTGCTTACCTTTTTCCCGACATATGCGTTTGCTGTAAATTCCTTTTATTTCACATCAGAATTGAGATTTTGGCTTTCGGTGAGATCTGATTGGATGAAGAAAGCTAGGAGAAAAATTTCGTACATGATAAAAATAATAGAAGGCTGTACCTTCTGCATCTTTTCTTTCAACAACCCCGATCGGTTCTTGTCAAATAATATTTTTTGCTGCTGCTGCTTTTATGTACATAAACTTTTCATTACTATTCAACTCTACTGTTAGTGAGAAGGGGTGACTTTGTGTTAATAATATTGAAATTTATAGAATGATCCTTGATTCGGATTCATTCTTATGTTAGTTCTTGAATAGAAGCGTAACCAACTTGGAAGGAAGAAGAAGTTCATTTTTTTGTTGTTGCTGAAAAGATGTGATTTTCTACTGATTTATTGAAAAATTTGTTATGAAATATGCAAAAAAAATTGGGATTATTGATTGACTAGGAACAGATTATAGACAAAAGGTTAGGAAAAATTGGAATTTGTAGGATTAAAAAGGATTCAGTTTGTCTTATTGACAATTTCAATTAAAGTCTAATGACCAGCAATCAAGTTGTATTCCACATAGCTTTATTATCACTTAAATTGAGACTGATCAGCAAAATAATTTTATACGTCTAATGAAATTATTATTATCCTTAAAAATCCCAACTCGACGGAAATGAGTTCTCTGAGACTTTTCGAATTATGTTGTGCCTACGTCCTTGCCTAATCTAGTGTATAAGGCTGCTCCGGCACTCAATGTTAAGCATGAAATTCTATGAACTACAATATGAAATAAAAATAAAATTCAGACTTAAGTAAGGTGAGTGGATAGCCCTAGAATCCAGCTACTGGATCTTTAAAGAAGCTACTCAGAGCAGCCAGTGGCATTTAAATTGAGATTTTATCCAAATTTTCAGTATATTGGTTTTTGATTCAAATGCAGGGTCTTCATTTGTAGCGCTAGAAATTGGACTCAAAGGTTGACGTATTTTTAATAAAAGTCGTTGACATTCAAACTTTCATCCTTTACAAAAGAATCTTTAATTCATTTCATCCAGAACAATAGGAATTTAGGAATTTTATCCGGATGAAATGAGTGCCAATGCTTTGGTAAAAGTTGCTATCAATAACAAATAGTTTATCTGAAATCTACAAAGCAGAACCTATTTCGCACACCCTAGCTCACTGTCTGAAATGTATGAAAATATTATTTTTGCAAAATCAATCAAATTTCTATTGCAACTCAATTGCCATGATTGATGCATAAAATTTGCATGGTGATGAATAAAAAAATTAAAAATTGCAAGTTGAAAATTGATAAATTGGGGTTAGTAGAATGTTTGCATACAATTTAAGTTGAAGTGATTTTTCGTAGGGTTTGGTAAGGTTTGTTTTATATTTTCAATTGACTTTGAAAAAATTTAAATAATAAAAATACTCAAAAAATTCTCAAACCCTATTTTTAAAATCACTTTCAACTGATTTTTAACAAAATCAGAAAATCAAAATTGAATTTATGTTAAAAAGTCAAAATCACATTTTTTTTAATCGAATCAGAAATTCGCAACATTTTCAGCTTTAACAGCTTAAAATTAATTTTCTCACAAGAACTTCTAAACAGCATCTCAAGATTCATCTGAAACAACAACAAAAAAAATCTAGTTCATATTCTGCAAGCTGAATCCCATGACAAATCTATTTTTTCATCACATCTAGTTCTAATCAAGATGAAAACTAGTTTCTCTGAGAAATTTTCATCCAAATCTTAATTTTTATTAAGCATCAATTTTTTTCTTCTAAACTCAACTTGAAAAAAAATTGAAATTGTAGAAAAAAAAGATAGATTTATTACATCTTATTGTTTCCCATGTTTGCATCGCAGCTATAAAAGCTAGATTCTCACGAAACAGCATTTTATCCTTTTTCAAAAAAAAAAATGTTTAAACATCAAAAAAAATCTTAAGAATCATTTTCAGAGGAACTAAGAGCATAAAAAATCTTTAATGCATCTCGCAATGAGACAAAAAAAAAAACAATCATTAAAGATAAAAAACGTCCATACACAAAAAAATATTCATCTCATAGCTAACCCTTTCTTTATTTTCCTTTTGTCTACATTCAAGGAACCTTTATTTGCATATTCTATTGTTCACATACAGTTTTTTTTTGACCGGGGTCCGCGATTCACATACAATAAAGGTATGATGAGTCGTGAATCAGGTAACGAAACTGGTTTTTTAGGGGAAAGATGTTCGGGATGTTTTTTTTTATCCACAGACTTCTTATGTGGGTTTTTTATGCATAGCTTTTATCGAATGCGCCCTTAGGATAGAAACAAAAACGAAGAATAAAAGAAAAAAATTTGAATAATCTTCCTTATGAGGAGAAACGTGTGAGTCTCGTCTACGATCGATTAATTATTTTTTGTTTATACTTTCTGAATGATAGTTATGCAAATAGATTTTTTTTTTCTTCTTACGTCGATGCTGTTTCGGATGATGGGAACGACGACCTTAAACAGTGAAAGAAACAATTGAAAGACTTTTTTTTTTGTAGTCATGCGATATGATAGTAAATTCGTGAGAAAAGTAGAAAAAAAGTTCAGCGGAGGCAATCATCCTTGATAATGTGCTGTAAAAAATTGAGCTCGAGGATGATTTGTTAGAAATTTAATTTTTTTATAAGATTTAATGATCGTTTTTTTGAGTGACTGGGTGAGAATGAAAAATGTGTCTTTTAAGCGACGAGACTTAGAATTTAGGATTGAGATTTCATGAGAATTGGATTCTGTAGAACAGAGAGGTTGTTCCTTACTTCTTTACACATATTAGTGATCTCCTTTATTCTTGACTACGGACTTTTCAATTATACAGTTGTTGTTGATAAAACCTATTCCTAGGGTTACCATTGGGATCCATCCTAGTCACATTCAAACTCTATAAATTTTGAAAAATTTCTTGACTAGATCATTAACCTTGCAATAAATACCAAATAAACTAATCAAATTAAATGAGAATTTTCCTGATAACTCAATAACACATCCACCGTTTAAAGTCAAATTCCAAAATATTTTCAAATGATTGATGACAAAAAGAATGTCATTTCCCTGACCATATCATTATCAGTTTGACAAACTTTCGTCTTTTACATTTATCACGTATGCGTGCCTCGCATAATTAGTGTTATCATCGTCTAGAAAAATATTGAATTTATAATTTTTTTTTTACTTGCATAACAAAAGAGTTTCTTTTGTAACCCTTACCGCTAGCATTAAGGTCTTCTTCTTATAACAATAGTAAATTCAGGTAGTTAAGAACGAAAAGGTGTGGTTTACTCTATAACATTTGCTTTATTATTGTATTTTCCTTCTTTCTTTGCAGTGGTACACACGTCGAACCCCTCAAATGAAGCTGAACTTCAATTATACAGAGTATTACAGAGAGCAAGTCTGCTTGCATATTATGACACTCTATTAGAAATGGGTAAGTGCAAAATATTTTTATTGCAAGTTTGATGATTGGTAATTTTTTATTATTTTATTTTTTGTAGGTGGTGACGATGTGCAGCAGCTGTGTGATGCTGGTGAAGAAGAGTTTCTTGAGATAATGGCCCTAGTTGGAATGGCATCAAAACCATTGCATGTTCGAAGACTTCAAAAGGCTCTCCACGAATGGATGACAAATCCATCACTCTTTCATTCTCAAATGACTCCCAGTAGTGAAATTTCTATTCCTCCACCTCCGTTACTTTTCCATCCCGAGCCTGGAAGTATTTCACAGCAATTACAGCAACAGAGATCATTAGGTCCGTCTTATGTCTCTCCAGGATTTTCAGGTTCACATACAAGTACGACAACAACCGGTTCGTCTCATGGTTTTTGTAGTTTAACTGCTCCTTCATTTGGAACTCCACCTGCCATATCCTCGTCCTCATCATCGTCATCAAATTTAGTTCCATCCCTCAATCCAACTCTTACAGATTCACAAATCTCTCGAATAATTTCATCTGCTGAACGTTTAGCGCGAACTTTACCACAATTAGAGCCGCGAACACAAAATATAAAGAAGCGATCAGCACGTGAGCTAGAGCAAGTCATAGCAATGAGCGAGTCTGATCCACGACGAATGGATGAAATTAGAAAATATTCAGCAATTTATGGACGATTTGATTGTAAAAGAAAACCCGAAAAGCCATTGACGTTGCATGAAGTTTGTGTAAATGAGGCAGCTGCTCAAATTTGTAAATTTATTCCAGCATTACTGACTCGTCGAGATGAGCTCTTTCCACTCGCTCGTCAAGTTGTTCGGGATTCTGGTTTTGGACATTCAGCAACGATTCGTTTAATGAGTCAAAGTCAAAGTCGTGATGATAGTGAACAGCAACAAAGTAAACGTTCACGACTGGCAAGTGGATCAGGCAATGATCCTGGAAAAGTGAGTTAAATCAACATTGATAGCTTCGAGTTCTTGCCTTAAAACTGCTTTTTCTGTTTTTCTTACTTTAAACTGCTTTTATTTATGCTTTTTTTCACAGCTATCATCACCAACTTATTATTGCTTATAATGGTTGTTGGCTTTTAGGCACATACAAATTTAACACGCTTTATTTCTTAGGCTAACATGCTTTTCTTAATAGAAATGAAAAAAAATTTAAGTATATTTTTGAATTTTAACAATCCACACTCACGCTTTTCTAGAATCAAAAAATAATAATTTAGTTCGGATATAAGTTTGATTGTAGACAAGTAGTGCAATTTTAGCTAATGCTTATTATATTTTATCGATGCTTTATATTCTAATTTATTGTTGGCAATCTTGTTCGCTTTATGTAGCTGCTTCTTGTTGATCTGTTGTTTTTGTTGTTCCTTGTTTCTCATGGTTGTAGTTGAGTGCCCGAATGGCACAGGTCGGTTAATCGATGTCAAATCCGGCGTCAAGCTAGCATGACCCTGGAATGAAGCTGGCTTTTATTTAAAGCCAGCACCATACCACAGTCACACCGGTTTTGTGCCGGATTTATAATCAATTAACCGACTTGTGCCATTCGGGGTGTCGCTTTCTTGTGAGTTGGCTAAGCTGAATCAATTTTTACAAATACAAAAATACTTCAAAAATGGAAAATTGTAGAAAATTTGTGGAAATATTGTGATAAAATGGTTTAGAGGTTGTTGATTAGAAGGGTAATTTATTGGGTTTACTAAACGAAAAACTCCGTCTTTTGATTCTTGTTCATTCCCATTATTAGTAAATCTTAGTTCAAATCTGTTTCGCTAGTCAGTATCCTTAGAATTTATACTGTAAGCTGATCAAAATTTTATGATCAATTCTAATCGCAATTTAAAAATCATGCTTCTTAAGTTTTGCTGCTTTATAGACGCTTAAAATCGGTTTCTAGATTCCTTAAAAATAATATTTTCTGCTTTATTAGTGGCTGAAAAAAACTCTCGCTTACTATTCGCTAAAGTTTACTTCTCATGTGATTAAATTTTAATACTTATGCTGCTTCATTTGCTGATTATAGATTTCAATAGCTGTTCAATTACTTATACCGCTTATGTATGCAAAATTTATGTTTTGAGTATGCAAATCCTTTCACGCATCCTTAACTTCTATTCTGAGGTATCCTAAACATAATTCTGATAATGATATGCAAAGATGCCAATGATGATGCTTCAATCCTTTTTCCTTCAATCTCCTTAATGCTATTTTGATGCTTGAGAATTTTTCTGTTCCTTTAAGACATCTGTTTGTCTTTTTGATGATGCATAATGTTTAAGGATTTTAAATAATATTCAAATTATATGATTCTAATGATGTATAATTTTTATATTTTATATGCTTTATTGCTATTTACATGCATGATTAATTGAATTGCTCATCATCAATCTCCTTAATTGCATTTTTTAATCACGTCAATTTTTCTCTTTTTTAAGGACAATTCCGAAGAGAGTCGCGAGAAGCCGTTTATGTTTGCGACTTCTTTGAAGCCATTTGATCTATCAGAAGCGACTAAATTGTCGCTCGTTTTGAGTGCATCTCAGCAGATCAGTCAACAACAGCTTAAAGATTCATTTATGAAAAACTTTAGTCGTTATGCGACTTCAGATTTTGAAGATACTGATTCGAGATTTTCATTCAGTTCCAGTTCATCGCCAGTTCATGTAAGTTTGTGTTTTTGGTTTAATGTTGGATTTGCTTATGATTTTGAAAATTAATTCAATTTTAGAACGGAAACACAAACGATCGCGACTCATTTGACACAAACTCTGAATACTTTGACAAATGTCAAGATGAAAATCAGAAATCACTTGACGACAGTCCATTAGGTGTTCAAGTAATCTCATCATCAGGAGGTCACGTAATTGCTATTGCAAATCCAGCACTTGCCTTAAGTCCAACATTCGAATCTATCGCAATTAAACGAGAAGTTATTTCACTTGATCTTTAAGCTATCAACATGACCTAATAATTTTTAAATTTATGAACCCATTTTTATTGATTTTTGATTGAGCAAAAATAGAAAAATTATTGCACACATAATTTTGTTAACAATGCAACACTTTTGGCAATGTTCATCTCATTATTACAAAATTTTCTGGTCTAGTCCCCTTTCTATTATTGAACATAAAAGAGTATGAAAAGAAATTTACGTTCTTTTAAAATTCATTTCTCACCCTAGTCTCATTTTCTGTATTGTTATACAGCACCCAAGGAACTGAAACCCTTAAAAAATAATCTTTTTTAAAGAAAACTTTAGCTCTATACGCACAATTGTAATTTTATGTAAATATTTATGGTATAAATCAATTATTTCTTTATTATAGACTTTTTATTATTTTATTATGCTTAAAATCAATAAGTAGATAGGTAATAAATGATGCTTAGATTAATTTCAATACGTAAAAGATAAAAAACTTATAAAGACTGTAAATAAACATGATTATCTTATTGTTAAGTTTCAAAATCGTTCAAAATTTATAAGCAAAACTTTTTTGACAAATTTAGCAACAGACAGGAAAAGACTTTTTGATTGACTTTATTAATTTAAATTTTTTCAATAAAACTTGTAGAATAAAATTTTTAAAACTGAAAATAAATAATTTTTAATATAGACTGTCATAAGGTTCATTTGAGATTTAAATAATATTTATTGAAACATAGTTTTTTGCCCCTTTTTATAAAAATGTTCAGTCTGTTTACGATACAATCGTTTTATTACAATACAACCGTTTAGTATAATTTAATCAAGTCACAATTACAAAACACCAATGTCCTGCAATGTATGGCTTCGAATTAAAGTCTAGCGTTTGTAAAACCGAAATTATTGCGAAAAGCTATCAAAAATATGAAAACCACGTGTCATAAAGATTCAAACATTCCAAATATAAAATATCTTCACTGGAAGCGCCAAAATCTTTCCATTCCAATGTCAACAGAAGTAGATTCTTAATAAAAGTGAACTTTATCTTGAAAATTTTAAAAATTATGAAGGTAGGTCAGCTCTTTTTACATTCATAACTTACTTACTAATTCTTAATTCCAACAGACATATCTAGCTTTATTGTTACTGTGCACCGTCTTCTTGACTACATCACAATCATTTGTTGACAAAACTGTAAAAACTTTTCAGGCTGAGGTGAGAAATTTTTCATGTCTGGGCATCTTAAAATGCATTATGTAATTGAAAATTCTGAATTTTACAGAGAACATGTGGGTATAACGAGGTCTGTAAAGAAGAATTCCATAAAATCTTTAAATGTAAATGCCCAGCATATCTCTATTGCCGTTCACAAGGAAGATATTACAACGCAGTTTGCTCAATCACTGATACAGGATACATTTGGAGTCAGGAACGGGCTTATGAATTGACAAGGTCGAAGAAATGAAATAAGGTTTAAATAAAATCTATGGACTTGATTGATTCCTAAAAGGAAAAATTTAAAATTTGATGGCATAAAGTTTTCTTGTTTTTGTATAAGTTATTTCAGCATCCATCGCGCATGTCGATTGGAGATAAATGGAATGCTTTTAAAAAATGTTACAGGAAGCTTTCCAGCCAACGGTTGAATGTGAATTTTAGTGTTTAGGTGAAAATCTCAAGTGAGGTAATACATTGCTGTATCTTAGAAACCTAGAACCCTTTAAAACAGAAGCCAAAAACAACAACCCGCATGTTCTTAATATCAACAATAGATCCCTCTTTATTTAAAGTATAATTTTACTTTGTATCCATGGAATATACTGTGTCACTCTCGTGTAAATCCCAGGAAATCCAGGACGTGCACACTCATAGCCTTGTTAAAAAGAAATAAAATTAGAATTGCAAATTAAATTGTGATGATTAATCACTGATACATACCATAAGATACAATTCCTATGACATTATAATAATAGTAAGTTCCATCCGATGAGAGTTGCTGTACTACAAAACCTAGGGTAGATAGTGAAAAAAAATTGCGTAATAAATACATCATAATAACAATGACATTATTTTGCATACCACCGCCAGAGTCACCCTACAAATATATAAATAAGTAAGGGAAAAATCATTGTTAAAGATCAATAATCCGATTCTCATAAGTATGAACACTCACCTGACATGAATCCTTAAATAGTATTAACAAGACGATCGACATGTAGACATAAAAGGAAATCGATGAGTGAGATATGAGAAATTTTTTTGTATTTCGTTAGGGTTGAAAATGTAGAAAAATATTTAAATTTATTTTTGCTAACAACTTCATTAAGATTTCTTACCTTGCCACCTTTATTACATTTAAATTACATTGTGAGAAAAGAATAGAATTATTTATGAACATTTGATTCCATTGACATAAAATATTATTATTGCCTTTTTAGTTAATATTTTGGCAACAAATGTAAATTATTTAAGGACTTACCTTGTGGGTAACCAGCACATAGAATGTTGTTATCAAATACTTGATTTGGAAAGTAGAGTTTGTAGTTAAATGCACAGTCTGCTAAGGCGACAACTGGAAGTTGCACTTCCTGAAATGATGAATTATGGATTTTGTTAAGTTTGGAATCAGTGGTCTAAGCAGTAGAAAATTGATCCTGTAGAAATTCTTTAGTTCGAATCCTAGAACTTATCTTTTCAAGAACTTACTACAACCTTCGAAAGGATATGATTAGTTAAAAAATAAAGAAACCTGTAAAATTGCTGATGATGGTCCTCCAAAGCTAGTCGATCCCCATCCAGCCTAAAATTAATCAATTTACATCAAAATTTTCAAAAATTATTTTAATCTACTTACAACCCATCCATAGTTTCCTGTATAGTCCCTATACTTCACAGCATCCGTTAGTGGTATGCAAGCAGGTCGTATGTAGCTTGTGATCGGCAATATCCTATCCAATTTGATTATACTTATATCGTAAGTAATTTTTTGTGGATTATAAAGCTCATGGACATAAGGTGTGACAACATTTGAGTCAATTGTATTATATCCATCAGGTGATTGGGTAATATCATAAGCTCCTAGCCGTGCTGATATAAGTGTTGAGATAATGCAGTGAGCTGCTGACAATACATGACGTTGTGTGATTAAAGTTCCTCCACACAAAAATTGTGTTGTGGATATTTTCGTTGTAGTGTTTGTAATATTGTAGCCTAATGCGGCTAGCCAAGGATAGCTTCCAGGAACTGCTGTTTGTCCTCTAAGAAATTAGAAATTTAAAATCGAAAAAGCTTGAGTTTTAATTCCGTACCCAACAATTCGACTTTTTAGCGCATAAGTCATTCCACATTTATTGGCATCATTTGTTGGTAAGATGTTCAAAATTGGACCAGAACTTGTTGTTGTTGGTATTGCAGTTGTGGGTGATCCAGGCAATGAATTTTGATTAGTTACTGGTCCGAAGACCAAAGAACCTGTTCCACTAGATAAAGGTGGTGAGGGTTGAGGTGTTGGAGATGGGGGAACCGAGAAAATTGGTGATGATGAGCTACCATTGCTTGTTGTTCTCTGTGTGGTAACTGGACCGAACACAATAGCTCCTGGAGAAGCTGACGTTTGTGGGGAACTTGTGTAAGATCCTGTTAGTGATGCAAATACTAAAGCTGGACAGCACACCTGATGATTAAGATTGTAGATTTAGGGATAAGAAATAATAATTTTAAGCATACTATTATGTTTCCAAAAGCATTTAAAGAAATCTTTTTCCCTTGGAACTTTTTGATAGCGTTCTGCAGTTTCTGCAAAGAAAAATAATTGCTTCAATTTTTTGAGGGAAAGAATTTTTTGCGTCAATTTTTCTGTCAAAAAAAACTCTACTTCAAAGATGTGTTTAGTAAAAAAGATGCAGAAATTCTGCCTCAAAAGTATGTTCAGTAAAAAAGATGCAAAAAATTCTGCCTCAAAAGTATGTTCAGTAAAAAAGATGCAGAAATTCTGCCTCAAAAGTGTGTTTAGTAAAATAGACGCAAATTTTTCACAAATTTGATCAATTAACATTATCAACATTTTTATAAGTTCAGAAAAATTGAAGCAATTATTTCCTTCTAGCATCACAAAACCCAAAAATTATAATTACCATTGGATCTTGCCCATCCTGTCCACAAATAGATTTCTTTAAATAATTTAACACTCCGTCGTCTTGTTTTTGTTGTAATTGAATAATTAAATTGACTATAAAGTTACACTTTCTAAAGTTGATGCAATGCCCAGCAGCCCCGTCAGGTGAGAGACAATTTTGAGCTATAATTTTGTATATTTACAATGCATTAGCTTCGTTACACTACATTAGATAAAATACTTCATTCTGATTGTCAATAAATTACTTGAAAACAATGTCCATTTTATCAAAACACTCTCAATTAAACTAAAGTAAAAAATTTTAAATTTATTTAACAACTTCACGATGACATTTCACTTTTTACATTTTTTAACTTATTTTGTGGGATTTCCCCTAACATTCCTTTTGATATTAACAAATTCAGCGCTGATCTTATATCAATACATGGACATCCGTTCACTGTTTGCCTCTTATTTCGCACCAGTCTTGGATCTATCGAATTATCACCAAAATCTCCACCACTACCGCTTGGAGGGTTACAAATTGTAGGAAAAGGTGGACAGGTATTTGGATTTACTGGAATAGTAGAAGGTACTTCTGTAATTGTTGTACGAATTGTGGATGGGATGGATGATGAAATAGTTGATGATTTTGAAATGGATGTTGATGAGGAAGTAGATTCAGGTTTTTGAGTTGTTGAAGCAACAAACTCAGTTGTTGTTAAAATAGGAAGCTCTGGAGAGTTTGTAAGAGAACTTTCAGTTGTTGTTAAGATTGGATCAACAGGAAAGGTTGACATTTCAAGAGTTGTGGTTAAGATTGGAGGGGAAAAGCTACTAAAACTCATGGAAGATAGGATAGAACTTGAAGTTGTTGATTTGAAAGTTGTGGATTTAGTTTGGGTTTTTGTAGTTGGACCTTCTTCAGTAGTGGTCAAAATTGGGGGATTAATAGGCTGAAGAGTCATTATTTGTGTTGTGGTAAGCACTGGAGTCATTAAATCTTCAGTAATTACTTCTGGAGGGCTTTTAGAAGTTGTTGTTAAGATTGGATTGTTATCCTTTGTTGTGTCTGGAATAGAACTAACTGTTGTGGTCAAAACGGGAGGTTTAAGGGTGTTCTGGTCTGATTGTTCAGTTGTATTCATCACTTGACTGTCGGTCGTAGTCAAAATAGGAGGTTTCAGAGTGGTCTGGTCTATTCTATTAGTCATAGTTATAATTTGACTGTCAGTCGTTGTCAAAACAGGAAATATAATAGATAAACTTGTCATTGACATTGTGGTCAAGATTGGAGGAACTTCTGTAATTTTTTGGGTAGATATCTTAGTGGTCGTTACAATTGGTGGATCAGTAATCTTTTCTGTCGTAGATTGAACATATTTGGTAGATTCTGTGACATGCTCTGTTGTTGTTAAATCAATAACTTCTGTAATTTTCTCACTAATTATAGCTGTGGTCGTTAATTCTTTGTCACTAATTGTTGTGGCTGTAAAATGAATAGAATGCAATGAAAATAAAATTTATGAGAGATTTATGAGATGATAAACATGATTCGCTCTTCAATTTCGATGCTTTCAAACCTGTTGTTGTGGCTTGTGGATCTAAAAAACAATGGGAATTATTAGTGACAACAAATGAGGTAATAATTAAGTAATTAGACTATGAAATCTAGTTATGTCTATTATGCAATTCAGTCTATGATTGTGACATCAATTTATCTCATAGTCTGGAATATTTTATTAATTTGACTTACTTGTTGGTGTGACTGTCGGTGCAAATGTGAATGGTGATGTTGTGGCTGATGATTCAGTAGGATAAAATGTTCCTCCGGGAAGTGTTATAATAGGAAATGGAGTCTATAAGTTATAATAATAATGTGTGAAGGGCCCAGCCTTTCAGCTGGAGGCATTGCGATTAAATAGAACAGAATCTATTGTACCACACCCTTTAGACCTACAGTTTATAGTGGGATCCGAACCACTTGCAAGCTCTGCACATTGCAAAGACACGATTACGTCATAAGACCTGATGTACCCTGCAATGTACCTAGTCACAATTCGTGTGCGCAAGATGCTGTAAGGAAGTCATCCAGATGCTAGTATATCTTTGTATACCTAGCAAAGGAGGCATATTCTGTGCCAAAGACCTCAAAACTACACCCAACACACGAACCGAGCTTCGTAACTAGAACGGTGAAAATGGAAAAAGAGCTTCGAAAATTAGACATGACCTGGGATTGAACCCAGGACCTTTGACACAGAAGGCCAACGCTCTACCATTTAGGCCACTGATGCCATTTCACCGCTGGTCTATAAGTTAAGGAAGGTCTTAATTTATTTTAAGATTTAGATTTCATTCAATTAAGGACTAAGTTGAAGTGATTTGATCAATAGAAGTCTGATTATCACAACCATTAAAGAGCTTTGAAACTAGAACAAGATTAGGATCAGGGGTTGATTCTCTAGGTCTGTTAAGATCACTCTTTCTTTCCGAGCATTTCTAGAAACTAGCCTAAGAACTGAAGTTGACTCAGAATTGACTCCTCTTTATTTTTGCTGTGCTAATTTTACACTTCTTTTCATACCTGTGTGTACTCAGTGCAATGGTGTTTCCACCCAGATAACTTTGCCAGCCATGGAAATGATAATAATTTTAAACAAAATTCTTCAAACTTCATTTTTTCAAAATGCGTGCTTCTCTCATAGACTCAAAATCTGCACTACATTGCACTTTCGTGGGATGACAAGCAACATTTAATGCTCATCAACACATTCTATGTTAACCTTAACACTTTTTCATATCACTTGTTGATTTAATCAGGGGGATAACAACTTATTGTAAAAAAACATATTTCTGAACACTAGTTTTCCACAGCTAATAAATTATGGTGGATAAAGTTTAATTTAATTTTCCAGCAATCTTTTCCAACCAAGTTGTTTTCCCCTTGGATTTAACACAAACACTATTGGGTGAAAAAAGTCTACCAGAGCAGAACAGAATTAATCAAATTGGCAAAAAAAAGTGGTACGTAAAAAAATTATATACACAATGTATTATATTTTTTCCATGTTTTTCCATGGGAATGTGACTAATGTTCGATCAGTTGAATGGCTGTGACCTTCCACTAAGCAAATTTAGACAAAATTTTCGTGAATTGCACAAATATTTCAGATTATTTCACTATTGCATCCGCAATATCACTCTCAAATTGATTATAGACTATAACTTTAATGTCGGTTAATGCGACTGAAATGATCCCGTTCATTAATTTTGAATGTTTAAATTCCGTAATTGCCGTGTGAGAATTAACACATCATTAAGATTTATATTTAAATAAATTGAGAAAATTTCAACAAGCTTATCCAATCACTCACTTAACACATATTCGTAATTGACTAAAATTTGCAATAGAAGAATCAGATCCAAAGCTCTCATATCAATGCACGCGAGCAAACTAAATTAATTATTAAAAAATTTATGATTATTTTGTTATCCAATGTGATGTTGAAATTTACGACTATAGAATTTGACTGATCAAATCGTTCTTTGTGGATATTTCGTAATAAAATTTTATTCGATTGTTGCTGATAAAAAAATGAGACATTTTGTAGAGTAAAAAAACATAATTTCATTGAAATGAAGAACATGTGTTTGGTGGGTTTTTCATGATACTGTAATTTTGGACTTTAATAAATTGTTGTTGACATTAAACTTGATGGTGATCATTTCTTCTGGGTTTGTTGAGGAGAGAAGGTTGGTTTTGGTAGTAAAATTTGATTAAGGGATGGGTGGGAAGAGATATATAGAGAAGATAAGGGGCGATTGAAACTATTTAAGGCAAAACTCCTAGCAAATTGAAGAAAATTTATCAAAGAGGTTGGCAATGGTCCCACCTTGATATGCCTCTGAGACGGAAGGAGGGTCGTAGATCTTGTATTAGTCCAAACGTGTTAAGGATAATAAGGGAACGATCTGAGAGGATTAAGAGGTAATTTGTTTGAAAAAATTCTTCAATTCAGCTTAGCTGCTTGTTCTAGTGTTGAGAATTGTAATTTAGATCGGCTTTATCCTTTGAAAAAAGTACAATAATAAATAATAATAATAATAATAATAATTTTATAATTTTTGATTTTTAAGGCCGTTCACTTATTACGTTCGCTTATTATGAACGTTCAGGGGGGGGGGGGGGGGGGGGTTGTGAGTTGTAACAAAATGTAACATAGGGGGGAGGGGGGATTAAAATAAATTATGAACGTTCAGGGGGGGGGGGGGGGGAGGTTGTGAGTTGTAACATATTGTAACAAGGGGAGGAGGGGGGTGAAAAAAGTCGTTTTTTGCTTAACGTAATAAGTGAACGGCCCCTTTGCAAGATTTTTGTTTTCATTTTATAAGAAGTCTCATTTGCCTAATAATCACATAATAAATAAGAACTTATTGTGATATAATAAGTAAGATTCAAAATTTCAAGGTTCAATTCCTAAAATTTATTACAAAACATTATTGTGGGTTTACTTCTTAAATTACTGTTTTTTGTGAAACTTCTGAAAATCAGGAACCAAAATGAATGAAAAAAATCTGTGATGAAAAACATCATTATTTTTGAGGATGAAAAAAATTATGATTTTTTTCATTTACGTAAATTATTACGTAAAATTTCATCACGTATGAATCATTTTTACGTAGGATTTCATCACGTAAAGCAAAAAATGACGTATAAAATGTTTCTTTACAATTTTTCAAGCAAAACCAATCTATTCTATCTCTTGTTCTTATCATTTAGCATAATTTATTCATTTGGTGTGATTTAATTGCATTTCTTGCTTTACGTGATGAAATCCTACGTAAAAATGATTCTTACGTGATGAAATTTTACGTAATAATTTACGTAAATGAAAAGAATCAAAATTTTTTTCATCATCAAAAAAAAAATGATGTTTTTCATCACAGATTTTTTTCATTCATTTTGATCCCTGCTGAAAATCAATAAAATGAAAAACACAAAAAACCTTTTTTTTCTACAAAAATAAAATCATTTAAGATTTTTTTATTATTTTTTTTTGTAAACGAAAATTTTAAATGAATTAAATTAGTCATTAATTTAATTATTAAGAACGACATAATTTCCACTTTAATTTCTAACATTGAGTAAAAAATAGAATAAATTTTTGTTTTGTTTAATAAAATTAGATTTTTGTAAGCATTTCTCCATCCACAATTTTTTCAATATTTTTTTTTTGTTTAATATAATTTATCAAAAACTTTAGTCAATAATCAAATACAATTTTTTTTTGTCACATTATTAGGCACATTAATCTAATTCATAATGCGCTTAATTGAAAGCTATCGTTTTTCTCTTTTCTTTTGTTTAGTTTTGTAGAACATTAAATTTTTTTAATGATTTAAACTTTTTTTTTATCATTATCTTTGAATAATTCTAGTTAATATTATTAATTTTTTAATGACATTTTGGCAACATTAAGTTGGACAATCAAAAAAACTATTTCTTTATGGGTTTTTCGTTGTTAAGTAGTTTTAATTGTTGACTTTATTTTGGGAAGATTTTGAGTGCATTTTTTGAGGGAATTGATGAAATGTTTAAATTGGTGTTGTTAAAGCTGGCTTCAGGGCAGAAGTAGAATTTCTTTTTTGGGTTTATAGTTTTGTGCTGATTACCATGAGTATGCTACAAATCCAAGAAGTTTTTAAAAAAAATTAACTTCGAACCCCCCCCCCCCCCCCCCCCCCCTTGGATATTTGGATTAATATTTCAAAATATGTTGTAAAATTTGTTTAAGTGATATGCATATTACATGAATACATGCATTGAGGATCCAACTTTGATCTCAAAAATTATAAAATATTGTAATTGGTTTCGGGCTGCTCATCAAAAAGACCCCCATTACACACACTGTCACAAAATTTGTATTAAGAATCTTTTCTTTTGTTTGAACCATTGCACAATTCCAGACATTAAACTTTTAACTTCACTTATTCCTACTCAAAAATGCACTCCAATCACTTCCTTGATTAGACAATTTCAATTCATATATATATTTTTTTTTAATATTCTTATTATTTTTTTAATTATTTATGTATGACATGTCCTCTTCTTTTTTTTGAAGCACCAATTTTTTTTTATATGATTACATCATTTCTTGTCGAAATCACGATTACAAACAAAACGAAAATGGGAAAAAACATAAATTTTGAAACATGACTCATAAAATTTAATGCTTTTTGATTGTTATTGTTAATGTGCAAAATGTATACTGGAAGATCATAAGCAAATCAAATTGTTAATTTTGTTTTTAACATCGAAAAATAATAATTTTTGTTTCTTTCATTTGTACGAGGCACATTTTGAATATAATAATAAAAAAAAAAAGTAACAACACATTTTTGTAGACACATCGATAGAAGTAATAAAAAAAAGAGTTGTAAGCGAAACGAATTGACATTTAGCACATTAAATGCTGAACAAATAAGAAGAAAAAAGAATATTTTGACATTTTAAAAATTATAAAACGCAACATAGTTTCTTCTTGTTTCCTTTGCTGTTATCTTTGAAGTTTAGTGGACGTTCCGATTCTTGGAATCTTCGCACGATTCGAACCAGTTCTGTAAATGCTTGATCGACATTGATTCGTACTGTGGATTAAGAGATGAGAAATAAGACAAAGTTGGATGTTAATAAATTTTATGGCTTTTGTCCAAATCCGTTTTGGAAACTTACCTTTGGCACTGCACTCTAGATATGGAATTTTAAGTTGACGACTTAGTTCTTGTGCTTTATCTATCGATACCTGAATTAAGTATGAGAATATCAATAAGGGGCCGTTTACTTATGACGTTCAGGGGGGGGGGGGGGGAGGGTCAGCAAGAAAAGAACAATGGAAATTCCTGGAAATCCGTTGTTTTTTTTGAAAAATGACCGTTAATTTTGGATGTCATAAGTGAACGACCCCTTAGTTAAAATCATGATTAATTTGACTTAAGGTTTATCAACCCAAGGATCAACATATTCATAACACATACCACACGTTGAGCCTCCAAGTCCGATTTATTTCCGACCATCAACATTGGAAATTCATCTCGATCTTTTACACGCAATATTTGCCGATGAAATTTGTAGATTTCTTCAAAACTGGCGTAATCTGTCACACTGAATACAAGAAGAAATCCTGAAATATAAGATTAATTAAAAAGAATTATGTCATCGTATTTTTAAAGACACTTGTTCAGTTTTTGTCTACATTTTGTTGTTTTTTTGCTTTATTTTCTATTATTTTTCTTTTTGTGTCACTAAATCCTTTTGAAATGTTGAACGAGAATGCAATTTTGAAATAGATGCTTTGTAATTTTAATAGAAACCGCTGAGGAAGTGTAAATTTTAAGGTATTTTATATAGTATTAATACTACTTGTTAATAACACAGTCGACATTTATGAGCTGTTTGTCTATAGCACTTCATTTTCGCCTACATGAAATGATTCTTTTTTGGAGAATGAAAATGCTTGTCAATAAAATTTGGGAGATATTATAAGTTTTAACGGAATTTTCAATTTCAAATTTTGTCTGAAAATTATCTTTTTTGTTTGTTTGTAAACAAAGAAAGTTTTAAAATTTAAAAATTCACGAAAAAGTCTCCAAAATTACTTCAAATCAACATTGAAAAGTATAGAATAACTAAAGTTTGACTTGTTCTTAATGAATAAGGTCTTAAAACACCGACTAATCATTGTTTTAGTTCACTTTTCAGCATTTTAACATTCACCAAGTTTGAGTGCGTTTAGTAAAAAAATATTCAGAATTTTTTAAATCATTTTCTGCGGTTACAAATTTAATTTTCACTTATTTCTAGAATTTCACTTAGTCGAGATCATCGATACTGAAAACAGATGAATCACATTGTTTTCGCACATTTACATTACTCACCTTCACCAGATCGCATATATTGCTCACGCATTGCACTAAACTCTTCTTGTCCGGCAGTATCTAAGATATCTAATTTTGCTGGTACATCATCAATCACCAGTCGCTTCGTATAGCTGTCCTCTATAAATTAGAAAACATTTTTTATTAGTCAAGAATTCCTCAAATTCCACTTCAAATGAGCTTTACAAAAATGAGCATAAATCCACTTATAAAAAAATATTTTATATATTCATTCTACATACCTATTGTTGGATCATAGTCGCTGCAAAAGTAACTCTAAAATTAGAAATAATAATTTTTTTGTTTAAAATTAGATTAAAAATATTGTATCATGTTCATTCGATGATTTAATAATGATTTTTCTTCTTTATAAGATCGTCTGCTCACATCTACACTACGATAAATATAAAAATCTCTTAATCTTTACAGTTGCATGCACTTACAGTGAATAATTTTTATAAAATGGGAAAATTGCATGAGTGAGTAATTACTTTATCATTAATGAGAGTAATTAACACACTCCAAATGCCGAAATAATTCGCAAATAGTGAGCATAAGGTGTGTTTATATCACATATAAAATAAACTACCTGTATAAATTGAATTGTTATACAACTTTTTCCAACACCACCGGATCCAACTACAACTAATTTGAATGTTTGCACGTTCCCTTGGTTATTCTTCGACATTTTTTGGAGGATTTGAGGTGCGATAAATTAAAATAATTTAAAATACTAAAAAAGTGAATTTTTTTCGATCTGAGAGAAATATTTTTTGTATGTAAGAGATTAATACTTGAAGTGTATATACTAGATTCTTATTGGTTTGAATTTCTGGCTGCTCGTTATGTCTCTTATATGTTTTGTGTCTTATTGGAAGTATTTTTAAGTTAATTAACCAATTAAATGAGCTTTTATCGATGAAATTCTGTAAAAACCGTTAAATATTCAAATTTCACTCAAATCTGACCGTTAAATTACGTTTAAATTTGAAAATTATGTAAAATTCAAAAAATAATTCAACTGTCGATTCTCAGAGAATTCACTGTAAAAACATCTGGCAATTGTCTTTGTGTTAGTGATTTGTTTACATACACAACAGCATAAACACAGCATAAATCTTGAATCGACCAAACAAACTGAAAATATCACTTTTATGCCTCATATTCTTTTTGAATGTTAATTCCAACAGTAGAATCAATGTGAACAGCACGGAAATGAATAAAATATTTAAGCATATCGTGTGTAGAAATGGAATTTATGCTAATAAGATTCAAAGATTTATAGTGGATGATGAGAGGATTCAATGGAATATCGATTTTGACTATAAGCCACCATTCTATGAGTCAGAAGGATTAATAGGAAAGCCTTGGGCTGATTTGGCAAGTGATGATCCGAATTTCAAGCCACAATTTAATGCAATTGATGGAAATGTCAACAGAGTCAGTCACACTGGAGATTATAAAGTTGTCAATAACTTGCCATTAAATCCTTTCGGTCGAACTGGAATCACTGGAAGAGGCATATTGGGACGTTATGGACCAAATCATGCAGCAGATCCAATAGTATCAACTTGGAAACGTGATCGGAACAATGAAATTGTTAAGCATGAAGACGGATATCCAATTTTAAGAGTTTTATGCATACAGCGAGGTGATACAAAGGAAATAGCATTGCCCGGTGGAATGGTTGATCCTGGTGAACAAGTTTCAGTGACTTTAAAACGTGAATTCATCGAGGAAGCACTTAATGGAAAGATCCAAGAATCGGAACTTGATGATTTCTTCAATAAAGGCGATGAAGTCTATAAAGGATATGTTGATGATCCAAGGAACACTGATAATGCTTGGATGGAAACAGTGGCTGTGAATTTCCATGACGAAGATGGAACATTTTTGAATAAACTTAAGTTTGAGGCTGGAGATGATGCCATTGGTATACATTGGATTGAAGTGTCTAAAGATGTTAAACTGTATGCAAGTCATGCAAAATTGATAAAAGCAACAGCAGCATTGAGAAAAGCTCATTTTTAAATTTTGTTCATGCAACGTGTTTTTAAAGTTTGAATAAAAATTATGCATTGCGCATGGAAGTTGAAGCAACGGACTTAAATTCAAATATTTCGCATCATTTCTTAAAAGTAAGAGTCTTTCTTCATTAATGTGTGACATATGCGCATTTTTTACAGATAAATCAAGTCAAGAATGATAATTATCAATCCACGATCAACAAATATCTCAAGTCATAGTGTAATGAACACTTTTTCATGTAACCGTTTTTTGAGATTCAAAATCTTACAAACCTACAACATTCCATCCATCATAAGTATATGAGACAGCCAGCCAAAGTGAGCATTTAAAGACACTGTTCCATGCGAAATATTATCAATAAGAAAGCAAGTCATTCGGCAAAATAAAATTCAACAAAAAACTAAAGTTTACAAAATCCTTTAATTAAGCCTCGATTAATTAAATTATATCCTTCCAAGATGTCGATTATGGCTTATAATGGTGGTTGCATTGTTGCAATGAAGGGAAAAGAGTGTGTAGCTATTGCAACAGATCATCGTTTTGGTATTCAAGTAAGAAACTTATTTTTTTTTGCACAATCATTGCCTTAAACTTAATTATTTACACTCATTCTAGGCTCAAACAATCGCAACTGATTTTGAGAAAGTATTTCCAATTAATAAGCAGATGTATTTGGGATTAGCTGGTCTTCAGAGTGATATCATCACTGTTTATAAGCGATTAATGTTCAGAAAGAATTTGTATGAAATTAGAGAGAATCGTGTAATGCAGCCTGAAAGATTTGCTGCTATGTTATCCAGTTTCCTCTATGAACATCGTTTTGGACCATATTTCATTGAGCCAGTCATTGCTGGATTAGATCCAAAAACCTTCAAACCATTCATCTGTAATATGGATCTTATTGGATGTCCAAACATGCCTGATGACTTTGTTGTTGGTGGAACTTGTGAGGAACAATTGTTTGGTATGTGTGAGACTTTATGGCGTGAAAATATGGAACCAGATGATCTCTTTGAGACAATCTCACAAGCTATGTTGAATGCATTTGATCGTGATGCTATTAGCGGTTGGGGTGCGACTGTTTATATCATAGAGAAGGATAAGACGACTGTTAAAACGCTGAAAACAAGAATGGATTAAGCAGATTCAGTGATTTTGCATCTACTTTTTAATTTTTCTTAAAATATGTTTACAATTCATAATAAAAGATGGAAATAAAAAAAAAATCTTATTCAACTCATTTTTGATAAACTTTAATTTTTGGATGTCTTTGAAATTTACTTTTTATTTAAAAAATGAAAGTTTCGATTCAAATTTGAAAAATTTAACTGTCAATTAAGATTTAAAAATATCTTAAAACCATACAACAGTTTCTTAAATTCACCCCAAATCCATACAAATGTTTATCAAATTCACCTCAAAACACTACAAATTCAATTTCAAATATATTTTGAAATCCCAAATAACTGTCAATTAACGTATATAAACCAAATCCTCTTTAATCTACTTTACAGCACATATTGCCATTCCGACAACATGCATCACTCACTCAATAGTACTAGGAAAGCGCTTTAAGCAGGTTATCGATTTTTGTTTACATGCATTAGATTTTTTCTTCTTCAACAAAGGCAAAATATTTGACACTTTCAAGTATTAATTTGATTATTCATCATGTCATTATTTTGCCGGCTTGGGAGGACGTACCAACGGAATGTTGCTAAATATCCGTATACTTTTCAAGGAGTTCAATCCTCAATTCTCATGGCTAGTGGAGATTTTATTGCTCAAAAGTTTGTTGAGAATAAAGAGGAACTAGATTATAAGAGGCAAGTAACTTAATTCTTATCAATTATTTTGTCATTATTTGCTGATTTCCATTTTAGGTCGGCAAATTTCTTATTAATCGGGTTCTGTGGTGGCTTGGGATTGAGAAAATGGTACGGAGTTCTTAATAGCACATTTAAAGGTTCCAACAAGACAGTTTGTACTGTAAAAAAGGTTACTGGTAAGTAAAATGAATAAAGTATTGATCCATGCACAGTGTTAAGGATTTCAGTGTATATAAATGCTAGTGCTGGGGGTCCTCGTTTTGAGTAGCTATTTTGTTCTGAAAATTTTCTCTTCAAATCGAGGCAAGGAATCCATACAAAATCACATGTTTGTTCCAGAGTCCAAAAAATGTAATGTCTATTATTTTAAAGCATATTCATATGTGATTTTAACAGAAATTCACAAAAAATATGTTTTTTCAACAAATCAAAAATATGAGAACTTTACAAATGTTATTTCAACCGAACAATTTGTAAGGTTTTGAAATTTGAATTTTTTAAAACCGTTATTTTTTAAATCGATTTTGTAAATTTTTACATTGACTTTGAAATTTTATTATTGATTTTTCTATCAATATGATTAATTCACGATTATTGCATTAAAATTTATGTTTAAAAATGTTTTCTGAAAAGTTTTTGTCAAAAACATTTGTTTTGGAAACCATTCAATTCAAAGAAAACAAGGTGGGTGTGAAGTACGGCCGAGACCCATATCAACACAGTTCAAAAGTTATACCTAATTTATGTCATAATTATGTCAGTTACAAACACACTTAGTTTGAATTTTGTCACCCTCGGGAACACTATGAACCAGTATAGCTGATTTTGGTCCAAATCTCGGCCATACTTCACACTTATTTGAACCACATTTTCTAGTAAATGTTAAAATATTATTAAAAAGTAATTAATCCTGAATTACGTCGGTATTTTTCAATTGTTTTAAGATAAAGAATTTTTTTTTGGTTTCCACAGTGAAGAGTATGAACAAAATTCAGATGGGGTAGTCGAAATTTTAGATTTCGATTTTTTTTAAGCTATGCATTACAAAAAGTAATATTGGTATGTGATTTATGTCAGAATTATGTCAATTCAAATAAAACATCCAAAAAAATTTTTTGACCAAAGTACACCATAGAAAATCAATTTTTAATTTTGGACTAGGGGCGACCCTAGTCAAAATCAATTTTGTCACTTTTTTCTTCGAGGGTTTATCCAAATGGATTCAAACTTTGCATAAATATTCTAGTGCATATAACAAATACAAATAAAACATCCAAAATTTTTTTGAGCAAAGAACCAAGTAGGAAACACATTTTTTATTATGAACTAGGGACAAGCCTAGTCAAAATCTAGATTTTCGCTTTTTTCTCTTGCAATGTTTATCCAATTACAGTGAAACTTTGTGTGAGTGTACTAATATTTATGCCAAACAGTTTTAAATATCTAAAACAAAAATTGTATTCTATAAGTCGTCAAACCAAAATTTTATAAATTTGGTTGTTCATTCAAAAACAGCATAACTTAAAATTTTGTCCATTGAACGAGTAAAATCAACAATTTTGACACACAAGTGGAGATTAAGCGAAGGATCTTGGCTGCGCAGCGTGCATATTTTGCAATTAGACATTTACTAACATCGAAGAGAATAGCGAGAAATGCCAAACTAGTGATGTACAAGACACTAATACGCCCAGTAGTGTTGTACGGTTCTGAGTCATGGAATATGACTATCGCAGATGAGAACGCAATTGGTGTATTTGAGCGTAGGGTCTTGCGAATTATATTTGGACCGAAGAGAGAAGGTGACTTTTACAAAAGCAGGAGTAACGCAGAATTATATCAGCTTTTCAATGAAGCTGATATCGTACGACGAATCAAAGTCAACAGACTCCGTTGGGCTGGACATGTCGTTAGGAGACCTGTTGAAGCTCCCATTAATAAAGTCTTTAAGAATGTTTTTGTAGATGGCAAAAGAACACGCGGGCGACCCAAGAACTCTTGGAAAGAAGCTGTTGACAGAGACAGTATTGCATTTGGTATGGTTAATTGGCAAACGGAAGCCAGCGACAGAGTCAGCTTCAGGCGCCATCTAAGGGAGGCCATGGATCACAATTGATCTGTACGGCCAGCGAAGTAAGTAAGTAAGTAAGAACGAGTAAAATGATTTTAATGTATTCAGAAATGTGTTATTTGTATTTGTTTTAAGCACTAGAATATTTATGCAAAGTTTCAATCCATTTGGATAAACCCTCAAAGAAAAAAGTGACAAAATTGATTTTGACTAGGGTCGCCCCTAGTCCAAAATTGAAAATGTATTTCCTACTTGATTCTTTGCTCAAAAAAAATTTTAGGATGTTTTATTTGTATTTGTTTTAAGCACTAGAATATTTATGCAAAGTTTCAGTCCATTCCTCAAAGAAAAACGTGACAAAATTGATTTTGACTAGGGTCGCCCCTAGTCCAAAATTGAAAATGTTTTTCCTACTTGATTCTTTGCTCAAAAAAATTTTAAATGTTTAATTTGTATTTGTTTTAAGCATTAAAATATTTATGCAAAGTTTCAGTCCATTCCTCAAAGAAAAACGTGACAAAATTGATTTTGACTAGGGTCGCCCCTAGTCCAAAATTGAAAATGTTTTTCCTACTTGATTCTTTGCTCAAAAAAATTTTAAATGTTTAATTTGTATTTGTTTTAAGCATTAAAATATTTATGCAAAGTTTCAGTCCATTCCTCAAAGAAAAACGTGACAAAATTGATTTTGACTAGGGTCGCCCCTAGTCCAAAATTGAAAATGTTTTTCCTACTTGATTCTTTGCTCAAAAAAATTTTAAATGTTTAATTTGTATTTGTTTTAAGCATTAAAATATTTATGCAAAGTTTCAGTCCATTCCTCAAAGAAAAACGTGACAAAATTGATTTTGACTAGGGTCGCCCCTAGTCCAAAATTGAAAATGTATTTCCTACTTGATTCTTTGCTCAAAAAAATTTTTTGGGTGTTTTATTTGAATTGACATAATTCTGACATAAATCACATACCAATATTACTTTTTGTAATGCATGGCTTAAAAAAATCGAAATCTAAAATTTCGACTACCCCATCTGAATTTTGTTCATACTCTTCACTGTGGAAACCAAAAAAAAATTCTTTATCTTAAAACAATTGAAAAATACCGACGTAATTCAGGATTAATTACTTTTTAATAATATTTTAACATTTACTAGAAAATGTGGTTCAAATAAGTGTGAAGTATGGGTGACAAAATTCAAACTAAGTGTTTTTGTAGCTGACATAATTATGACATAAATTAGGTATAACTTTTGAACTGTGTAGATATGGGTCTCGGCCGTACTTCACACCCACGAAAACAAGAAGAAATTTCCTCAATTCGAATATTTTGGTGGGTAAAAATATTTCTATTCAAATCGAATCTACTCAAATCGAGGACCCCTAGTATTTTGCCTCACTGGATGTTTACTAATTTAATTAATCTTTGACTTGCAGTTGATCAGCTGGTTTTTGCTCCGGTCTTCATTGGAACCCTGATCTCATCGATTGGCTTGCTTCAAGGCAAGAAACCCGTCGAAATTAAGACTAAACTGGAAGATGAATTTGTTGATATTTTAAAAGCAAATTATAAGCTCTGGCCAGCAGTGCAATTAATGAATTTTGCTTTTGTTCCTCTAAACTACCAAGTAGTTGTAGTTCAGCTTGTTGCCGTACTTTGGAATACTTACGTTAGCTTTAAAACAAACAACTCATCCACAACAAACATTGACATTGAATTTAACGACAATGCTGGAATGTAATTAATATTAAAATGTGGTCATTTTTGACAGATAAAGGCGTATTTTTCTAGATAAAGCTGAAATATCTCATGAATTAGAGTAGAAACTGTACAAAATTTGTATCAGTAAAGTTATATTTGAAAAATAACTGTCAAAATTTATTTAAAAATTATCAGTCAAAATTTATTTGAATTGTAAAAAAATTTCAAAATTTGAAATCTGTAACGGTCGAAAATAAAAAAACTTAAAATTTCACTATCTGGAAAATACGCTGAAAAGTAGAAAGATTGTGATAGACACATAAAGTTTACTAAATTGGTTAAATTAACTTAAAAAAGAAATAAATAAATTCAAATTTAATAAGATATTAAGGTTTATCTTTTTGTATCTTTATTAATTCTTTTCCACGTGTTTTTTTTTGTTTTGTTTGTTGTTATCCAAAATAATATTTTTTTTCTCATATTTACAGCTACATTCATTCCTTTAAAATTGACACTCATAAATATTTTTAATCATTTTTTTTTTAAATATTAACACCACTTTTCTCTCTTATTTATCATCTTGTTTGATCGAGATTACTGGTGTATCTTTATTTATTAGAAATACATAGTGCAATTTTATTGAATAAGTTAAGGACATTAGGGGATGATGAGAGATGAGCAAAAATTAAATAACATACATACTTTCTACTTATACATCTAGTTGTGTTTTTATTATTCAATTTCTCATGTGTGTGAATGAGTTTTCTATGTTAAAAAAGATGTCGTTAATAAGAATTAAAATTTCACTAACTGCCATAAACGTACATCATCTGACAAATTACTGTATCTTTTTCTTCGGTTCGTTGCACATTCTCGTGTATGTTTTGACAAAAAAGAATTTGTTGCGAAAGAAGTAAACTTTGAGATACCTTTAAAAATTCATTGTGATGATGATATTTTGCGTGCTTTTGATCCTTTCTAGCTTAGGGTCGTTTACTTATGATGAGCATTCAAAAAATATTGAAAACTTTTTTTAACTCTTTTGTTTTAAACTTTTTTAAATAAATTCGGTAAGGGGACGTTCACTAATGATGTCCAGGGGGGGGGGGGGGGGGGTCAACAAGAAAAGAACAATAGAAATTCCTGGAGATCCATTGTTCTTTTTTTAAAAATGACCGTTAATTTCGGACGTCATAAGTGAACCACCCCTAAGCTAAAGTTAAAAAAAAAACATTGCCAGAGATCTGCTTGGACCCCCCCTTCTCGTATTTAAAAACACCGAGCTCTGATTCATTGTCAGCAGCCATGAACACATACAGGATGTATGAAAAGTTATTATTATTGTATTAAAGATTAATGAGTTGTATCAAAGCTTTGATGTCACCTCATCCACAGCTATATTAAGTAACATTTAGGTAGCTATCGTAAAATGGGTCGATTTCTTGACTAGTCTATATTTATAAGGTGTAATGATCTAGTTTTCAGCTTGCTGCCCATAAAAAAAAAAATCAAAGTTTACTTCCTTTCACAACTTAAAATAGTAAATTAATAAAATTAGGGAAAGTTTTTATGAATTTTCATTAATTTGAGTATTTTTAATGTTTTGTAACTTGCAACACAGTGTTAGCCTCTTTTTATTGTCGTACGCGTGTAATTGTTATTCAGAAATCATACTCAATGTACGATCATCATTATTGCCTCGGGCATTAAAATTGGATATAATCTAATTATCATGCTGCTTTATACTATTGGATATATATGTTATAAATTGAATAGGATTCTAATTGTTTTATAAAAAGATCCAGTTTACCCCCTCATTCCTCAAATCATCATCATCATCATCATTCAAGCAATAATGCAATCAAAAACATAACATCCCTGTATATCATATAATTACGTGACTTAGTGCTCATCATTCATTACAACTGTACGTAATAAAATTTAAATAAATATATTAAACTAAATGCATGTTATTATTTCGGTGTTAGCTAATCACACGAATCCATATTGTTCATAAAAATCTATTGTAATTTAAATACGGTCTAATAAAGCTTGTTTGTGCATACAATTTTTAAATAACTAAAACCTATCATAATCATAATAATAATTTGATTGATTAAGCGACTAGCGTCAATAAATCAATTTCAGAAAGGAGTTTTCAACTTGTTTGATGAGTTTAACATCATTTTAGTTCCACAGCTTTCATTAACATCTAAAACTAGATCCGAAAACAAATAATAGGACTCTTTTTCTCATTCTTTAAACTAATTAATTGGACAATCAATTAATACTCAAAAATATAGGAAATAATTGTTTTGCTTAAGCTCAACATGAATGTCAGGGTTTTAAGATGGCTTGTTATAGCTTCAAAGTCATTTTTTAAATCTTACAATACAAATAAAATCTTACGATGAGTTTCTTATCAACTTAAAACATCCCAAATTTAGGATAAAGTAAATTCTGAGATACTTGAGGCTTGATCAAGCTACAAAAGATTGTAAGGCTGTTTACACACATAGTATAATTGCAACATTATGAAAGAAACTCAAAAAGTCGCAGAATTTTAACAAATTTTGATATTTTCAAAACAATATCTCAAAAAGCGTAATAAAATCGTAATTCTTTAGATTTACTTAAGCACAATACTCTAGATTCTAACCCGCTCTAATATTTCGATAGTGATTAAATGCTAAATTGAGATTTTGTTTTAGAAAAAAATTGAAAAACTTGTAATTTTCCAAACTTTGAATGAATTCTGAAAAATTTATAGTTTCCTTCATATTGTTACTGTTTAACTGTCTTTGTTGATGACTTTCCACTGAATTGTGGCTAGTTTCTAAATCAAAAATCTCTAAAAACAATTGAATAAGCAATTCCTTTAATTTTAAAAACTCTAATTTTAATCTCACCTGATAAATCGTAAGATTTAAAGTAAACTTGCGATTAAAAGTTCCCAAGAAAACAAATCCAACTTTTTAAAAAAGTTTAATCACATGATTAACAGAGAACCTACGTCATACTCATACTCTGTTGACTAGTATATCAATAAAAACGTAAGTAGTGCATTGACACCACTTGTTAAACACGTGCACAGAAATGTTTCGTTGGAAACTCATACGTTATTTACAGTAAACCCAAACCATCTTCAAGCCCTGAGCAAAATGTTCTGTTATAAAAAACAGGAAAATTGGACAATTTCTCTCTTATCTTACATCACACATTTTTACCTTGACGTTCTAATGAATTAATACTTAGTACTTTTCATTAAAATTTGGTGACCTTATTTTTTCGATTGATGGGATCATATCATGAACATTACAAAAACTACTTTGGCGGAGGCTGTATATAATTCTTTACGTTTGCAAATATATAGGTAGATTGTTCCATCTCAAAAATGTTTTTTTTTTCTCACTTCGTTTCTGTTTCCCTTTTCGTGACTATAAGAGCTTACTGTTTAATCATAACTACGCTATTTTGTGTGTTAATAATTCTTTTTTTTTCTTCTTATGAGTTAGCTACGTTTTTTTTGTTTTTGTTCCACATTTTCACATTATTTGTTGTTGCTGCTGCTATTTTTTTGATTAGGACAATTGGATGATGACGATGAGTCTGAAAACAAATGTTATTGCACTGATAAGAGCTCGTTCTTTATCAATAATCGTGTCGTACACACGTCATAATAGTTTTTTTTGATAACTATTGACATAGGCATGGGGCTTAGTGATGTCACTTCCTTTACATAATATGTTATGACATTAAACCCCTCAAATGATAAGTTTACTCACCACTTGTCGTAAGGGCACTAAGTTTCAAAGGTAAATCAGCTGTTGATGTTTCACAATGACTGTCGAGTATATCAGGTAGAGCATTTCGCCTTCCTATTCTGCCCGTGTTAAGGAACTCATCTTGGATTTTCTCAGGATCGACTTCGACCACATCGACTGGTGGATGTGATTGTTGACTCTGTTGATTCGCTTTTTCTGTGTCCATAATCCTGATAACTAAGTCGTCATGGTGAAATGATGACAGAAGAAAGAAAGAAGGAAAGAGAATAAATTTTTTTATTGTCTTCGTCGTGTTGGTCAATCAATTATCCATTAAATACCATAAATGAGTTATATTTGTTAAATTGATACAATTAATTCCTACTTATTATTAATCATTTAGTATTAACGCTTTCATTGTTATGTCAGTTGGACTTTTATTAATAATTACTCAAAAATATTAATGTCTACTCTTTGCTCATCAACTTTAATTACATTCAGACTTTCATATTCCTTCTTTAAAATGCATTTTATTAATTACTTAAATCAAATTTTGACTGGATTTTAGCATAACGTTATGCAGACAAAGAGCATGCTCTTGATCAAGAGTACGTTTGAGAATACGCTTTTTTAACATCCTCTCAAGATCCCCGTAAAGAGCATGTTCATTAGCGGACTCAATCATCCTCTAATTATAAATAACTTGCATGCAAGTTTTTCCTTCATAATCTTTTTTATACTCTCAAGAGCATGATCAGAAGAGTTTATAAAAAGCATGATCATTGACATCCTCATGAGATTATGCTCAAATTTTTCTTGCTTTATACTTCACAAGAGAAAGCAGAAATCACTAGTATAGGTCCTATATACTTCACAAGAGAAAGCAGAAATCACTTTTATAAGTAATTATTTTGAATTTTGTATAGTTTAAATATGTCTTTTCGCCATTTGAAAGTTATTCAATTTCAGAAGGCATTAAACAAGATGAACAGTTATCAGGGCCAACTACATCACAGCGTACTCGGGCTGTGTGGCTTCGAATCACGGCAATCACCAAAAAAAGAAGAAAAGTATCAATTTCTCAAAAACATGATCAAGAGCATAATCACAAACTCATAAAATTATTTAAATAGTAAAATTAAAGCATGATTAGCAGAACATGTTCTTGATCATGATCTCAAGTTTAACTTGCATGTGAAATTTACAAGTAAAAAAGCGTACTCTTGAGAGCGTGATTTCTGTGGTACCCTGCTGTGATCTCCATTTGTATGGGAGAGTACGCTAATTTAGCGTCATCAAATTAAAAAATTGATTTTTAAAAATCATGCTCACATCGTGCTCTTTGTCTGTTATAACAGCGTGAATTATGGTATTTAAATGTGCTTCAACACTTCAATCCTTGGCAAAATATTGAAAACAATGTAAATATTGATAATGATTAGTCTTTTAATGCCATATACTTCAATTAGAGTAATTAAATCGTAATTAAGCCTTATTGATAAAGAATCTATTATTGAGCTGTTCAGTAATTCAATACTTCAGTTTATTTCGGTTCAAATCAGGGGATCGACAGCTTTGCTATCAAAATTCAACTTTATTAAAGTTTCTGCGTGGGAATTAAATTATGAAAAGTCAGTGGTAATCAACTTTATTCCATTAAACTGAATTCAATTAAATTTGCTGAATAAAAAAAATTGAAAGTTGTTTCTCCCCTGACATATTTTAAATTCAAATAAACCGTTAAAATTTCAAACACAAACTGTTTGTTGATTTCCACTTATAATTATATAAATTCAATGACCGCATTATGTTATACTAAAACCACATCTGGAACAGATATTTAACACGATCAATTTTGTTAATGAAATTCTGATTAAAAAGCAAGTATTAATTAAATTAAAATGTATCCGAGAATTTGGGGATTTTCAAAAATACCAAGAAACAAGTTTTACTCAATGCATGATCAGAATTTAAATTTATAAAAATAAAAAAAAGCTAAATTTAAAAACCAAAAAAAAATACCAATTGCAAGTCGATGCATAATTCATCGAGAATAAATTGCTTAAATGTTAAAAGCATCACACATGTCACAAAAAATATTCCGAATAGAATTAAAGTTGAGAGCTTCGTTAATCGCAAAATTCAATTCTGTACATCATACAAAGTGCTTCACAGTATTATTTTATTATTATTTTCAGTGGGATTCAAGCCAAAAATATCTTAATTAATTTATATTTTATTTTATTTTTAATAAAGTCAAAGCTTTATGTGTACCTTGAGATTTCTTAATCTTTTTCTGTAAAGGACCTTTCTTAACGATTGAGCCATTCTTAAATTTAATTTTCATGCTTCGAAAAACAAAAAGTCGTGGAAAATTTTATGCACGAAATTTTTTTATTTTTTTTATTTTAACAAAAAAAAAGTTCTTAATAATCTATCAAGAAAAGTGGTAATAGAGAGACTGAAATGAAAATAAAAATTCAATTAAATGAAGAAGAACAAAAAAAATTCGGGTACATCAGGTTATCAGAATGTCGTCAGATGTAAATCAAATCAAAGTAAATGTATCGCAATTCTTTTTTTTTTTTGGGGAAAATAAAGAAAACTTTATTTTCTGAGTGGAACTTAAATTGATGTTTTGTGTTCGACTTACCATTAAAACTTTTCTCTGTACTTGAAAGCCTCTTGTGCGTATTTTATGGACTAGTGTGGGAAATTTAAGAGAGAGAAAAATCTTGTAAATGAATATGTCATGGAAATTCCCTAAAATGTTGAATGAAAATCCAATAAAAGATTTTTTGAGGACAATGTGTGACTGTCAAGGACATCAGAAGGATCACTCAATTGCACTGTCGTCACAAAATAATTGAATGAAAATTTATTTTATTTAAATTCAAATGATTTTCACTTCACGAAACTTTTTTTTTTCATCAAGATTTCAATCTTTTTGGGAACTTGCTCTTACATTTAGTCTATTAATCGTACTTTATCGTGCATTTTATTTTTCCAATGTGCGGTTTTTAATTACAACTAAAATGATGTTTTATGTATTTTGAAGTTTTTTAAAAAACTTTTTCCTACACTTTTTTCTTTGCTTTTTCCAATAACACTTAAAAATTATAGTTGCTTTCTCCACCAGTTATGATGGTGGAATCTTCATATTGTCCACAAATCGAAAATGCCCTTGAAACGTTTCAATTAAGATTACTCAATATTTTTTTTTATAACAAATTTGATGATTTTTAAATAGATTCTTGCCAATTTCACTTCACTAGGATATACATTTAATCAATTTCATTCTTTTCTACACTTTAGTCCCTTAATTCATTCTATAAATCAAAACAAAACAAGATCCGAAAAAATTCTGGCATTTTTCTGCGTCACCAAACCGAAATCGCCCACAATCACCAATAAAACACCCAAGTTTACGAAGAATCTCGCATCAAAACAAGAAGCAGTAAAGGGGAAAAAAGTTTCAAAGGCAGAAACTTCTTTGTAATAACTTTTTTAATTTATAGTAGAAAGAAATCATTAAAAATCAAATAGTGGAGTGAAAAGGATTAATTAAACAATTTAGTAACTATGTCGTCTTTGCATTTTGTCGTATCAATTAATGGAGGTGATCAATTAAACGACAGGTGAGTTAAAACGATTGGAATTGATGAAAAATTTTAAGATGGCCAGAAGTTCCGATTACAAAATTTTGGTAGCACTATAAATTCATAGTATTATACTGTTTTGACTAGCTTAGATGATTCATCTTTGTGATTTCATGATAATTGATCACTTTCTGCTAATCTAAATACAGTAAAATTCTATAAAAATCATGAAATTGAGATTCTGGATTTTCACAAAAATTTATCCTTAAAATCCTTGAAAACTTGGGAAATTCCTATCAAATTGTTGCTATTTCTATCTATTAACCTCTACTAAGCCCTACTTGATCAAATACAACGTTGATTTCCATCGTTTTCAACATTTTTTCACTAATTCGACATGTGCTTCATCGACATCCATCTTTAATTTTTTTATGAACTCTTATTCTTTCAATGATGGATTCCGTTGAAATTTTTCAGAATACGCGAAGTCGCTGAAAAGATCAACAAATATGGAACTCAAACATTTCCAGCATTGCATTCATTGAAGATACCTGTGAAACAGGTTGTTATTGGAAACACATACTTAGGTGTCCTCTTAGCAGATGGTAGAGCTTTTCGTGTCGCATATTCGGTTATTGCTGAACGTTTGGATCTGAGCAAACATGACACATCGAATAAAAAGTAAGTGACTTCATTCCATCGTGGTAATGCCTTAACTCATTATGAATGTTTAATTATTTCAGTAATGGTACTAATCCTGGAAATGGAGGAACTACTAATAGCGGTTCAGGTGGCAGTGGAACATCGAAAAATGCGCAGGCTTCATCTCGTCAATTGGCACGATCAACTCGTGCAAGAATTATGAGAACTAACGGAAGTTCCGTTCGTGGACAGACATCAAGAAGTACTGGTGTCATTATTGGTGGTACAACATCGACTGGACGCTCTCTCGTTCATACGGTGCCTGCCACATTCGTACCAGAAGAGCTTATTTCGCAAGCACAAGTAGTATTACAAGGAAAAAGTAGAAATCTCATTATTCGCGAATTGCAAAGAACAAATCTGGATGTTAATCTCGCTGTAAACAATTTATTGTCACGTGATGACGAGGAAGGTGAGGATACAGAAGAAGGCAGTGATAATTATGTCCCCGAGGATTTGATTTCATTACTCGATAGTGGAATACACCCTGACCCAAGCTTACTCCTTGATAATGATGCAATGTTTTCAGAAGATATGAGGACATTTAGGAATTTAATGCTCAGCAGTCGTGATCGAATGCAAAGTTCCTCATCACAATCGGCAAATCAAAATGATAGCAACAATTTGAGAGCAAGTGGAAGTGGATCAGTTAGTGCTGTCGTAACTGGTTCTTCGGGAAATAGTACTAGCTTAACATTTGGTAGGATTAGAGATAGGACATATTTTGGTCCACGTAGATGGTTCCAATCAAGTCGTGAGGAGGTGCAATGGGAGAAGGAACAGGATAGCAGAAGCAAAATGGATACATCATCCGGCTTCCCGCTATGGATCTCAGATGATTTAGAATTTTGGCCTGACAAGGACGGAACTCGATTCTCTCAAATTGCATCGCTTCATTCAGAATTCATTGCTGTCTCAACAAAGGGTGAATTGCATCAATGGAGATGGATTGATCGTGAGCCTTACAAAAATAACGAATTTTCAAATATTCATCATCCAAAAGTTCAAGCATTAAGCTTAGTCTACGAGAAAGTCGTCCATATTTCAGCAACAACAATTCGTTGCTCTGTTGTTACAGAAAGTGGAAAGATAGCGACATGGATGGATGAACAGCTCGGATATGCAGGAAATAAATTAGAACATCCCGCAACAAGTTATCCAGAATTTACACTCGACAAGATAATTTCATTAAATACATGCTCACTTTATACAATTGCACGTACTGAGAGTGGTGAACTATTCTGGTGGGGTGTGTTGCCATTTAGTCAACGTAAAAAGATGTGGGAAAAATACAAAGCAAAATCGAAAAAGCCACAAAAGAAAGATAAAGATAAGGATTCTGCACAAAATGAAATTATTGTTGGTGCTCAAGTCTGTATGAAAAATATTCCAATGTATCAACCTGGTGCTATTGGCTTTTGCATTTCAAATGGCGTTCCAAAAGTAGGTCAGCTAATGAATGCCGCTTGGGATTTGCAGAACATATGTCGTTTTAAAATTCTTCCCATGCCACAACAAATTGGAACATCGTCATTGTCTTCTTCTAATGTAGAGAAGGAAACGATGTCAAAAATTAATGTACCAACTTCCACATCAAATTCAAGTGGTTCATCATCAAATGTTGGAAATAAGGAGACAACAGATCGTATGGATATGCCACCACCACCATCACCGGCTAGTTCTACATGTTCTGATACATCGATTAGTGTAAAGAGAAAGAGAATTGTTCAAAAGGACGATGCAGATGGAAAGAAAGATGAAGAATTATGGAACTTGAAGGATGTTGTTTTTGTTGAAGATTTGCGTTCAGTTCCAATAGGAAAAGTTCTTAAAGTTGATGGGCAGTATGTTGCAGTTCGCTTCCAAAACACAAGTTCAAAAGAAAAATTTGATGAGTCATCATCTGATGCATGGCAAGAGTGCCGTTTACTTCGTAAAGACGAACTTCAATTAATTAAATCGAATGCGAATTCTCGTGTTCCTGATTGCATTCAAAAAATTCCTCGTCGTGTTGTGCTCAATCAGCAATTAAATGAAAATTCTCAACTTTTGGCACTGACAATTGACTCGAAAGGAATTCATACAATAATGAAGACTGGACAGAAACTTCACTATTCACATTTCAATTTGAGTAGTGGAAGATTAGAAAAAACTAGCAATTTCCCGACCGATCTTAATTCGTTCATGGGTAAACAGCCTCAAAATATATCAATTCAATGTGCCGGTGATCAAGCAGAAAGTATTTTAATTTTGCGAGATGGAAATAAGACTATTTATCCTCTAGCTAAGGATTGCGTTGAATCAATTAGAGATCCACTTTGGATGGACTTACCACCACTGAGTTGCGTGGCTGCAACGCCCGTCACCATTCATTCATCAAATTCAAATACGAAAACGCAAATTACATTATTAGTTTTGGCAACGGAACAGCAAATGCTTATGCCAAAAATCATGCGATGTGATGTAGATGCTGTTAAATATTTCCTGCAGCAATTGAATAACGAACTGAAATCACAAGTTACATCTGTTGTTCAGGAATTTTCTGATGGAAATAGAAATATATTGCATGCTTGTATATCGCAATGCTCTCCAACATCTAACAAGGATTCAGATACGGATTTATTATCTGCTGTTAATACAGCCACTAATCCAGGATTGGAATGCATTAATACAATTGCAAACTCGATGATTGGGTCACGTTCTTCTAGCAATATACGTGATTTGATGAGAAGATCATCCTCAACTTCTGCTTTGGCAGGTGAGGTTCATCACATGTCAACATCAGGTGTCTCGGTTACATCTGCAGACGATAATTCAATTAACTTGTCATACTGGCCATCTGAATATGAAGGTGGAAACTCAGGTGACGAAGACAGTTTGAGTGGAATTCAGATTCCTAAACCACAACAACCAACACATCCAGCTGAAATTTACGTATCAGATCCAACTGAAAGACGTTTAAATGCTTTACTAAGTGTCCAGTTAATTTGTGAAAATCAAGCGTTTCAACCACATTTACGTCAGTTGCTTAGTTCTAAAGATGCAACAGGTCAAACTCCATTCATGCTTGCTGTTTCAAGTCGCTCTTATCAAGCTGGAATAGTTTTATTTGATACAATTCTTAAAATTGCTAATGGAGATGCGCAAGTAAGAGATTCGATGGTGTTTCCTAATGGATCAACACCAGATCAATCTCCGTTACATGTTTTGTGTTGTAATGATACTTGCTCATTTACATGGACCGGTGCTGATCATATTAATCAAGATATTTTTGAATGTCAAACTTGTGGTAAGTAAAATTACATGCTTAATTTATTCAGTGAATTAAATGTCAATAAATCTTTCAGGCTTAAGCGGTTCTCTATGCTGCTGCACGGAATGTGCAAAGGTATGTCACAAAGGACACGACTGCAAATTAAAACAAACAACTCCGACTGCATATTGTGATTGTTGGCAAAAATGTAAATGCAAAGCTTTAGTTGCTGGAAATCAAACAAAACGTACGGAATTATTAGAAAAATTAATTAAAGATACTGATCTTGTTATGCGTTTCAACTCGCGTGGAGAATCAATTTTGCTCTTCCTGATTCAAACAGTCGGTCGTCAATCGATTGAACAGAGACAATACAGATCAACAAGAGTTCAACAGAGAAGTTCTGGAAGTTATTTAAATAGGAAAACTCCATCGATTGATACTGAAGGAGAAATGCCTGAACATGATTTGGAACCACCAAGATTTGCTCGTAAGGCATTGGAGAGATTGCTTGGTGATTGGAATGCAGTAAGAAGCATGATACAGACTGGAGTGGAAACTGAATTCAATTTAAACACTTTCACAACCCAAATTTTTTATGAGGATAATGATAGCAAGAATCTTTACATAAACTCTCAAAGCGGAACAATTATGCTGGATAAATTTACTCACATTCTGTTCTTCAGATGTAATAATGAGCCACTTGATGCTTTGCTTGCCACTTTGATTAAAGAACTTCAAAATGAAGCTATTCCAGGACGAGTTGATGAAGCACAAAAGGTTGCAAGACGCTTCGTTCGATCCGTTGCTCGTGTCTTTGTAATTTTCAGTATTGAAAAGTCAAACAATCCAGATAAGCAGCGTAATTCAACAATGCAAGCTCGCTTAATGCTTGCTTACCGTCGTGTATTCACATCCTTATTGAAATTTGCTATTGAGGAATTAGCTGAAATTGCTGATGCTTTAATTGCACCAGTTAGACTTGGAGTTGTTCGTCCAACAGCTCCATTCCAACTGTTAACATCTGGTGGAAATAATTTAGATGCTGACGACTTATTCTCTGTTGAGCCATTAGCTCCAGCTTCTCGACAAAGCACTATAGTTGATGCTGTTGCTTCCCGAATCGATAGTGAAACATCTGAAAGTGGCTTTTTGTCACGAATTTCATCAGCATTAAGAAATGAACTGGATAATGATGCAGACGCAATGGTTCAAGATGATGGTGACATATCTGAACAAGATGAGGCACAGTCAGTCATTCATTCACGTCAAAATATTAGTAACAATAATAATAACAATGTTGTCGATGACGTTCCTGAAGATCAAATTGGACAAGGCGATGGACATGAAGCTGAAAGTGATAATGAATTCAATTTCCAAGAAGCTGAAACTGAGAGCGATTCAGATGATAATCAAAGTACTCAAGATGCTGGACGAAGTGTCCAAACAGGTGCAACAGCTGGTTCTGATACTGGTAAGTTATTAGTTTTAGAGATACATTTTTTAGGAGCTATGAAATTTTCTGCAACATTATAGGTTTATCTAATTTCGTTTTAATCAATGAAGATGACACAGGTGACTCAAGTCAGCAAGATGAAGAAAATTCAGAAGACGGCGATAGTGATGAGCAATCGACAGAAGAATTTGTACTTGATGATCCAACTGATAGAAGAACATCATCGACTAATTTACAAAGAAGTAATGCCCCACCACATTCATTACATTGGGCAATAAGGAATCGCGATACTACAAGAACAACAAGCTTACATCGTTTAGCTGGAGCATCAAATCTTGTATTTATTGATCCGAGTGCTATAAGAAGATCTGCTTCTGCCAATGCAGTTGCGCAAGAATCGCCTACAATGGCTACAACATCGAGTGCATTGGCACGCGCCTTTGGAATTGTATTGAGGCAAATTAGTGAACTTGTTGGAATGTTGGCATGGAAATTTAGTTGTCCATCATCAAATAGCTATCAGAGCTATGATTTAACATATCAAGAAGCTGTTCAACTTCAAGTAAGTCATTTTGATTCTTGAGTTTTTGATTCAGTACTTAAGTTTGCAATTTATTTATAGATGTACGTTGAGAAACGTTTGAAACCCACATGGGATTGGATATTAACCGTAATGGATGCAACAGAAGCACAACTACGATTTGGAGCATCATTAACAGACTCAGCAGATTCTGCACATCCACTTCATCCACACAATTCAAACTCAACCACTACAACAACACCTGCACCAAGTGAGTATTAAATACCTTCTAAGATGAGACACATAAATAGTTTTGTTTTTTTAATTTTTATTTTTTCTTTTACATCTCATAAAAAAATAACCGTAATGTCTCAATATTTAAAAAAAAAAATATAAAAAATTCTAAAAAGACGCTGGACCGCCACTACAAAGATCAAATCGTACAGTCACAATTCAAATGCTTACACCAAACTTATCAAACTCAAATAGTGGCAGTCGTGCGCGTGATCGCAACGGTATGTTGTCATTTTGATGGAAAAAATTTCGATGAGACAGTCACAAATTTTTCTAAAAATCTCTTTATCGTCCGTCCATTTTTGTTGATGTGTAGTTTTTATAATTTTTATTAGTGGATATGAAGTTGTAGAGAGATTTTTTGTGAAATTTTGAGAACCGAAAAACATTTTTATTGACTTAATAACTGAACATATTTCTTCTCATTCTCCTTATTCAGGTGCAGACAATTCAACAAGCCGTCGTGACTTTTTGAACTATTGCTTGTCATTGATGAGATCTCACAATTCAGAACATCGTGATTCTTTACCGGTTTTGGATGTCACTGCATTAAGACATGTTGCTTTTGTACTTGATGCTGTAATTTTCTATATGCGTGCTTCAAATGAAATTGAATGTGATCGAAATGATTCAAATACTTGGATTGATGAATCTATGGATGATAATGAGAATGATGATGATGTAGATGAATTCGCATCCTCAATTGTTATGGACACAGACTCAATTGATGAAAATGATATGATTCGTCCATCACTTGGCAAGAGACATGGTTTCTTTCAAAGATCTGAATCAACTTTGTGTCTTGGATGTCCAACACCTGATCCATTCACTCCAATGGCTGAGTCATTGCCTTTGGCAGAACAACCGCAATTACTTCAGCCTAATGCTAGACGTGAAGACTTATTTGGAATGCCAAAACAAGCCATAACTGTTCCATCAACAAATATTGAAGCAACAGTAGCTTCATCAACATTGGAATTGCCACCAATTAAATTAGGACTTTCTGCTCAATCGAGAGATGTGATGCAAAATAGTGCTGCAAATACTAGCAATGTTGTAATTTCGGTTACACCATCAACATCTGAAAGTCAAGCTGAACCAATGGTCAGTGATGAAAAATCAATAGCTAGTGTATCACAAGTTAAGGATATCCCAACACCCTTGAAATTAAAGAGACCACATTCACCACCACAGGCAGGATCATCAAAAGCATACCTTGAAAATTATGAGGATGACGATTATGATGAAAGTATTAATGAAGAACCACAGAACTTGTCCACAAAAATGAACAATACAGAAAAAGTAGTTCCACAGCAAATTGATAAGCATATTTACGATGATTCTGATGAAAGTGATGATGACAGCATGCAAACGCCTGCTGCTAAGAAACATAGACTGATGGAGACAGGAGAAACTATTCATCCTAAGGAGTATGCATTAATGCGAGCATCTGAAAAAGAATCAAAATCACCACCTCCAGAAGAACAAGAAATTGATCCTTCAATTCGTCCACCAATAATTGTGGTCACAAGACGAAATGTAGCAGAAGCCATTGATGCAGCAACTGCGAATATTTTGTCAAAAAATAAGAAGACGACTTTAAGTGAATGTGTTGCACCTGAAACACCAATCAACTTCTTGCCTAATAACTTTGTGTACGAAGGCAAGCAAGGCGAAAATGAGCCAGGTGCAAGCAAATCTAGTGTCATCGTTCGTGTTGGACCATCGGTAAGTTAAAATAATTCTTAGTTCAAATCCCACGGACTCACAGATACGAATATGGAAATCCGATCTTTTGACCATGTTCCAGTGCGACGTCCAAGATTGATTCCTTATATCTCTATGATGATCACAATTGATAGAGCTTGTCTTTGTGAACAGATACGGAGATAACAATATTTTTTTTATGAACAATAGAAGTAAATATTTTTATTTTATTTATTTCCATATAGGCATCTCAAATTGACCCATCAATGGATACAATGGATGAACATCAAGAAGTATCTGCAAATGTTACAATTGAAACAACCAACACACTGGGACCATCACAACAAGTTGTACAGGAGTTGCCACCAAGAGGTGTTTATTTCCGCTCAAATGTTACATCTGATCTCTTACTAGGACGATGGAGATTATCATTGATACTTTTTGGTCGAGTATTCCAGGAAGATGTAGGTATGGAGCCTGGAAGCATCATTTCAGAACTTGGAGGATTTCCAGTTAAAGAGGCTAAATTTAGACGTCTTATGGAAAAGTTAAGAAATGGTCAACAACGTGATTTAACGCTGTCAAAAATTGATCGTGCTCGAAATTGCCTCATTCCACAAACCTTTAAAGAACTGAATACACAATATAATAATAACAATAGACGGATCCAGCCTCCATTAGCGTTCAATCGTGTCAAAGTAACATTTAAAGATGAGCCTGGCGAGGGATCTGGTGTTGCACGTAGTTTCTATACATTAATAGCCGAAGCATTGTTGTCGAGAGAGAATCTTCCCAATTTGGAAAGTGCACAAGTCGGTTCGAGTAAATACAATGTTCCATTCAGTACAATGATAAGACAACGAAATCCCTCGGGAAGTAATCAATCACCATCCGTAACAATTGCAAGTAATATTGCATCAAGTGTACAATCAAGAGATCTTTCTGAGCCATTACGCAGATTAACATCAAAACGTACATTGTGGAGGAATCGAGATAACCGTAAAGTTCTGTTAAATTATGATGCGAGACCATTTAGGCCGTCAAGTGAAGGAGGAAATAATGATCATTTGAGTAATCATCAGCAACAATTAGGCGAGAGAATTTACAACAAAGTTTATCAAATTCATCCAACACAATCATCGAAAATTACTGGAATGCTTTTAGATTTGCCACCAACTCAATGGATTATGCTCGTATCATCTGATGAGACATTGAGACAAAGAGCCAATGAAGCAATGGCATTAATTACATTCCGTCATCGTATGGATCGTGAAAATAGCAGCAATAGCAATGCTGGAAACAGTGGAAATAATAACAACAATAATCCACAATTAGCTGCTGTATCATTAAACATTTCCAGTTCAGCAACCCTTAATATCATCAGTACTGACTCATCTCAAAATAGTGTAGCACCCCAAGGGACGTCATCTCAACAAAGCTCAAAGAAATTAAATCCAATTGTTGTTCTTGAAGATTGTCAAAATTTAACTGTTGACGATAATGCACCATTATTCTATCAACCTGGAAAGCCGAACTTCTATAGCCCTCGACAAGGCTATCCATCATTCGAGCGCATTAATGCTTTTAGAAATGTCGGAAGGTAATTGATTTAAAATTTAAATTCTTTTTGTCCATAATTTGATCATCTTCAAAAATTTTCTCTTTTTTTCTTCTCACACACAATAGATTAATTGGATTATGCTTACTACAAAACGAATTGTTGCCAATATTCCTACAACGTCACGTTTTGAAATACATTCTCGGACGTCAAATTCGATTCCATGATTTAGCATTTTTCGATCCAATTGTTTATGAATCATTGCGACAATTGGTTAAAGATTCACAAAGTAAAAATGGAGCACAATTGTTACAATCGCTTGAGCTTAATTTTGTGTAAGTATCGACTTTTTTAATATAATATTCAATAGCCACAATAGATGGTGGGAAAAATCATATTCATATTAATAATTTTCAATTTCTTGCTTCCATTCTTTATTTTTTACATTATTGTAGTATTGATTTAATACCAGAAGAAGGAGGAGGTTCTGTTGAATTGGTAAACAATGGTCGTGACATTATTGTTAACGAACAAAATGTATATGATTATGTTCGCAAATATGCTGAATATCGTATGATAAAAACACAAGAGAAAGCATTGGAAGCAATTCGTTCTGGTGTTTTTGATGTTCTTCCTGAAACGGCACTCGACTCATTAACTGCTGAAGACTTAAGACTCTTATTGAACGGTGTTGGCGATATTAATGTGTCTGTTTTATCAAATTATACTTCATTCAACGACGAATCAAATGAGAGTGCTGAAAAATTGCAAAGATTTAAGCGTTGGTTATGGCAGATTGTTGAACGTATGACTAATTTGGAGCGGCAAGACTTGGTAAGGTTTACTTTTATTTACTTTTTATTGTTGGATGTGAAGAAAATTCAAGTTTAATGGAAATTGAAGATTTTACTTGAAATTTTTGGAATTTTCGAGAATTTCAAATTGAAATTTGACAATTTTGATTCTTGGCTCGATTTGTAGACTTGCTTTAGTCATAATTCTCTTAAACTTTAGTTCAAATTATTTTATTATCAATTTTTATCTTCCCCAATATCTCTAGATTTACTTCTGGACGGGATCACCAGCCTTACCGGCATCAGAAGAAGGATTCCAACCAATGCCGACTGTAACAATTCGCCCAGCTGACGACGCTCACTTACCAACCGCTAATACATGCATTTCACGTCTATATATTCCCTTGTATTCAAGTAAAGCCGTTTTGCGCCATAAATTATTGATGGCAATTAAGACGAAAAACTTTGGATTTGTTTAAGTAGGATATTATATTTTTCCAATTTATTATTATCTATTTAACTAATTTAAAAGAAAAGAATCATAGAATGATAGGATTGACTTACTTTATTTAATTTTTCAAGAAATTCATAGAAATTTTCACACTGAAATAAAATTCAATTAAAAATTTCTTATTTCTTAACTCTGCAATGGGAAATCAATCGAGGTATAAAAAAGCTTGAATCTTTTCAAAATTCAATAATTTATGTGATTTCAAATAATAATTTACTGACAAACCTTTACGACATGAAAATAAAAAAAAATATTAAAATAAAAAGAAATCTTATAAAAAATTGTAATTGCAGTTTGAAACTATGGAAAATAGTTATATATGTTTTAGTTCTTACAATAACAAATTGAAAAATAAAAAATAAAAAAAAACTCTGAACAAAAATTATGACTGAAAAACTATTATAAATTGTTTAATTTTGTTTCTTTTATTTGAAACGTTTTAATTAACTTGAGTATTTAAAAGCTTAATTGCTTGCCTCGGTGTGCTCGAAGAGAAGATGGCTTTAGATATTTATGGAGGAGAAAAAATTGCCAACTAGCTATTATAATTTTCCTTTTTATTCTTCTAGATCTTCAATAGAGATGTAAATGGTAATTGATAGATTTTTGTAATAAATTTCAGCTGTTTTTATGCGAGGGAGTGCCAATGAAACTTGTAATAATTTTTAATTAATTTAAGAATCATAGCTGGTAAGCAAAATTAAGATTTCAAAAATATAAATCGACTAGATTCAAAATTTTAATAAAAATTCTACCAAAATAATAACTTTTCAATCCAAAATTAACAAGATTGTTTCTAAGAAGCATCTGAAAGAACGAGGAAGTTTGTTGGGTCTCATTTGTCAATTGGCAATAAAAGATTCGAAGTGGTAAATGATTTTGTCTACCTAGGGTCGATTATTAGCAACAATTTTGACACACAAGTGGAGATTAAGCGAAGGATCTTGGCTGCGCAGCGTGCATATTTTGCAATTAGACATTTACTAACATCGAAGAGAATAGCGAGAAATGCCAAACTAGTGATGTACAAGACACTAATACGCCCAGTAGTGTTGTACGGTTCTGAGTCATGGAATATGACTATCGCAGATGAGAACGCAATTGGTGTATTTGAGCGTAGGGTCTTGCGAATTATATTTGGACCGAAGAGAGAAGGTGACTTTTACAAAAGCAGGAGTAACGCAGAATTATATCAGCTTTTCAATGAAGCTGATATCGTACGACGAATCAAAGTCAACAGACTCCGTTGGGCTGGACATGTCGTTAGGAGACCTGTTGAAGCTCCCATTAATAAAGTCTTTAAGAATGTTTTTGTAGATGGCAAAAGAACACGCGGGCGACCCAAGAACTCTTGGAAAGAAGCTGTTGACAGAGACAGTATTGCATATGGTATTGCATCCCAGTATTGGTATGGTTAATTGGCAAACGGAAGCCAGCGACAGAGTCAGCTTCAGGCGCCATCTAAGGGAGGCCATGGATCACAATTGATCTGTACGGCCAGCGAAGTAAAAGTAAGTAAGTTTCTAAGAAGTTCATAACTACCTTCAATTCCCTATTGGCATACCCTGACCATTTATTTACGATCATTTCAATATAATTCTTTCAATTCTTTCTTTGTGTACATCAATTAATCGATCAAATTGGATATACATGCTTTTAAATACATAATAAAAGAAATTATTATCAATCCATAATTTCTTATTCTTCTTATTTAAGACATTTTACCATAAACGAACAAAGAGAAGCAAAAAGGTGAATTGAAAAGCGGTTAAATTGCAATAAAATAATCGAATGATAATGAAAAGTTCTCATAGATATTGTTGAGACTATTAAAGTCTTCATTATTAGACAATTTATTGTTTCCGAGTTGAAATTGAGATGGGATTGTAGTTAAAATCATAATATTCAAAAGGTTTGAAGTTTGAATCAAGAATTTAACTATAACCTTAATCATAAACTTATTGGAATCAAATTTTCCAAACTTTCTGTTCGTAGTTGATCTATCATTCCATCAAATCTATACAAACTTAGTCACTAATCCCTTAATTTATTGAAAAGTTCAAAAAACATTGATTTTGTTCTGAAATTTTCAGGTAATTCCATAAAACAAGCTTCGCAACGAACATAATTCCATAAGGACCTCAATATTCAATTCCAAATTGATTCCTTCACAAAAAATACATTTCATTCGCTTCAAGATTTCTTCTTATCGTGAATATTGAATATGCTTGAAAAAAAAGAAGAATAAAAAGCAGAAGAGAAATATGGAAGACAAAAAATATTGGCTTTATTGAATTCATGAAATATAGGTATGCAAAAAGCCAGTCATAAGCGAAAAATAATTGAACTTCAATTTTTATTTGAAACAAATATATCCCCTTGGGCATGAATCACTTTAATAAAAAATAAAATTAATATCAAAAAGATTATGCCGAATGCTTTCTTTTTTCTCTCGTTTTACATTTATTTTACTTATAAACTTATGTAGTGTATAAATATGAATCAAAAGCATAAAGAATGAAAACAATTTTCACACGTTGATACTGTAACTTCTACTGATTTTTTTTTAAAGGCGAATATCGTATATAGTCAGAGATCAAAATCATTGCCATAAAGCTTTCATAAAATCAATATTCATGTCCTTCGGTGATTTCTTTTGATGACTCATAAATGTAAAGAGAGAAGTAATATGTAAAAATTATATTTTTCTAATGTTGGAATAGAGTTTGAGGTTATGGCGCATTTTTTGATAAAAGTAGATTCTTGAAAAATTCTTAACTTTTTGATATTTTTCAATATTTTTGAATTTTGTGTTGAGCTTTTTGAAATCTCTCAGAGCTTTTTGATTCTTTTGGAGCCTTTTGAAATTTTTCTAATATTTTTGAAAAATTTCTGAACTGATTGGCAGTTTTCTGAACATTTTGAAATCTCTCGGAGCTTTTTGAAACTTTTCTGAACATATTTGCAGCTTTCTGAGCTTTTTGAAATCTCTCAGAGCTTTTTAATTCTTTTGGACCTTTTTGAAACTTTTCTAATTTTTTTGAAAATTTTCTGAGCTTTTTGATTTTTGGATCTTTTTGAAGCTTTTCTAAGCTTTTTGTCAGCTTTCTGAGCTTTTCGAAATCTCTCGTAGCTTTTTGATTCTTTTGGACCTTTTTGAAACTTTTCTAAGCTTTTTGTCAGCTTTCTAAGCTTTTTGAAATCTCTCAGAGCTTTTTGATTCTTTTGGAGCTTTTTGAAATTTTTCTAATATTTTTGAAACTTTTCTGAACATATTTGCAGCTTTCTGAGCTTTTTGAAATCTCTCATAGCTTTTTGATTATTTTGGAGCTTTTTGAAATTTTTCTAATATTTTTGAGAATTTTCTGAGCTTTTTAGCAATGTTACAAAACTTTTTCAAATAGTAATATTAACAATATTTCCTAAAATTTCAACATCCAGTCATAATGACCACACTTACCTCCAGAATTTCAGCTTAATAATTGTAAAATATTCCCAAATCAATAAAATAACGTCAGTAAGTTCTTTAAATTTCCATAAAGACATAATGTATATGCGAACGACTATGATGATATGTAGCAAGACCTTTTCATTAGCGGGAGTAAACGAAATTTTCGATAGAATAGAATTCCATACCTCTCTCTCACATATTGCTTCATCATTTCTTCCATCATATATTTCCAAGCATTTAGATTGAAATGCTTACTTACTGTATTGATCGTTCTCTACTCCTCTCCTTTTCCTCTATTCCTTTTCATCATCTTCATTTAAATAATAACGCAAGTCTGCATAAATTCAATGAAAATGATGAAATTAAGCGTCAAAATGTTGAAGCAGTTATTATATGTTAGATATGTACATAAATCGATCCGCATTTTAATTCTCATGCGGTGTGTAGCTTACTATGCATAGTGCCAATGTAAGTCTTCAAAAAAAAAAAAGTCTTCAGATGTAAAGTAACACACAAAAAGAGAAGCAAGCAGGCTAAAAGAGAGCCGTAGTGAATTTGTTTGCAGCACAATTCTTCTCGCCAAACCTCTTTCTCATACCCTACCATGTTCTTTTACTTCTATTTTCTATTCACTTATTCAATACACCAATTAATAGCTTAGGAAAATAAAAATTCAATTATAACTCTTTTTTTTCCTACTATTTCACTCTTCAATGCTGTTCGATGAAAGGAAAATTATAGAACCGCGAGGCGGCAGAATTTAAAAGATGTTTTTGCCGTTGTTACTTTCATGTTTTGCCTGCTAAGCTGTCATTACGATACATACCTATATGTGCCTTCCAATTTTTTTTTTATTATTTTTATTTGATGTTCATTTCTTTTCTAGCACATGTTTTTGTGTATGTCCTATTTGACACAGTGTTTATTTGTGATTTGTCTGACTTGCTTGTCTGTCTGTTGGATTCTTATGGTGTGGATTTATGTGGATGTGCAGTGGATTTTTGCATATCTCATGATATTTGCTGATTATGGTTAATGTGGCTACCAAAAGGATGATTATGGAAAACCTAGTTGCTTGATCAACAAGAGACATCCTCGAAAAATTTCTAAAGTGTAGAGTCTTAGCAATGATGACAGCCTTTTATGCACAGTTGAGCACTTTAATGCCCAATATTTATTCATGGTACTTTTGTGAAGTTACAAAGGAAACTCTATAAATTGTCCTCAGAACTGATATTTAATAATTCTTAATTTATATTCGATTTAATATGATTATAGCCAACTGACGAGCTACTGATGACAATTTAAGAATACTATCAACATATGCATTTAAATGTGTTTGACTCTTCTCAAACTTAAATTCCTCATTTGCATGTCCAATGCGCTCTTAACCTTGGAAAAAAATTTCAATTATTCTCCAACTCTCATGTCACTAGCTGTACGTAGTGATGATCACATGAAATTGGATAGAAAAACAAGTGACGTAAAATAAAAAGAGAAAGAAATAAATTTAAATAATTTCAAGATATTTTGTAAATCCTTTAATTTGCAAACGAAGAACATTCTAAAGTATAATAAAATATTGAAAAGAACATCGAAAGCTATCGCAAGTCAACATGATTAAAGTGCATGAAAGCATCTCTGTTTTTGGGCAGAGGCATTAAGGCACGCTAAGCATTTTCAGATGATTTATTCATTTTTCGCACATATAAAATATAAGTAAGTAAGTAAGTAAAATTGAAGCTGTAAATACACGCGATGTATAACATTTACAGTATGTATGACATGCCTTCAAACACCAACGTAAAAAATATTTTTTTAGTGCTGTTCCCATCATATATACACGAATACTTGAAATGTATTCGACATTAACCAATTAAACATTTTCATTACGTCTACATCTTCTCAGTGATGCCTTATGCCTGAAATGGAAATAACACAATGTTAACAGAGATGTCAAACTTAAATAACACAAAATTTCCATAAATAATTTTTTCTCTTTTTATTTATCATTTTGAATTTATTATTATTACTTTTTTCCGCAATTCTTTTCAGCTAAAATTTACATAGTAAAGGTTGATGATGATATCAAAGTTGTATTGTACAGCCAGGGACGTAGACATGGTACATACTTTTCAATGGAAAAATTGCTTCAATTTGCTAGAGCAGTGTTGTCCAAACTATGTGCCGTGGCACACTAGAGTGCCATAGATTCTTTTTTAAATAACGCGAGCCGCATGCTGTGTGCGACTTTCGTAATGGGTTACCCCTAAGATGTGCTGTGGCTCGAAAAAGTTTGGACAACACTGTGCTAGAGTGTCAACAATCCCATCAAAAAATTACTGACTACATCCCTGTGTCAAGCATAGAAAAAGGAGGAAATTTTAGTTTACAAAAAAAAGTAAAACTGATTTTCATATCTGCACACATGATAACTATAAAATATTATTAATAGGCGTATTGAATACATTTTAATAATGTTTTATATTTTAAAAAAATTTATTTTCATTTGAATTGTAAAAAAAATGCTTTTGGCAACTTTGAAAGTTATAAACTATAATTAATTCAATTCAATTGCATATGTATCTGCAATTTAAAAACGTATAGATAGAGAGAATGGAATATTTCATAGGAATTAATCTATACAGTTATCTTATAAACTCGATTTGGTGACGTACTTGTAATGAATGAATTATGATAAACGAAAATTATTATGGTAGGAACGAGGGGACGAGCTTTTTAAGCCTTCTTTTTTATTGCTGAGATTTATCGAATATAAATTCATTATGCATGTTGAGGCAAAACAAAAAATATCTTTTATTTACGATTAAGATCTTCGATTTGTTATATATGGTTGCACTTTTATGGACATCTGGTGGGTGATTCTGCAAGTTTTATTATCATTTTCCAGTTTGAAATATTTTTTGAACCCCCAACCCCCCTTCAATGTCTTGAGCATTGTTCAAATCGACAAAAGAACTGACTTGAAATTCCTGGTCCGTAATACGAATGCTTAATTTATTTTGTAACCGTACTTAAGGGGCGTAGCCAAGGGGGGGAGGGGCATAGGGGGCCCGGGACCCCCTTAGAAAATCTGATAATTATTTTATAGTAGTAAAGTATTTATAGAGAAGAACCAGTTAATGAAGAGGAAGTGATGAAAGAAATGTCAAAATCAGCACGAAAAATTAAATTTAATGTATGAATAATGAATTAAATATTTAAACTTATGAAGAATGAATATAGATTTAAGGATACAAAATAACGGTTTTTTAATTTCCCCCCCCCCCTTAAAAATTTTCTGGCTACGCCCCTGCCGTACTCCTTCAAAAGCCTAAAAACTTCCAAATTGAAACAAAAATCACAGCATAACTTAAACCCACAGCTTGTTGAATCACCCATAAAATGCACATATTTATTGAAAGGGAATGTTTAAAGAATCAATAATAAAGATATCGTTTATGATAAATTATCAAAATGAGAAACGAGAAAGAGAGACAGGGACGAGAGATAGAGAGAAGAGTTTCCACACATAAATTTAAATATAATTATAATAATAATCTTGATAATAATAATAAAAATTCAACAAATTTTCATATTTTTTTTTCAGGAATTCCTCACAATCGTTTCGTCTTTATGGTGATGATGATGATGATGATGATTATTGTCATCAATATTCATAAGTTGTGGTCGATTGTAATAACAGCGTGCTGGCGCTAATTCCATTATGTTTCGCTCTTCATGCATAGTCCCTACAGTTGGCACATAATGTTCTGGTGTCCAATCAAACGTGAATGATGATGTGTGTGGAATGTAGGATGCACTCATTGGCGTTGGTGGTGTTGTTATAAGATAAGGACTTAATTGTTGATGAACAATATCAGGAACTTTTTGTATTGTATTCTCATGCGATGACCACGTTGGTGATGGATTCCACTGCTCAATTTCAGCGCCTGGCGCTATCGATGATTCGACATGCGGCGGTAGGAGTGGGAGACACGATGAAAAGCTTTTTGATATTCGTGATCGTGCTGTATGAATGGAACTGTTTAAATAAAGCATTTGACCATCTCGATGCTCGACTTCCATGACTATATGATGATTGTTGTCATTACTATTATTGTTATTATTATTACTATTAATGTGATTGTCATATGTGTGAGCAACGCGTGGCACTTGAATTTCCTCGGTTTCAATTGTCGTACTGTCAGATATTTGTAGTGATTCTATTCGTTTAAATGTGTACTTTTTATTTGATATTCTCACACTCTTATAATCAACTTTACTGAGCTTTTTATCGTGATTTTGTAATTTATTGCTTTTGTCATCCGCTTGCTTCTTACGACTCGGCTCGCTATAATCCTCAATTTTATTCTCTCGATTACCATTCTCGTGGGCAGTTGCAACAACTACAGAACTCACCGGTGACAATTTTTCCATGCTGTGCTGTTGACTGTAATCGACAGGTACTAAAGCCGCACTTGTTGCAGTTGTTTCTTTCAATGTCGGACTATTGTGATTTATGTCATTATGATGATTAATATTGCTCACAGGTGGTGAATAATGTTCATATGGATTCCCATGTTGCATGTGCGTGGGATGACCTTGCGCATCATACGCTGTCGTTTGATGAATTTGATGCATTGGATAATGCTGTGGGTTTATTGGTTGATAAGGGTAATAATTGGTGCTGGTAATTTGAGGTAATCTAGTACCCTCATACGTTAAACCCATTTGTATTTTTGATTGCACTGAATAATAATGGTAGAGCCAAGAATTTGAGAGCATTACCGACGCTTCTTTGTCACTATATGGGGAGAGAAAAAGTAAAGAAGAATATGGAAACATGCAATAATTAATTCTCTTGTTAGAGGCAAGTCATTAATAAGTGTTCGATTGGGAAATTACTTCAATGGCACGCAACAAGATCAGAATATTGCGGTAGTGAGATAATTTAATACATTTTGTGAATTTCTTCAAGTTTCGACAACAAATAAGGTTAAACTTGCAGTATGGCTAGTTTTCTCAGCTAAATTTAGAATATCTAGCTATAAACTAGTTGTCTATTTGCAGTGTTTCCTGATTTAATTCAATTTCTTAAAAAAATTTACATATGAACATGATTGACTTTGAAAATTCCATAGCTTTCGCCCCTTCAGACAAGCTATTAATTTTTGAACTTTAATTGGCCGTTATAAATAAAAACAATCCAATTACATTCCCAATTCTCAGTACTCAATGAACAATCCATAAAAAAATTCCTCACCAAACTCGATCATTTCCACCCCTTCAAGTCTTTTACGATTTCATCGGAATGAGCGACTTACTTTTAAGTATATATTACCTCTATCATCATATCGAGTCATACTTATTCATAAAGATATAATGTGTATGATGTTATAGAGCAAAGAAATGAAAAGAAATTAAAATCATATCGCACCGTACCGACGGTAAATAAAAAAGGGGGAATGAAAAGAGAAAAAAATGCAGTAAGGAGAGCAGAAGAGCAAAATCAAAAGGTCATTAAAATCAAAGAAATAAAAGCAATAAAGCGTACCAGACTATTAAAGAGAAAAAAATCAGAACCATGCTAAAATAAAATATAAAAGATGAAATATGATTTCGTTTGCAAGTCAGATCCAGTTTCTCACATAAATAATCGTAAGACCACCACGCAAGATAAGAACGCGAGGCGCGTGAGAGTAAGTATTCCAATAAAAAAGGAACATAAAAGGGATTCATCTTTCATTGCTCCTTCAAATAAAACTACTGATTTTTTTTTGTGTGTTGTGTTTTTCTTCATATCAATGCGAGATGCTTATCATGAAGTCAAGGCGATGAATTTTTCTTTCAATTTCTTCTTTTCACCAAGATAAATTTGCTGCTTAACGTGTGTATATGCATATATAAGCTTACAAGCAAATCAATCTTAAGCATATCGAGAATGGAATTTTATTCAATCTTTATTTTACTCCCCTTACATACATAAAGGTAGGAGTAATTGTGAATCATAAAGTGCTTCGGGAATCGGGAGACGATGACGTCTTTTTTGATCTCTAAAGTTTAAATTTTATTTTTAACGGTTCTTAATATTTTTGGATTTTAAAATATAAAAAATTCAAAAATTTTAAATTTTATAAATCTTGAACATTTGAAAAACCCAAATTTTTGGATTCCGCAAAATCATCAAAGCAGTCAAAACGAGCAGCACATCATCAATAAAACCCCCAAAAATTCATGCTCAAAACATTATACGCGTTCTTAAAACTCTTCCTTCATATTTCTGCTAGTATTTTGTACTCATAAAGCAGAATCTCGCGCGAGCAATGAGGGACGGTTTAGGAAGTTTTTGCCCTTAAGTTATCAATTTTCCTTAACGAAAACTGAAGTGCAATGTGCATTAAATGCTCTTCTTATGCGATGATATTGAAGAGTATCAAATTTTTTTTCTTCTACGTTTTGTGCACTGAAAAAAAAAGACTCGCATTGTTCTCAACTTCTTTTGTTTTTCCCTCCCGTTTTTCTTAAGAATTGTGTGCGACTGACTGTTTTTGTTGTAGAATGTGGCTGCAATGTTGGAACAAAACAAAAATTGTTAAAAGGATTCTGTTACTCTCAAAAAGAGGCAAAAAGGCAGAAGAGATGAAGAAAAAAGAGCATAAAAAATATAATAAAATGCAAAGCAAAATTATACGAGACCTATGAACTTTTATCAAAACGAATTTTGCATAAATTATATGCACAACTCACAAACATACACAAAACAGAATGCAGAAAAAAAAATTGTGTGGCACCAGTAAAGATAGAAGAATAGAGAGAAAGTTGAATTAATAATGTAATTTACTTGATTAATCTTTTTGTTGTTGGTTTTGTTTGTCTTTCTGCTTGTTCTCGGGCGGATTTAATTGAATCATGATCTGTTCATACACAAAATTACCGGAATAAGAACTAAATTTTTTAATAATAGTTACATTCTGCAAACGGTTTTTGTGTTGAGCATTTTTTAAGCGATTCGCAAGTACAAATCATCTATTGGCAGCTATAATCAGGTTATTTTGATCTCATTCCAGCAGTTCTAGATTAAACCAAACACGTTTAATTGTTGAAAAGGATTTGTATTCGAAATTATGCAGGGGAAAACAACTTGATGGGGAATAATTTTAAATAGAATTTTTAAGCATTTTAAGATTTTCAATTAAAATTTGTGATCTTCATCAAGAAATTAAGATTGAAAACCTCATTGTGATCTAATTTCCTATCAAAAAGTTTTCCCAACACGTTATTTCCCCCTAAAATTAAATTCAAACTTCCTACAAAGTATGAATCTATTGATTGATACATTCATCAATTTATTGCAATTCGATCAGCCGATCCACCTGTTACGAACCGAAAAAAATACTCTTCGTCATTCATTCTCGTGATCATTCGTATTTCTGTGATTATGGAGGTGCGGTAAATTTTTTGAAGAACAAAAACGCAGCATTTAAGGAATTTATTATGCGGGCTTTGGTCATTCTTCATCGAAATATTAATTTAATTTGATTTTTAAGACCTACATCATACTACCTAATTCATGAGTTTATGGAGTATTGATCGGAATTCTCAAGAGTTCAACTTGTCGGTATTTTTGATGGGTTGGCTTGAGAAATTTTAATGGGAATTGTTTTAGTGATTGAAGTACTTAATTTTGCGGGTGTTGAATTTAATTTTTTTTTTGTGGATTTGATTGAACAAACTGTCTCATTTAAGCAATAAGTTACAAAAATTTACAATGAATTATTGCTGTAGATACCTTGAGATGCTTACTTTCCGGAATCAAGACAACTAGATTATTCGAGTAACTCTCAATCTATTTTTTTGAATCCAAAGATCATCTATCTGATTTAATTGTCTGCATTTTTATGACGCAAAGCTTCTTTCGTGTCCTGTCTAGCCAAATAGCACGGATATAGTTGGCAGAGATGACCCTGATTCGCCAAAATCATTTCGATTCCCACAAAATTCGACTTGCTTTACATAAACATACACATTCATCATCTATATGGCAATCTACAACTCGCATAAAGAGACTCATCCAGTCGTATTTTAATGACAAAAAGGAATACACCACAACTCATACATGTGTGTAATTATTGTATTGTTAATGTTAAGAAAATCTCTTTTTTTTCGACAACAAAATAAATATAAAGATTCACATAACATGCAGCATATTATAAAGATTGTACAATATTGTATTTTTAAACGATAATAATAAATTTCAGTAAAGTTAAGAAAGAGAATTTCTATTAAGGGGAGACTTGAGAGTTTGTGGAACAATGGAATGGAATCCCCCCAACGGATTTTTCATAGAATGAATACATTGCATTATGTAGAATACAGCAAGTATATTGTACAACATGATATATAATTTCGTTCATTTTTTATTGAAATTGTATGTCATTGTAACCTTTTAGTTGCTTTCGCCGCAGGGGATACTCGATATTCGAGAATTATCAGTAATAATAATAATGTTATCAGCTACCATTTAATGATTCTGATCTCATATATGTACCATAATAATGTATATCTCATGAAAACTATCTTTCATGATTTTGTTTCTTGTTCTTACCTCAACACTTGATTCGTACAAACTATGACTGAATGTTGATTAGAGTCCTGACTATCACGAACTTGTAATACTAAATGTATCCAAATAAAGTCACCAGTCTTATTTTGTAATCTTGTTAAGACTATACATGACCTATCTTGCTCCGATTGTGTAACTATAAATTGAACATTAGATTTGTTTTTCATTTAGCTTTTTTCTACTTTAATTTATGCATGTGCTTATCCAGTGGGTTTGGATTGGTGTTTTTGCGTTACTTGACCTACTTTCTGTCTATTTAAATAGGGTTTGATCAACTTATTTTAAGGGTGTGATACTGATGAAATGATCAAAAATGATCAAAAAATGATCAAAAATGATCATAATTGATCAAAAAAGATCAAAATGTAATTCTTCAGTTCCACACCCTTGACTTATTTGCTTTAAATGACTAAATTAAATTAATGTTACCCACAAAAATCTACTTTAGAACCGCAATAAGGCTCAAAAACCTAATCCAAATCTACTGGAAACAAGCATAGAGTGTAAACATACTTAGCCTGTGTTTCATTTGAGCCTCTTTAATATATTCCCAATGAATTAACTGATACCACGAGCTGCCATTCAATTCCTCTTTTGTGTATCCTAGGTGGAATTCGCCGCTATTAGCATGAGTTAAATAAAGAGAAAAAAAAGAATTAAATTAAATTTTAATGAGTCATATACACAAACACATAATATTATGCCATATAAAGTCACTTTCAAAAATTGATATGAGATATAAAGTGTTGAAAAGACAAAAAGCTGACTAGTAGGTTAGATTGTGGCAACAACAATGACGACGGTAGGCAAAAAGCAGTAAACAATTCCCTTGAAAATTATTCAGAAAATTCTTAGAGCTTAAATCTTTTTTAATTCCAATCCCCAATCTCTCATATATGAATTTATATTGTAATGTAATTTTTATATTATTGCCACACCTATCGCTTACTACTATTGTGTGTGATATCCACTTATTCTCTCTTTTCTTTATTTTATTATTATTGTTATTATTTATAAAAGACGGTATGAAGTGAGAAAAAGAGGAATAACATTATTAATTATTTAGAAAATATAAATTTATTCTATTTATAGTCATACAGTTTTCTCACAAGTACTCTTACTCTATTCAGCTTCCAAAATAACATTAATAGTCGTAGAACATGAAAGCAAGCCCGATAACACTATTTTTTTCTTTATGCCTCATTATTTGCCTCATCTAACTTATGTGTGTTTTCAGTATTCAGCTTACAAAATGCTTTTGATAGTCAACTATACAATTATTCAATGTGAATTATATTATGAATAGGGGTTTGGTGGATGGATGATGTTTGGTAGAAGGGCTATAATAAGAGATATGTTGTTACATCCTTGTATGATTCACTTGAAAGTTATGTTTTAAGATTTTCAAAAAACGCTCAATTTTTAAGATTTAACATGTTTAAAAACTTTCAAATTTTAACGTTTTTTTTCTTAAAAATTTAAAAATCAAAAAAAAATTAAAGACACAATTTTTCTAATTTTGAAAGTTATTTCACCGTTAGTTTAAAAATATCCGACAATCCCTGAATGAGTAAGCGCTGATAGAAGAAGAAAGCAAAAAGGGGAACTTCCATAATTGATACTGTTTCGTTTGACAGTTTACATGCATAAAATACAACTATCAATATATAAAGTTTTGTTTTTTTTTCTTCCTTCATGCTTCTTTCTCACTCCATCAATATACCGCGAATACATCTCATACGTGAAATAGAGTGAGTGAAGACGAAGAAAGAAAAAAATTCTTTTTGATTAACTTTCTTACAAATTGAATAAGTGGTCTCATGTGAAATTGTTATTTTTTTTCTTTCACTTATCTCTTTTTATTCCTTCTTTCTTATTTCTCTCACTATGTGTCGATACATTACATTATATATATTATTTGACGCTTTACGATTTTTTTCAATTAAAAATTTTTTGAATTGAATTTTTTTTTCTTATTCATTTCTATCTCTTCTAGATTTAACTAGCGATAGGGAATTACTATCTTTTCAAAAACTAAACATTTAATTAGGTGATGACCAGGCAAACAAGCAGAATATCCACGAGAAAAATGTTGTTCAAGGAATTCATACGAAATTTTCACACGTCAATTTTATTTCATTAATAACTAGGTTGTTTGAGTTAAAATCTTAAAATATGGGTTGAACGATCAGCCTTTTTGCAAGAATTTAGATTTGCAACAAAATATTTAATTGTTGCTGCAAATGCAAGAGACGCAGAATTTTTCGCATCTTTTTTTTTTTACTAAACGCACTTTTGAAGCAAAGATTTTCGCATTTTTTTCTGAACGCACTCTTGATGCTGAAAATTTTGTTTCAGTTTGCGCTGCTAAGCACTAAGTTCTATCCATTTTTAAACTTAAAAATTGAATTCAATGCCAAATTATTTATAATGTTAAATTGAGTGAGAGAATGAATAAAAATAAAATAATAATAAAAAGAGAAAATTCTTGAATGTTAATTCAAAATGAATGGTGCTATTTAACCCCAACAGACAGCAGATCACATCACAACAACAAACTATATATGCTCATGTGTCGAATTGTGACAGCAGCCGTACTGTGTGTAAACGGCAGGACACTTAAGATCATCGACATGTTGCTTTCTACACACAATTTAATAGATTTTCTCCTAAGCCGTATAATATTTTTTTTTCATCTTGACCTTTCATAGTTACATTACATTGCTGCCGTGATTAGTAATGCTACTTTTACTCTTCTTTATGCGAAGAATATATTATCGGCTATTGTATGATATTATGTCTATACATTTGTTTTTCAACACTTACTTTTTATCTATATGAATAAATTTCATGTCCATTGAATGAATTGTTGTGAAAACATTAGTAGCTCCCTGAACAACACATTCTCTCGTCTCGGGCATAGCAATGGGTGTGCATGTTGCTAAGAAAACGGGTTCATTTCGACTACATAGAGGTAAGAATGAGAGATAATGTCCTTGTATCAGCACTACTTTTTGATCACCCTATTGTCAATAATATAATAGAATAAAAGAACAATTATTGTCGATTAGTCATTTGATTGAGACTTAAGTCTCAATAATAAGCTTTTATATAAATACTTACAAAACGCATTTGACGACGTGCATTCCTGCTTTAAAAATTAATATGATGATAAATATTAGTAAAGAATATTGCACAGCGCAGTTCATTATCTTAAACCACACATTAAGTTATATTTCATAATAATCACCTGCTAACATTCATCCTACAAAGAAAAATGCGCTTCTCACCATCCATATTAGCCGAATGGTGATGATGATGATGATGTAAATTGTGCAGAGAGGTTGATTGATGAATATGAGATCCTGAACGATTTAATTCTGATTGTATGGCATTATAATCCTGCTTGTCAATGATATCATAAACTGAATCGCCATGTATGAGAAGATCTTCCATTGAGTGTCCCAAATATTCGGCAGCATTGTCTGAGATGTATAAAAGCTTGCCATTTTGAGTTAACATCATGAGAAAGCCAGAAAGTGCCTAAAATGTTTTTTTTTTATATTTAGTAAATGAAAATAAAAGAATAATGAAAAGATTAATGCTTTGTTGTTTTTTAATATTATTGTATGTAATGTAGTATACGCTTGCATTCTCTTCTTTTCCTCGTACTGTTTTGCGTTTTTAAGTGATTTTCTTGCAAAGTATGGAAGGGGTTTGTTCGTTTTGTTGGCTGGCAGTTTTGTTTTATTGATTTTACAAGAGTTTGTGAACTATTGTGATTTAATTAAGTTGCAATAGATTAAAGATACTTTGCTAGCTAGAGAATAAGTCTTTTTTAAGGATTATGAATCACTAATAGATCTTAAATTGTAGAAATATTGGAATTGTCGACAGTAATAAATGAATAGTTCGTTCAGTAATAGGGTTTGGGGAACCTATTAACAGAAAACAGAAAAACAGCTGTTTTTCGACAAAAAAAAGAAAACAGGTCTCAAAAACAGATCTGTTTTCTGTTTTTCATTTTTATATTTTTTACAGTTTTTACAAAAATTTACAGAAAAAAAAATTTCTTAATTTTTTGAAGAACTTAATATATTCTTCTAGGGGCCATTCACTTATTACGTAACGCTTTTAGGGGGAGGGGGGTCTAAGATTTTGTTACGGTTCAAACAAGGAAAATTTTTTTTCATACAAATTTTGTTACGAGGGGGGGGGGGGGGGTCTAAGAAGTCATTTTTTCGCGTTACGTAATAAGTGAACAGCCCCCTAGCATTTCAAATTGAAATGTATTTACTATTTTAATATTTTTTGGATGTTTAATAGGTTTGATATCATTATCAAATTTATGGTTAATCATTATTAATTTTACAATCGAAATTTTAAATTTGTTGAACCTTTTGTAGCATTTACTAAAGTTCAAAAATATAATCAACAATTTTACAAGATATTTTTTTATCCAGAAAGATTTTTTGAATATTTCAAATAAAATATTAGAGTTTGTGGAACTTTTGCAATGCAACAATGCAATGTTTCTTAAAAGGATTAATATTTTTTTTTTTGAATTTTTATATTTCAATATATTTTATAGAGTTAATTAACGAAAAATTAAGAAATAATAATGCTTAGCTCTAAAATGTATGCTTAACTGCTTATAACCACCAAAAAGTTTCATTATCTTAGAGAAACACTTAGGATAACTCAGTTTATTTTGAATTCTAGAAAAACATGAAAACAGCTGTTTTTAAAAATCAAAAAACCGAAAACAGGCTGTTTTTCAAAAACAGCTGTTTTCCACAAACCCTATTCAGGAATTCAACTTTATTTCATTTCAACTCAAATTATTCTATGTATTTTGAAATTCACAAAATCGTTAGATCAAGTAAAATTTAATGATTTAATCCACAAAAGTGCGCATCAATCATCAATATTTACATACTTCCAATCGCTCTTCTTCTTTCCATTTCTCACTACGCTTAAGAAAAAGAAAAATATTTTGAGAATGAAGGAGAAAAAATATAGATCATGTATAATCAAGCATAAGTGGCAAATCTCTCCTCAACATCATGTATAATATATCCAAAGTAAACTTTATGTATCGATGAATGCGTGAGAAAATATGTTGCGAGCATTTCTTTTTGAAATATTTTTACATATACAACCATCTCGACTTCGAACTTCTCAAGCCTTCTGACTCAATTTCAACTCATCCAAAAAAATAAAAATAAAAGTATATACTTCAATTCGATGGATACCCGAGGAATTTCATCTTCCCGCGATCAATATAATTGGGGGGCTTATTACAAAATCGAAATAAAGACTTGAAATGTGCAAAACACATGAGAAAAAAGCAACAAAATACGAGAAATATGTAAGTATGAGGAACAGCGGAGGAGAAATAAAGCTATAGAGACTTGTAGTGCTGTTTATACGGCTTAAGCTCAATTGCTGGTTTATGTTATTATGAAATATTTTGTCAACATAAATCGGATTTAAATAATGGTGCGCTTGCCTATATACGCTTATTATTATTGTGATACATTTCAATTTTTATTTCGAGCCTTCCTTCCAAGTATTCCAATTGTCTGAATGGTGAGATTGATTTCTCATAAATATTAAATGATATGAGATGAATTTAGAGTGAAATTGACTTAATCTGGAATTACCTTTATTCGTTGTATGCTTTATTAAGAAAAAGGTACAAAAATTAAAATTTAAAATTGAGATATGTCATTGACGTTTATGCGTATTAAGCTAGTGATATTATAAGGCAAAAAATTATCTGCTTGATGAATCTGGGAAAAAAAAGTTTTCAACAAGGTGAAAATTTTAATATTTGAATAACGTTGCTTCTACAAAAATTTAACCGAAACTTAAGATTTTAAACAATTTTGACGGGAAAACTGAGAACTCAAACTCTCGATAACCTGATTGAGCAAAGATTTACTACTTGAATTGAATTTATATCCACATTCATATACAGAAACCAGCAATGAAGCCAGTGAGAACAATTATAGTCATAAAGGAACTGTTACATCAGCCTATAAAAATGCCTGATAGCTACGATTCAACTGAACTCTGAACCTCCAACTATCATCCAACATTGGAAGCTCTACCGTTATTGCAACATACTGCATGTGAAGTCAATTACAATTGAAGAAGTTGGATGAAAAGAATGAAATAAAAAAAGAGAGGAACAAAGACGAAACAAAGCTATCATAAAATGATGTCGCGATATTATGTATTATATGAGACTGTCTCCCAAGAGAGAAGCTCTTCTTCAATAATAACAATAAGTGGAATGAGAAAGATGCAGCAATAAATAATTGCAATGAACATTATCGGTCTATTTTTACTCCCTTCTCCCCTATCTACCTTAGAATTTATAATATGTACTTTCTATTTATTTTCTAGATATATACTTTGTGCTCGATATGGTATTATGGAATTTAATCATCTTCAAACCACTTCATTAAATGCTGGAAATGGGAATTATGTTTGAGATTTCTGAGATTTTTCGTGTTTCATGGTGGTATTTAAAATTGAAATCTTAAGGATATGGACCAGCTTTTAACTTAGTTAAAGACTTTTGCACATTACATCAACCACAACCGATAAGATTCCCAAGTTTAGAAATAAATGATTCCAATTCCCATAATAAACCAATAACTCCACAATCCTCAAAAAATAACACAGTAACAACTTGCTCATAAACAGTAAGGCATAAAGTAAGTAGATAAAGGAATGCTGCTATGCAATACATATAATTATGCTGCTTATGAATATATCGTTGAAGAGGAAAATGTACATAAACACAAAAAATTGTATGTAAAACGAAAAAATTATTAATTTGTACAATATCATCTTATTTGGAAATGTTGTTTTTTTTCTTGACTTCTCTTTTTCCCATCTTTATCCGTGAATTTTTTCTTACTTCTCTTCCTCCTTCAATCCATCCGAGAATTTTTGCTCTCTTTCTTTCTCTTTTTTGAAGGTTTTTCATCTTTCTTCCTTGAAATATTTATGGAATGATAGTGTGCTGATCGATTCTTTTTTATAAGATGGAAAAAAGATTTAAATTTGTTTTGAATCTTTTTTACTGAACGCACTCGTGATGCAAAATTGTTTTGCGTCTTTTTTTACTAAATGCCTTTGTAATTCAAAATTGTTTTGCAGCTTTTTTACTGAATGCACTCGAGATGTAAAAATGCATTTTTTTCAACATTCACCTATGTAAAATAAGATCCATTGGCATACTCAGGCCCCATAAATGTAATTCGATCACATGATGAGAACTTTATAGAGAAGTGAGTGCTATACGCGAAAATATACACATGCTGGAGCATGGAGTATGTATAAACATGAAAAATATGCAATAATTGATGTATTTTTAATTTTTGTAGTAAAAAAGAAATATAAGAATGCTGAATGCAATTTTCGCACGTGAACCTTCTTATTCCACTCTTTTTATTTTGGTGCGCTTCGGCAATAATGCAGCCGCGTTCAGTATGAGCAAGAGCAAGGAATGAAGGAGGAGAAAATGATAGATATCGCATTAAAAGAAGATTAGTAGGAGATTAAGATTTGTTTCGTCTTTTGTTAGTTATTCTCTCCATCTCACTCGTTCGCTGGCTGCATTCTGTTAACTACTTTTAAGTCTCTTCTTTTATAAAGTTTAAACTATATAAACAATTTTTTTCTGTTGCTTCTTATTTTCACATTGAACTCGTTGAACTCTGTCTTGTGTTTATTTGCTAATTTAAGTGAATATTTTTTTTGCTTCAACAGAATTGTAAGAATTTTCTTCTCAATGCAATTCCACTTAACCACATTATTATAAGTAGTTGCCATATAGTTAACATTATGAACCTGACTGAATTATGAATCGAAACTTTTTCTAGTTGAAAATGTGGGTAATTAAATTGATGATTAGGCATTTCGAAATGTTGATTTTCAGTTAATCATAAGTTTCTAAAAAAACATTTTAAGGGAAAAAGATGCAAAACTGTTTGCCTCAAAAGTATGTTCAAGAAAAAGGATGCAAAAAAATCTGCCTCAAAAGTGTGTTCAGAAAAAAGATGCGAAAAATCTTTGAAACAAAAATACTGAACTTCATTACAAATTTTAAAAATTTAAAATTTTACCATTTGAAAAATCATTAAACTTTCTTACAATTCATGACTCACACAAAAATCAAAATAAGTCTGAATATACACAACAATTCTAAATGCACACATTTAAAACTCAAAATACTACTGAATTAGACATATGAACATTGCTCAATTCAACTAAAATTAAACCTCCCAAATAAGTCCGATTTTTAATTTCAGTTCCTCCTTTTTAATTTGTTCCTCAATTAAATTTCCCTAATTTAAAATAAAATCGTGATTAATCACAAATCCCTCCTCAATAAAATAAAAGTAGATCAATTCCAATTAAAATTGACATTAGTTTCAATTTCCAATTTCATTATAAATATCTCATTAGAAGAGCACACTGATTAGAAATGAAAGGTATAATACATCCAAAAAAAATATGCAAAAGAGCACATACACACGATATATGTGTAAATCGTACTCTAATTAACGTTAAATGAGAAAGATTTAAAGAAAAGCAAGACAATATGTGAGAGAGTAGAATGCCATGATGGTGCTATATACATTTTTGCTTAAATGAAAGTTCATTGAAACAACGAAAAAATAAAATAAAAAATCTCGAGAAGAAAAAAAAAGATTTTCCCATGTAAGGACATCATCAGACACCGAAACTGTTATTTTGCTTCATTACTTCATACATGCATTGCATTTGCAGGCATTGCATATATTTATATGTTATAATACATAGCAACATCAAATGCTTTGTGTGCTGGCAGCACTTAAAGTATAATTTAGAAGCTTTGATTATGCATTATTTGCCTGCTAAATGCAGTGATTCATAATGTATATATACATATGTATCCATATTCTCGCTAGATATACCCTATATGTACTGTATATAAATTCATTTGAACGGTGTTATGAGACTTTGACTCTTGGTAACCTTTAAGACCAAAGCTCGAGTGCAGCCAGAAAGAAAAATATTTAAATCAAATTTAAAAAACGTAAAACAGAAAAAAAGGAATAAAAAAGATCATGTCTCGATACTTACTTTCGAAAATCCAATATTTGGAGTGATATTTTGTAATCCATTATCATAGCGTTTGAAAACTGAAAGTATAAAGAAGAAATTCATTAGTGCGAGTCTTAACGCGAAAAATGAGGCTCCAAAAAAATTAATTTGACATATGTGCACTAGCCTTAATATCCTAACGCACACACATTTTGCGTACATAAATTAAGCTATATTTTTGATAAATGAAATATTAGAGAGGAGTTTATGATCGGTGCATAAATCAAATATTAAGTAAACACATTAAAAGTCTATCAAAATGTATCAGCTTGTAAAATTTAAATGGAAGAGAAATAAAAGATAAACAGCTTCAGTGAGTCTATATGTCACAAATCGGGATTTATTGTTGCCAAAGCGAAAATTTATGGATGGCAGTGAATAGAGAGGAAAAAAATTAATTATTATTAATAGAATCACAAATAGAATAATGTTAAGTATGCAATTCGATGTTTACAATTGATAATCTTTGCTATATGGGACATATAGCTAAACAAATACTGAACTAAGATACAGAAAAACCTTCGATATTCCATATTTATGTAAATGGCGATAGCGATTGTGCATTTAATCGATTCACAAGGGAAGATTAATTAGAATTAATATCAATTTTAGTTTATTTTTGTTGTAGATAAGAGTTTAAATGATTTAACATTTATTCCTAGTTAATAAAAGCAAACAATAACAGACATTTTTATAATTTATCAGTTATTCTGGATATTTTCATTCAAATTAAATCAAAAATTAATTAATCAATAACTCGGTGACTTATAGAAGCTGTTTGTCAAGTAAATAAGCTTTTTTGGATTTGAATGCATACGATTTATGTCTAATAATTAAGTTAAAGCTGCTTTTGATCTATGTTTATTGTTAGAAATGTGAAAAAGATTAAAAAGATCTTTGTAAACAATAAGGGGTACTTAACTAATCGAAATTAAATATTTTTTGAATATTCTTTGACCGTTAATTAACTCAATGTGCTTTTATGAGTTTTTATTCAGTAATGAATTAAAAGCTGCAAATTATTACCGAAAAATTGATTGAGTAGCAATTTACTAATTGTCCATCCCTTGTCCTTACCGATTAATTCACATAAAATTATCTATTGAATCAAACGAGAAAAATATTTTCCCATTGAGTATTAGTGACGTCACTTATATCACAAATCCCATGTACAGTTCAGTATTGATCTAGCGGAATGTAACTAAGCACAAAAAAAATCTACAGTATGCAATTTGATGTGACTATATTTTGAATCAAATGAATTTCAACATTATTTTTCCATCATTTTCTCTTTCACTCTCAGCTATTTGATTCCTTCTCGCTTCATTCCCAAGATACAGTCGATAAAATGCAATGAAGATACTTTAATATAGTAACTTATAGGTATAGCATGCAAGCGCAGCAGATATGTGAGTATTGCAAATATTGTGAATGAATGATTCAGAAATTGAGCGAGCGATCGAAAGAGAGTGAGTAGAAGGCAAATACAACTATTACATCAGACATATCAGGGTTCTTTTAGTATTATTTTCAAAGTTAATTTAATGATGCAATTAAATTGTCACATTGTAAAGCAAAACATTCGATGAGCTGAATGGATCAATGTATTTGTTCACATGAATATTTATTCTCATGAATATTTTTACTCTTTTCAATCTTCTTCTCTTCTGTTAACCAGCATCAACTGTGGTCTTTAATAATGTAGTGCTGAATAATTATTGTGTTGTGCGACTATTGAAATTATTTTATTTTTTATATATTTCTCCTCTCGTTTTCTATTCCTTTTAAGATGGCAACATCAATGAAATTCAATGAAATTTACCGCTTAAGCTTCTTTAAAACACACGCTTTGACGTGTTCCGACACATGTGTGTGATATTTGATGTAGATGATGTCAACGTAATAATGAAAAGAAGGTGAAAAAGTGCTTTTTGATAGCCCCAATTTTTTAAGAGATTTTTTTTTCGGGTCCATTAATGACTTTTCAAATTTATAATAATGAATTTATGGAGATTTTTTTTGGGGGGCTTTCTTTTCGTCTACTTTGTTTGGGCTTTTGAGTTTGTTTTCTTAGAGTTCACATTGTTTGTTTGTTATTCGAACTAGCTTAGATTTTAAAATAAATTTTTCAAGATAAGTTTAAAAATGACAGCTTTAAGATGCAAAAATCTTTATATAAGAGTTTCAGATATTGAAATCGAAACTAGATTTCCAAAATTTCAAATCCAGTAAAGTTGAAATGTTTGTGTTTGAAAATGTTTTGTTTACATTCTCATATCGACTTTTTGTCTTTAATTTTTGACTTTATTTGACCGATATCAGTGCTTTGAATGATTATAAATTCCTTAAAAAATCTGAGCAAGCTTCGGTGCATTAAATTCTTACAGTAAATCAAGTTAAATAAAGCAAAATTATTCTCGATCGTCAATAATATTTGTAAACAAAACTTTACTCTAGTCTGCTAATTTGCAACTTAGTATTTCATGTTTTTAAGTTATAAACAATGTTTATATTATGCTGGCTGCTTAATAATTATGTCTGAATGAATGAAACAATGATGAAGAATATACTTTGTGGTATATGACTAAGATGTTGCAATAGAAATTCAAACTAGCTCCAAAATAGAGCTTCAGCTTACAAATTTATTTGAATTTTCCCCGAATTCTTGTTTCTGCACCAATAATCCAACAATAGATTGCTCAAACAACAAGATTTTCTCAGAAACTATATTTGCTAATCATTCTTAACGGAATCTAAGCCTGATTGATGCAGAAATTTCTCGCACAACCAAAAATTATTGCTCAATAACAAAATTCCAATTGATTTCGCAAAAAATTCATAAAAATCCTGGTTTAGTATTTCAAAACAGTTACTAAATACCTCTCTATCATTCATCTCTAAATTAATCCAAAAATAAAGTCATCGATCAATAACCAGACACATTTATTGTGCGTATACGTAAAAGTCATATGGCATTGTGTGACAATAAGAAGCCTAATTTAAATTTTGCGGTTCATAATTCACTTCTTTCACTCACTCTTGTGTCTGCTTTTCACCCATCTCCATCTCTTACTCTTTCTGAATCCGATTATATTGAGAGAAATGGAAAAAAAAGAGAAAAATAAAACTTTACCTAATTGATTCCTTATCTTAATTCAATTCGCTTACGAAACAAATTAACGTTATGATTTATTTGGTTTTAAGATATTTGTCATTGAAATACTTATACACATTTTAGAGCTTAATGTTTCATTCGCCTTTTGTTCTTCTTAAAATATAAGACACATACGGAACAATCCGATTGTGAGGAGGGGGGACGCTTAAAAGATCATTTTTGGAGTTCCACAAACATTTTTTTCGTTTAAGTCATCAACTAGAACTTTTTTCTCAGTCTTCTTCTTATTCCTGGTTTTGCTTCTTTTTCTCATAATTTTTTTTGCCATAAATCATTTGATGATCGCATTGTATAATGTTGTTATTATTAACAAAAGAGTTAAGAAATTGGCAATAGAAATGGCAAAAAAGAGTTTTTTATTAGAGAATAAAAAGAATCGGAATAAGAAGAGAGAAATATTCAATCACATCGACTATTGATAAAATTGTTTATTTATTGGGATTGGGCAAAATGTTGTTTTGAAAATGAAATGCTTAGATTTTTTGGTAGAAATGATTTAACGGTTTTCAAAATTTTGAATTTTTTTTCTCTGAAATTTTCATTTAATTTTTATATTTCTCCTCGGATATCACCAGAACTACTGTAAAACTGTATCTATCATAAAGAATTTACTCTACTTTACTCAACTAAAGTGAAATTTTATGTAATTCCTTTGATTTAGTGCTGAACTTATCACATAAAAATTAAAGAATCCCTTAATTTCCCGCCCTACCCTATTTGAGATTTTCCTATATTTATATAAATTATATTATTAATATTTACCTTGTTGAAAGTAATTGGCTTTCCTTACATAGACACAGACGAGAGCCATAAGTTGTAGTTGCGAAAGTCTTTGGCGTGTTGATTGTGGTAATGGAAGCAAGTCCCTCAAATTTGCTATTTCAGAGTTAATTAAGTCTCTTCGCAATTTTGATGCTCCTTTTGTTGATTTATTGGTTTCAAATCTATTCATAATAGAGATGAAGATTTATGTTAAAATATTGTATGAATGAATAATTTTCAATTTGTTGACTTTTGTGAAGAAAAAAAATAATACATTTAAATCACTTGTGAAAAGAGGCTTTTCATGTTCATTTATTTTTTGCTCATAATTTGTTCAGCTGTATATATTTTAAGTTAAGTGACTGACTGAGCTTATAAAAAAAGAATTTTTGTTGTTCATTGTGAAGATGATCTTGTAACTTTTTACTTTTCATAAATATAATTTTTTTTTGGTGAACAAGGAAAAAAGAAGGAGAAAGAAATGATATCGCGGTTTGATTCAAAGAATATTTCTTTAGAAATGTAAGAAAAAGATGAGAAATGAAAATGAAATAAAGAGTTATATGGGTCTCTTGAATCGTATAGTACAGAAATTCTCACGAATGTAATGGCATCTCTTGGGTAAGACAAATGATACATATTTTCTTCCCGTCTTCATCTACTTCGCGCACTTTTTGATATTTGAATAACTATTTTAGAGCATTCTTTTGTGATCTATTGGAATAAGAAATTACTTTGTTTAAGTGACTGACTATCTTGATGAGAATTATTTTTTCGCTTTGAAGTTCTGATTCAAAAGTGAGTTCAGTAGAGAAATGAAGCAGAAACTTTCGCATCAAGAGTGAGTTCAGTAGAAAAATGAAGCAGAAACTATCGCATCAAAAGTGATCTGTAGAAAAATGAAGCAGAAACTTTCGCATCAAAAGTGACTTTAGTAGTAAAATGGAAGCAGAAATTTTTGCTTCCAAAGTGAGTTCAGTAGAAAAATGAAGCAGAAATTTTCGCATCAAAGCTGAGTTCAGTAGAAAAAATGAAGCAAAAATTTTTGCTTCAACAGAGAGTTCAGTAGAAAAATGAAGCAAAAACTTTCACATCAAAAGTGAGTTTAGTAGAAAAATGAAGCAGAAATTTTCGCTTCAAAGCTGAGTTCAGTAGAAAAAATGAAGCTGAAACTTTTGCTTCAAGAGAGAGTTGAGCAGAAACTTTCGCATCAAAGATGAGTTCAGTGGAAAAATGAAGCAGAAACTTTCGCATCAAAAGTGAGTTTAGTAGAAAAATTGAAGCAAAAATTTTTGCTTTGAAAGTGAGTTCAGTAGAAAAAATGAAGCAGAAATGTTTGCTTCAAGAGTGAGTTTAGTAGAAAAATTGAAGCAGAAACTTTAGCATCAAGAGTGAGTTCAGTAGAAAAATTGAAGCAGAAATTTTCGCTTCAAAGCTGAGTTCAGTAGAAAAAATGAAGCTGAAACTTTTGCTTCAAGAGAGAGTTGAGCAGAAACTTTCGCATCAAGAGTGAGTTCAGTAGAAAAAATGAAGCAGAAATGTTTGCTTCAAGAGTGAGTTTAGTAGAAAAATTGAAGCAGAAACTTTAGCATCAAGAGTGAGTTCAGTAGAAAAATTGAAGCAAAAATTTTCGCTTCAAAGCTGAGTTCAGTAGAAAAAATGAAGCTGAAACTTTTGCTTCAAGAGAGAGTTGAGCAGAAACTTTCGCATCAAAGATGAGTTCAGTAGAAAAATGAAGCAGAAACTTTCGCATCAAAAGTGAATTCAGTAGAAAAATGAAGCAGACACGTTCGCATTTAAATTGAGTTCAGTAGAAAAAATAAACCGGGATTTTTGCATCAAAAGTGAGTTCAGTAAAAACAAATGAAGCAGAAACGTTCTCATCAAAAGTAAGTTCAGTGAAAATTGATGCAGAAAATATTTCGCTTCCAGTAAAAACCAAACCAAAAGCACCACAACTAATCCTTTAGACAACTTTCCACAATAAAAAAAAATCTCAAACTACTGGGGGTCCTCGATTTGAGTAGTTGTTTTGTTCCAAAAAATTTCTACTCAAATCGAATCTATTCAAATCGAGGCAAAGAATCCATACAAAATTACATGTTTTGTTCCAGAGTCCAAAAAATGAATCAAAACAATGAAAATTTTGATCATTTTTTGCACATTTTACCTCGTTTCTTAACTTTTCCTTTGTGTTTTAGATAACTTAATTTATTTCAACGCATATTCATATTGTTTTTAAACGGAAATTCACAAAAAAAATGTTTTTGAAACAAAACAAAAATATGAGAACCTTGCAAATGTTATTTCACTGAACAATTTGTAAGGTTTTTGAATTTGAACTTTTTAAAATCGTTGATTTTATATCGATTTTTTAAATTTTTACTTTAATTTTGTAACTTTAATATTGATTTTTCTATCAACATGATAAGTTCACGCTTATCGCAGTAAAATTTATGTTTTAAAATTATTTTCTGAAATATTTTTATCAAAAATATTTGTTTTGTAAACAATTCAAATCGAAGAAAACAGAAAGAAATCTACTCAAATCGAATATTTTGGTGGGTAATAAATTTTCTGTTCAAATCGAATCTACTCAAATAGAATCTACTCAAATCGAGGACCCCCAGTATTTATTTTTTTAAAATGTAAGTCTGTTAAATATCCAGAGCAAGTATTGCCCAATGATGATGAATAATCGACTTTTTTACATTGAAAAAAAAAGAAAGAAATCATTTTTTTAAGCACTAAATATTTTCTTTGTCAATCCACTTTTCCTTCATTCTCTGTACATTATTACCTAAGCTGAAAATGTTCACAGAGAAGTTTTTTTTGGTCGCGCGCGATTGTATATGAATGCTAAAGAAGGTAAAATAAAAAGAATTTAAATAAAACGACATGCCATTGTATTCTAATGTTTTTTTAGAAGAGAAATATCGATTAACACGATTATTTTTATCACTCTGAATAAAGACGAAAAAAAGAACACTAAAATAAAATGTAGGAAAAAAAAATCATGTAATTCTTTTTCTTTCTCCATACAGTTTCCTTTTGCGATTCAAATTGGAAACAAAAGACATGTTCTACTGTTTTCTTGTTGACGTTCCTGTTGTCTTCTGTATTATTGTTTATTTTAAAGTCTCTCTTTTTTTTCGGGTGACAACTTAAGCTTATGCTCAAAAACTCATTAAGAATTTTAAAATGATCATGTGAGATGTGATCGATTGTCTGATTTCGTAGAATCAAGTTAAATGAACAAAAGAAAGCGGGAACGAAGAGGGAAGTTCATTAATTATTTAGCTATTTGAATGAAACTCCCTTCACTAATTACCTTCTTTATTTTCGAATTAATTAAATGTTTTCAAAAACATGTTTAATTGATGAATGTTTAGACGATTAAATGATATGCTGTATAGTTTTATTTATAAAAGTCTGATTGATTTTTCCATTGAGATATAAAACGTCTGTTGTGCATAATATGGTGCTATACAGTTTAAGAGATATTGTGAACAAATAAGGAAGGCCATTCATGGCATATTGGGAAAATCTGGAAGCTTCTCATGGAGTAAAGAATAATTTTGTAGGTTTGTAGGTTTTTGGGATTGAATGGATTGATAAAATTTGAATTTTTGGTGATTATTACTGAGCTTTCAGCATGAGATTAGCATGTTGCACAGTATCTGCGACTTACTCCTCATATTGAAATTAAAATCACTGAATTGATTAATTTTTTTCTGAAGCAAATACATGGAGAGGCTTAATCGATTAATACAATTTTTTAGGACACGAAAATTGAAGAACAAAAACTTAAAATTAGAATTTTCGTCAAAATATCAAAAAAAACTAATCATAAAGCTTATAATTTAAAGCTTTAAATGATCAACATTGCTACATTTGACCCTTAAAGTTCGAGCTGTCTTTTAAAAATCTACAAAAATTACCAAATTTTTAATATAAAACAAAAATGGTCAAAAAAGGCTTGAAATGCCGCATGTAATCCAAATTTCATTTCCCTTAGTCTAACCCGATATGGAAGTGCTTATTTACAAAGAAATTAGAGATTTTTTTAGAAATTTAAAGTAAAGTAAAGGTGAGTTGCTAATTGATAATCTGTTAGAATCAATCAAACATTTTCCTGTGTTAAAATTCACAGGCAGTAAAGCATGAATCCTGAGGTGAACTAAACTCATTTATTTATTCTGTGAAATGCTGAATATCTTAATTATTCGATATGAAAAATCAAACTTAAAAATTTCAAGCCTTAATGCATGTCACAAGCAATAAAATAACATTATTCCTCCTTTTGTGTATTGAAGACAATAAATTCATTTTTGTGATCAATAAAAAAATTATCCATTTTGTGGAAGCAATTAAATAATTTTTTCATATTTAAAACCATTTTAAAAGTAAACTAAAGTTGACGACAATTAAAAATATTTAAAAACTTATTCAAGAAATTGCTCGAAAAGAAAAGCTAAGTTTGAAATCATGTCAAGGTTTGAGAAATTTAAATTTTATGAGCTTTTCACGACGTTTGAGATTTAGAATGATTATCTAGAATAGTTGAGATCTTAGGATCTCATCCTCTTCTAAGACTTAATGATCAAAAGACAAATAGAACAAAAATATAAAAAAAAACAGCGACAACTTCTCAAGAAACTGAGAAGTTTTTTTTTTGATGAAATCTTTCCCAGTTCAATCTTAACGATCTTAACACAAAATTTCATACAAAATGTAACAAAATAATGGTTTGTTGATCTTCATTAAACACCTACGTTTACACAAGAAAAGAAAATCAAACCATTCAAAAAAGGCAGCGTAAGAATCATCTTCGAGATAAGAAATTTAAATGAAAAGACTTAAATGCTTCAAAAAAAAGTAAGAAGTTATCGCACAAACAAAATCTGTAAAAACGTAACTTAGTCTTCTTGATTTTCTCAGTTGAAAAAAAAAAGTATAAAAATTGAGAGGAGAGAGATATTCAGTGCCGAGGATGATGATGATGATGATAAAATCATTTTGTGTAATTGTGAAAAGTCAGTCGGGTTCAATTTTCCATCATTTATCATTATCATGTTATGTTAAATAGCATAAAAAATGGTTTTTGCACTGCGGCGTATCTCTACCACTTCTATTTCTAATAAATTAATATTTTACCGGTATTTAAATAAAAATTTATAATAATCAAGGCACACACATGGGCAAGAGAAAGAAATTGAATTAAATTTTAGAGGTGGTATGGAGATTAAATGCAAACATGTAAAATGTACAATTTAACCAATTTATCTTTCAATGAGCATCGTGTGATTTATGTTATGAATAAGCTTCCAAAAATATTTACCGTATGGATTCATAGATAGTAAGCTATCGCCTGTAGGCTTACATACAAAAAAAAAACATTTTTTGTATTGATGCTTTATAGACAGTGTGAGGTATATGAATGATATATTGACTCCTAATAGACAGCCAGTAATTATTTATTTTATTTTTTGTTCTCGCTCTCTTTCTCTTTCTCTCGCTGTGGAAGTCTCATTCCTTTTCTAGCTAATAAGAGTAGTCACGTGTGAACTTTTACAGCGCATTTGATAAATTGATTTTGATTTATTTGTTTATGTTTTGCGGCAAATTTGGGTTTTCGAATGTTTAAAAAATTGGTGTAAGTATTTAACGGCATTTTCAAAATTTGAATTCAGAGATTTTTTAAATGCAAAAACTTTTCTCGCTTCGAAAAGTTTTTCGCAATTTTTACCTTAATTTAGCAATTATTCATTTCAAACCCAACTTTTTGTAGCACAACAAAGTGGCACAAACATTCAATGACATTGCTAAGCCACAAAAATCCACTAATGTTATCAAAACCATCAAATGACAAAATGACAACTCATTCAATTTCACAAAAATCACACAACAGGAAGAAAGAGATGTGAAATGGAGTGAACGAGAGTTACACAGTGAGCAGGAAAGAAAAATTAAAGTTTGATGAATGTGCTCTCATATTGGTTAATTTGAAAGTTAGTGTTAATTTATTTGATATACATTTGAAGTGACTACATTCGTCTCACAGTCACACATTCCTCTCCAGCACTTATTGAATTAGATAGAATTGGTTCGATTTTTTGATCCATTTTGAAAAAAAATATAAAAAAAAAATCATTTTTTAATGTGCGAGAAAGAAAATTATAGTTTATTGGAAATGTAAACTTTGGAAACCGTTCTTTATTTTCTTACAAATTAGTATTATATTGTAGACAAAGTTCAAGGTGAAGAATTGAATAAATATTTGAGTTTATTATGTTTCCACATACAAGGCAGTCTATAATCTCTCGAAATGCAACTCATTCCATTCTCTTTCCTGATTCTTACTCGACTATATGGACGGACAAGTTTGTGAGCTCAGTGATCGATCAATTCAATGCAATATGAACCATAATTGAATGAGTATCTTGTACTCGATTATAGTTATTATCGCAATGAGAAAATTTCAGGTCCAAAAAAAAATTATTAAATTGAGTATGTTGTTGAGTGTGAAAAGTACGAGATGATCCAGACTTAATTTTTTTTCTAAATAATCCAATTAAATGTAAAGTCTTAAGAGTTCCTAGAAATATTTATTAGAGCGAATTTTGTGACGAATCTAACCGATGTCGATTCTATCTCGAAAATGCCGCTTCTCTTGTTTTTTGTTTACTTAATTTCGTACACAATTATCACCTTCTCTCGACTATTCATGCACACATTTTGATAGCTCAATCGTCACACTTAATACTAGATTAATTTTTTTCTCCTCACATTTCTGTTGATCTTTAGATAGGCAAAATTCTTTTTCTTTGTTACTATCTTGATCTAGCACGTAGAAATTTTGCAATTCTAGAAATTGTTCTTGACTTATTTCAACATATTTTCTCGACTGAATTTACACATTTGAAATGATAATTTGTGGTTTATTTTATGAGCTTACTAATTGCTTAATGCTTTTCATGTATGAATATCATGCAATAGTTTAGATAAGGGACTCAAATGATGAATGCAGAATGCTCAAGAATAATTTAATTTTATCAACTAAATTGAGCAATTGTTCACTTTTTCATGATATGATTAATTTAATTCAACTTTTTAAAATAAAAAAAATGCAAATAGAAGTTCCGAAAAATGAATTAAACATTTTTTAAAAAATAATAAATAATCCTCAGTTCAGGAGAAATTTGATGACTAACTTCAAATTAGAATTTATTGATTTTATTCGATGATTAATTATTTTATTAATGAACTGTTGATTGACACTGATTTACGGATCTTATTGACTTTTAATTCCATCCAATTAAATCTCATACTCAACAATTAGATAAGATCATCCGGATCTAATAATCTTGGGAATTTTGGAACACTATGATTCATTATTATGAGCTTTGAATCAAGTCACTCAGTTCTTCGTGATATTGATACTTCAATAAATGATTTAAGCTTTGAACAAATTGTCATAAGCGAGAATCGAACTCGATATCTTACAACTTTGGTTTAAATGCTCTTTATCACTAAGCTAACCGAATTTTAAACTTTAAAGCTCGGAAGACGGACCAGCAACTTAAACTTTTAATCTTTTCTGAAGAATATCTTTGATATCCTCAATATTTGGAAACGTTTCCAAACAAGATCACAATTGTTTTTGACTAAAGTCCAACCTCTTTTCACACAGCAATTATTGATGACGAAAAAGTTGATCAACTGATGTAAGCAAATATCGCACTTACCTCGAAAACATTTTTTTCATTCCACAATGATAATTACACAATCTTTTCCGAGGAAAATTTCACCGTCGGAATGGTTTTGAAATTTGTTGAATTTTTTAAACATTAATTTTCCTTTTTTTTTCTTCTCTTGCTTTTCAGCTATCCTTTGGCGTTATATTTTTAATTTTGTCTACTCGTGTTCACTTTTATTAATATTATTTTTTTTGTGTTGTATAACGAAATAGCAATGACAATAAAATAATGCCTTGTTATCACTTTGACCAACAACTTTTATTTTTATTTTATTTTAATATTCACAATTATTTTTTTCTAACTGTCGCAAGTATTTTGTGAAACATCTTTTAATGACACTTGAATATTGTAAGTTACTGATAACTGTAAAAAATTAATAAAAACTCCATATTTTTTTTTTTAATATCTAAACGTGCAATTTTCTCGGTCACGATTCTTTTGTTGCTTCACTTTTAATTTTCTTCTTTAAAAAAAGACTTTGCAGAGTGATAAGAATATTTCACAAGATCGCTAGCGCAATCACATATTTTTGTATATTTTTAATTCCTTTATTTTTTTTTTGTCTTCACCAATTAACATTAAAATAATTTTTTTTTTATCCTTAATCGTACACAATAAGTTATTATTGAGGGGATATGTAAAAAAATTTGAACTACAACTATTATCAATAATATATAAAAAAAAATTAATGATCACCGAAAATAAGGTAAAGGCAGGAAACTAACAAAGTACGTCTTTACAAATCCGCGGTTTACAATCGAATGAAAATTGCATATAGTTTTAAACAAACTTAAAAAATATAAAGATACAACAATAAAAAAAAGGTAATAAGCACAGTATATAATTCAACTATAACATTTGTATTTGTGTTGAATGTAAAATAAAGAAAAAAAAAGGTAAGATACACAAACACAACGTGACTAACAGTCGTATAACACAACATCTTATCATTGACGAATAAGAGCGCAAAGTAGAATAATAAAAACACTAACTTCAACGAGCGAATCGGAAACGAGCAGTTTTGTGTATTGAAATTTAATATTTCTTCTTTCTTCTTAGCGATTGCAGCGATCACAGTGGCTGGTAAATGAACTTGTGGAAGCTTAGTAAAAAATTGTGAGCATTTGAGCTTGGCAGTTCAATTCTAATCTAGCTTAATCTAAAATAATCAAAAATTTAACTCTAATTGCTAATAAAAGCTGTTGAGGATTAATTCTTTAAAACATAGGTCCATTGTTCCTTGTAAAACAGTTTAAATGACGTTTCGTTAAGTCCCTCTCGCTCATTGTCTTAACTTTTGGCTTTAAAGTTTTCTTAATTTCTGACCCGACAACAGAGAGCATCTCACTCGGTGTGACTGGAGATACTTGGCTACGGCTATCGTAAGATAATCTTCTGTTTTCGTTTCTAAAATGAAAAGTAAGTTTTTGAAAAGTTTAAAAGAAATTTAAGGTAAGAATTCTAACCCAACATCCAGAGATAAGGATCTTCTATTTGGAATCACAGTTTTTGATGCTGAGATTGTTGTAGTTCGGACTTGCTGTTGGGAATGTGGATGAAATTGGAAGTTAATAAATGATTCTTTAAATATTAGTCAGTCAGGAGATTAAATTCTTAATCAGAAACTTTTGATTTTCAAGGTTTTGACAGTTTGCTTTGGCTACGGCCCTTAAAACTTTTATTGACTTAACACTCACTTTAAAAGCATTTCTTGCAGTTGGTCTCGGTACATGCAGATTTGGAAGATTGTAAGATTTCGGCTTAACCATTCCTATCAAATCAAATTATTTATCAAAATTCACTAAACACAAATTTAAAGATTCCTTACCATTACTCATCCCACTATCAATCCTCGCCAAAGACAGTGATCTTCTATGATTATAATAATGAGGATGCTTCATATGACTTTGTTCATATTGATATTGCATCTGCTGCCTACTTGGTTCATACTGATGTAGCATATGATGTTGAGTGTGTTCATAATGCATTTGGTCATCTCCTTGATTCATTTGTGGTGGTGGCAAAAGCTGATTGTTCTTATAATAAAATACTTCGTTGTCTGATTTTTGAGTCTCAGTAATTGACACTTCACTTGGGCCTATTGATGCTGACTGAGATGATCCTTTTGGTTTCGGGAAGCTAATCTTCATTTCTACGTCAGGTGCTAAATCTGGATGAGTTCCGGCGACCTGAATAGGATAAAATTGTATTAATTTAGCAAGTGATTCATGATTTTGGAATTTTTGCTTACCGTAACTGACCATCCTAATAATTATGCATGAAAATTAAGCAAATGTGTAGTCATAAACGACATGTTTTACTAAAGTGGATTATCCTCGATTTCGGATTATCCACTTCAGTTTTTTGGAAATATCTCCAGGCGCTTAAGGTTATTAAGAGATCTAATGTGTGATCTAGCAAGAGTACTTTTCTACTTAAATTAACATATACTTAGAATTTTTATATCTTCATTCGTTTGAGAATTATAGCAAAAATCGAAGGTTATCTACTAGATTTGGGTAGAAAATTGAATAATTGATAGTTCTTAACGAAAAGTAAAAGTTTAAAGAATACAGAAATTTCAGGCATAGTTCACTCTATTATAATCCAATATAAGAAATACCACACCTCCTATTAAGTTTAAGATATTTACAAAAAATTGAAGTGGATAATCCGAAATCGAGGATAATCCACTTTAGTGAAACAGCCAGATAATGACTGATTAATTAAAAATAACTTACCTTGATGTATATTAGGTATAACGACACTATTATTTTCCTGCTTCATCAAAGTCTTTGACTTTCTTTTCGGTGTACTTTCCTTACTGTTTTGCTTCGATGAGATCTTGGGAATATGTTTTGGTGATTCACACTGACTATCAGTCGATGCAGAACTTTCATTTGAATTATCTTCATAGCTATTATTTCGCTTCGGCGGTGATGTTTGCTGTTGTTTTGGATTCGGACTTGGCAATCTAATTGGCTTTGAGGAAGTCTTAAATGCATTTGTGCTGCTACTTTTCATACCATTTTGTATTATTTCTTTCTCTATTTCTTTTTCGACAGGTTTCACTTGATCTCTCGAAATGTTGTTTGTAGCCTTCGGTCGATTTAGCAATTTACCCGTCTCTCTACCAGCAAAAGTTTCACGCGTTAATGTCGATATTGATTGATTAGAGATAATGACACTTTCATCATCATCATCATCAACATCTTCGTCCTCAGCATCATCTTCTTCGTTATTGGCTTTTGAGGCATTTTCAGCTTCATCTTCTTCATCATATTTAATATTGTTGTTCTTACTCTCATATTTGTCGTTGATATTACACTGGCAAGTGTCTATATTTACAGGTTTTATATTGAATGTTGGCGTGTAAATATTATCGCTTGTGCCTGTATTGAAACTTTTTTGTGATGTTTGTGTAATGTTATTCTTGTTGTTATTATTGCTGTTTATATTTACAGAGTCAGTTTCGTTCATTTTATGCAGTGCATTATCGCTGTGGTTCATTTCATGATTGATTGCATGGCAAACAATTTGGTTACTAAAGTTTGAACGACTGTGCAGTAAATTACAATTTTCACTTGCTAATGTTGTCGAGTCGCTTGACATCGTTGGTGGTGGTTGAAAAACTTCGTCAATTTCAACTTTTGACTGGATATATTTACAATCACTTGTTTCATACACTTGCCAAACATTCTTCTCATTGATTCTATATGGTAAGTACTTTTTTGTGCAACTGCATGTGTCATTGTCTTGATCTGTTTGTGGTTTTTGTGCATTTTCATTCGAAAGCTCAATTTGAATAATTTTTTCATCTGCGGTTTGTGAGCGTGATGTGTCATTGCACGACGATATTGGTGTATTATCACCAGCTGATGGATAATTAAGTTTGTTTTGCATATCATTTACCATCGATGGATATTCTGAGCCACTACTATTTGGATTTGTTGGATTTTCATTGTTAAATTTTGTAAAATTATTAAAATTGATTGACTTTAAAGCCTCGCTATCCTTTGATTGTGGTGTATTTAATGACAATGAGATATCAGTTATGCCTAATGGACATGACTTGTCTGCAAATTGTGATTGACAGTAGTTTTCATACGTTCCTGTCGATGTTGCAGTTGTTACTGTGGATGATGATTTGCTATGGTCAAGTAAATTGAAACAGCAATGGTTTGTTTGATATTGATACAAATGATAATGGAAATGATTATTGCTGTTGCTAATGCTAGCATCATTATTACTATTTGACGACAATGGCGGTGTTGATGAGTTTTTATTATGATTTATGAATTGATGGACCGAATTTTTATGACCGTGCTCTACATGATCTGTACAAATTTTATTGAGGATAGTGGGAGGAGAAACATCAATTAGCGGTTAGTATATTCTTTGAAATAAAATTTTTGCGTGTAGATTGACATAAATTTTTGGTCAGGAGAATAAATTATAAATACACAAAAAATAATTTGTCCATGCTAATGCTAATACGAGCAAAACATAACTAAGTGTAAATGAAAAGAGATTTTTTTTACTAAAAAGCATGTCAAAAATTTTCATTTCTCCACACACACAGCGGTATTAAGTGTAGGTTAATAACTTTTTCGGTGCCACTGGACTTTTCTTTCCTACTTTAATTTTCTTTACCAACTTTTTTATGTTTATCGTTTACGCAAAAAATCGATTATTACAATTAGGTTACTTGCTGTGATAAAGCGAGAAAGGAAAACATACTTTCTTTATTGTTTCTTATTAGCCTCAGTTCTGAAATAAGTGAATTTGTGATTTTTTGAATGAAAAGTGATACGGTAGCGAAGCTTTAGCGCATTTTCGTTCGAAGTAGCTGTCAATCAAACAAGTGTCAAATATAAAGGCTGTCATATTTCTAAGTTTGTACATGATTTTGCAGTTATAGGATATGCGAGAGGTAATAAAGGTTCATTGACAATAAGAAGGATATTTGATTAATTTTGGCACAGTTGAATATGAATTTATAGCTTTTTTTTGCAATTTCAATAATTGAAAATTATGAAATTTTTTTGGCTGATTCTTGCAATTAGTTTGTGATTAATATTCACAATTATGATCTGAATCACTATTATCTTTTTAAAACTAAGGAATTATGCATGTTTTTATTGTTTAAATAATTACAATGTTCATTATATTAATGAAAATATAAAAATAAAAGTAAAACAATGGAAAGGGGTATACAACTAAGTTTTTAACTATGGTTCCAATAATTTTTGAGCTTAATTGTCCGTTTTTGCTCATTCTAATAAAATCGCAAATTTTGAACAACTTTATAAAATTTTAAATCTCATAAATTCTAAATTGAAGTTAATATTAAGGATTAATTTACAAAAATGGATAAATATCACCCACAAAAGTCAAAGTGTAGCTCATTTCTTTATAATCACAATTTCATTTGAACGAAATACATAAAAATGGCAGGGAAAAGTCAAAGAATATAACAAAAGGTAAGAACAAAACCTACTTAAAATACTATACAAAAAAATTTATTCACAACTCTTGTTGGATTGCAGCGATTAGAAATACAACAAAACAAAAAAGAATGTGGCTATGTAAGAATAAAAATCACAAAACAGTGTCTAAATAAAAAGAAAATAAGAGTAAAAAAAGAAAAACAGAAGTAAAATAATAAAAATAAAGGATTAAAGAACGAACAAATTGAAATGAAATTTATTTCTCAAATTTTTTTTCTTAACTTTATTAATTTGAATAGATTTTGAAATTTGCCATTATTCAATAATGAGATCAATACCTTCCGATTTATGTTGGTCTAATGATGATTCATTGCCTCTCAAGTTCCTCTCATAGCCATCAGTCACATCATTTTCGTTATCATCTTCGTTGCCGTTCTCGTCAGTAAACATCACAAATGATTTTGTCTCTGAGGCATCTTTGATATCTGCTATAGTTTTTGTTGGTATTTTTACATCCATTAATGTCATATCCTTCTTATTGCTCGGTGATGCATTAATTGATAACGATGAGTCAGCACCAATTGTTGACTTATTAGATTTTATTGATCTTGATGGAGATTTAGCTGGCGACAATTTTACAGATTTAATTGATGACGATGGAACTTTTAGGTTATTACTATTATTGCTGTTTACGTGATTGCTCGGAGTTATAAAAGCTCTAGATGGTGACTTAATCGGTTGAGGGATTCTATTTGATTTGCCTGAAATTAAACGAGATAGAAAGTAGCATGTGACATTTAAAAATGATATATACAGAGTAATTAGCTACATATTTGTTTTGAGAAAGACAAAAAAAAAGAATAAGCGAGATGAAAATCATGATCTGAAAGACATACATAGACTCTAACCGTTCAGCTGCCGAATGACTAATTATACAATAAGAATAAATAAGTTCATGTTTACGTACATTTTTCATTCTCTTCTTCATTTCCATCCGCATTTTCCTTGTCTTCTTCTATTTCTTCATCTTCGCTCTCACTTTGTCTCTGTGGCGTGATGTTTCTCGTCTTTATGTCATTATTCTGTAAATTCTTCTTACTCTTCCAATCATTATTGATATTATTTATTTTCTCATTTCGCGTATTTTCCTCTTCCTCGTCCTCAATAAAGTCATCGTTTGATGAATCAACGGAAAATGAACTTTTCTCTTCGGGTATGACTTCAAAACGATGCTGATATTTTCCAGCACTATTACTTGCAGAACGACGACTTGAACTATCACCTGTATAGTATCCAGTTGAGGATGAATCAGCACCACCACCTGGAGATTGGGAACGACGTTTCATTCGTCGAACTTTTGGAGATTGAATATAGTCCATACCTATGTCATCGGGACTCTTAAGAGCTTCCATTAATAAATTCGCTATCATACGATCTACTTTTGAGGCATGTTGATTGACTGAACTTCCGGCAGAGGTTAGTGACTCTTCTGCATCGGTGGATGAACTAAAATTATTACTTGGCGATGTATCACGTGGTTCATAATTAATAAATGGCTGTCGATAATGACGAATTGGACGGTAAACTGGCACGGGAATCCTCGATGCATAATGTTTCGATCCTGTATCATCAAAGCCACTAGTTTTAACGCTAAATGTCTTATTTACAAACATCGAATGTGGTATTGATGATGAAGATGATGGAACATGATAAAATTTATGATGATTTTGTGAATTAATTGACGGTGAAGATGTAAAAAGGTGATTAAAATTATTATTTTCTGGTGCCTGTTGTGCTAAAGTGTTTCCATCGACACACTCTACAATTTCTAAAATCTCAATATGTTTATCACCTTCTTGAATTTCCGTTTTCCACATCTTACGGGATGGTCCGCTATCGGGATCTGGGGTTAAATCGTTTTTATATATAGACATTTGTTGTACATCTTTCATAATTTGTCGTCGACGTGCATCAATCGCTTCCACAGAGGAAGCAGACGATGTTGGGATATTTGACGACATTCGTTTGGAAGACGGTACAGATTTTCTTTGAATACTCTCAGAGGGTGTCTTTAATTTACCCTTAGAGCTTCTCTTTCCATCACTTATGGATGTATAGGAAGTTCTTTTAATTTTTGGTTTTGGGGGTTTCTCTTTTTCCTTTTTTGGTGCTTGAATTTGCATATTTCCACGTGCATCGATTTTATATGATTCCAACATTCCGATATCATTTTTCAATTTTTTAGATTTAGAGGACTTTTCAGACATTGATTCATTACTATGTTGCGTCGTTATTTGTGGTGGTGCTGTTCGTTGCTTTGGTACCCATCCACTTCCACCGCCTGATTGACTTGAAGGTGCTCTTTTATATACAGCTGTTTCAATTGGCAATTGTCTCGATTGCATTCCAATAATTTTAAATGCACCGCCAGTAGTCGATAAATCAGCAAGATAGTCATTCACGACATTCAAATGTTCCATTTTTCGCTCTATAAATCTTTGCATTTTCCATTGCTTTATTTTCATTTCGCTTTGCTTCTTCATGTCTCTACGTCGCTGACGCAAAACTAATTTTTCTTTCAACTTTTCAGGCATTGTATCGGCAACGACAATATGTTCATCAATAGGTTGATCTGTGTCAACAATTGGAACAAAAAACGCCTGACCTTTTAAGTGCGTTTGACGAAATAAAGCTTGAGCCTTTCGATGCTGTTGATGAGCAAGTTCATTTAATTTTTTAGCTCGAATTGTAACCACATCATCGAGACTATCTACGTCACTTATTAAATCCTCATCATCAGAGTCTGGCATTCCATCCAATTCATCATCGTCTTGAGCAGATGATGACGATGGATTAACTTCCATTGATTCAGTTTTTGGACCAATTACTCTGGGAACTAGAATAGAGTCAGGACGATTTGGTAATGGATATGATGTACCTGTATTTATGACTGCAGTTATCTCCAATTGATCAGATAAATCTGTGGATGTATTACTATGTTCACTTATGCTCTTACTATCGACATAAGATGTTGCAAAATAATGTCGACGATTTAAATTATTTTGAAATTGCTCTAAGGCGAGCTTTGGGGAATTTACATCCGTATTTCCACAAATATCGTGCTCGACTGCAGCGTAAGTTGTAGGGCTCATAGAATCATTTGAATTTCGATTTTTGCTGTTGTCCCCATTTTTGGCGTTTCTCATTTGAATAGCAATTTCGTGTTGGTTTCTTAATTTATTGTTCGAATTAATAAAAACATTTTCATCGTCGACTCCACCACTGGATGGGTGGTGGTTATAATCGATTTTGACAAGGTTATGTTCACCATTAGCTTGTAAATTTTCATTAACAGTTTTTATAACATTGTTAAGGTTATCAATGAGCATTTGCGATATATACTGATCAATTTCGGTGTCATTGAGCTTGTCTTCACGCAATCGTCTATAATTTATGTTTGATAAGTCTTCCTGTGGATGATATCCCTCGTCTTCTAGTTGTGTGCTAAATTGCTTCTTCAAATATTTATCTCCATTCTTATTTGTCTCAACTACGGTTGTCGTCACATCATGATTATTACTAGTATTGTTGTTAGTGTCAATTTCAACTTGCAACATATCCTCAGTCTGTGAATCTAGTGAGATTTGTTGCTCCTGCTGTAATGTCGTCATACATATGATAATGTTATTACCATTCGCATCAGTTATCGATGATGATGATGAGTTTTTGATTGAAGTTGTCTGAGATCCAACGGAATTACTTTTTGTCGTCGTATTTGCCTCTATTCCAACGATATCAGATGATTGAATTATTGTCGATGCGCTCGATGATGCACTAGACAATGTTTGTTGTTGCTTCTCTAGCTTTTCACTCACGTCGTATCCCAAATCTGTCTGTTGTGATTTATCTTCCTTATTTTCGCATGAATCGTCTTCAAAATTATCGCGCGATAAAACCCCAAGTTCCCTACACTTTTCACACGATGACGATAAAAATTCCGGTAATGTATTAAATTTCTTTAATCGACTCTGGGTATTATGATGTGTTGACTTTCTTAACGGAGGTGACCAACTGCCAGAATATTTTGTATGCTGAAACTCTCGAGTCCACATTCGACGCAAAAGCGTTTGCTTTCTCATGGATATTTCAGTTGTATTGTGAAAAAATCCTCCACTACCCCCAAATGAACAGCTACTAAGTGTGGGCGACGATACAACATTCGACGATTGCTGTGGTGAAAGCGGTATAAAGTATTTTATCGGACTCGCTGTATGTGATGATGGTGTTTGTGGTTGTATTGGTTTTTTATTGTGATTATTGCTTTGACCATTTCTTTTGGTAATCGCTTCAGTTGTTGGTGCTGTTGTTAAATAAATGCTTGTACTCTCCTCATACGTTTTCTGTTGTGCCAGCGAATATCTACAGACGTGAAATGGATATAACGATAATAATAGTTGGCATGTAAATTAGAGCATAAAAAAAGAAGTCAGAAAGGAATCAAACTATAAAGCATTTTTTTAATATTACCATATTGTGTGGTGCTTTGCGATTTATTTTGGAATGAGAGGGAATTCCTTCGTGAAAATTTATTTCATTTTATGCCAAACGTTCAACATTGCATTGATTTTCTTGAATAAAGCCTATGAATATTTTTAGGTTTTTGAACATTTTGATAAAAATAAGTGCGACAGTGAATAAGTAAAAAGGTCATATTGTCTAGAGCATTAGTAGTTTTAAAAATAGAGACGAATTATTTGTGTGCTCTTTAATGTCATGAAAATATTTATGGGACGAAATCGCACATGAAAGGGAATTTATGAAAATGAAATAAATGGTATGTAAAATGTGAATATGTTGACGCAGAGTTGGGTTGTCGAGTTGAAAAGGGGACAAAAAATAAGTTGGGAGTCTTTAAAAACTGAATTTTGTAAGAAATTACAAAGATTCATCCGAAAATTATTTATTGATTTACAGATTGGAGGGGGGGGGGGGGGGGGTTCGCAAGTTATTTCTACATAATCGAACCTAATGCATTGTAAGATTACATCAGCACTTCCTAAAATGTTCTTCTAATATAACAACAACTAGCACCAACTCTGACCGAAACCATGAATCATCAAAAAACTATTTAAAGGCTGAAAAGCACGAAATATTATACTTACTTTCGCATTATAATTTCTGGAACAGAATACCGTCGCTTCAAAAGGGTCGGCGATTTTCCATGACCACTTCCGGTACTTCCATTTGATTTCTCGTTCATACTCATTTTTTCAACTTTATTTTGTACGCCTTTAAGCTTCTTTTTGAGCTTTGCTTTTTTCGTGTAAAATGGTTTTTCAATGAATAATTCAGGTGACGTAAGAGATGAAAAGTCATCACTTGATATTGAGGATCCACGGCTGTGTGACGGAAAATAAAATTAAATTTGTTCTAATATTTTATAATGGATATAAACGACTAGATAAAGAACAATGGAACGGAATTGTCTTATCAAATTAAAGTCAAAGAGAAATTGTTGTTGTCTCATCCAATAAAATCTAATTTGACGGAAATGCAGGTTAAATAGGAAAATGCTTTTAGCAAAATTAGAATTACTTTCTTTTTCTTTTCCTTTTCTTTATATTTTCTCGTAAGAAAGGCAAGCAACTCCTCGCACAAATGAATCAAAATATCATACCATTTATCACTAGCTCTATGTGAGGTAATTCAAATTATTTATTTATAGACTTTACCTTTGGGATGAAAAAAAAAGCATTTGTCGGCTATTATGTTGCCATTTGTTTCACCCTCACGAACTCTTTTCTTCTCATTCGCATACAATGAATGTAAATTTATTGGCTTTATAAGTCATTAATGTATTTTCACTCGAAGACTTTAGCTCTTGTGTGGTTTTTTTACCTTCTTGCATACTTGGTTAATTGACTTTGAAATTAAAAATATTTTTGAACTCGGGAATCGATAAAGTTTAATGATTCGTGGAATTGCTTTTTCTGTTTAGAGGTGGTGTGAATTTTTTGAAAATATTTAATCTTTAATCAGTGAATAAATTTAATGGAATTTGACTTTAAGGACTGTTGACTAGCAATGACGACTAAGTAATAATTTAATGTAATGTTATGGATTTCAGTAAAACTTGGGAATACTCAAAATCTAGTACTTCAAATCAAATTAAGAAACTTAGTAGCTTTAAAAATCTAGTACATATAACAAAACTATTGAAATTGAGCAAAACAGTTGGTTTTATGAAGTACTAGATTTTTGTCATTAGGGACTAGATTTTAGAACACTTTATGAAGTACTAGATTTTTTGCCACTAGGGACTAGATTTTCGAACACTTTATGAAGTACTAGATTTTTGTCATTAAAGACTTCGATTTCGAACATTTTATGAAGTCCTAGATTTTTTGCCATTAGGGACTAGATTTTAGAACACTTTATGAAGTACTAGATTTTTGTCATTAAAGACTTAGGTTTCGAACATTTTATGAAGTACTAGATTTTTTGCCATTAGGGACTAGATTTTAGAACACTTTATGAAGTACTAGATTTTTTGCCATTAAAGACTAGATTTTAGAACACTTTATGAAGTACTAGATTTTTTGCCATTAAAGACTAGATTTTTGAACACTTTATGAAGTACTAGATTTTCGAACATTATTGACTAGCTTTTTAAATATTAAGAGCTCAATTATTAATGATAAAGGACTAGATTTCACAGTTGAGCTTAAAGTCCTAAATTATTTCCAGCATGAGCATGAAAAATTGGATCATACAAAAATGTTTGAAAAGTCAAGATCTCAGTTTAAAAAAACATGTCATAAAGTTTACTTGTTTTGTTCTCAAAAGTCAACAATTTCCTTCTTTTTATTATGTCTAAATTTTGAGACAGATTCAACTCAAAATAAAACTCTAAACTTCCCACAAAGTCAATATTCCTAAGCAATCAAAATTCTTTTAAAGCAGACGATGAAATAGAAAAGATAAAATTTTCTCATCGAAAAAAAAATTCTTTTTTAGAAAAACAAACATTTTCTCCTTCTTACTTAACTTCTGTTGCGTGTAACATAAACATATTTATTGAAGCTTTTATTTTTATAGCCAATAGCACCTTCAATACACTCCGTATCATTGCCATATTCATAAAAATCGTTTTTTTTCTCACATTATTAAAGATGGTTAATTAAAATTACCTCCAAAAACTGTGCGAATGATGAGATTTTGGCGTGTTCCATGCCTGTTTCCTGACTTGCCTTAAAATTGCATCAATATCTGGCAATTTCTTTCCTACATTATTATTTTTTCACACATCACACGTGGATTTTCATTAGAGTAGAAAGGAAAGATTGTTATTCTTTAATCAATTATAAATGCTTATCGATACATTTTTCATCAATTACGTGCAATAAAGCTGTTGTAGAACTGATAGGAACATAAACAGTGAAAAAACCAGGGGGAAAACAACATGATGGGGAAACTTTATCGTATTTTCGAGGGGATAACAACATGATGAAAAATTCACATCAGATTGTGTTCCCCTTGAGAATTTCCCAACAATTTTCAATCAAAATTTAAATTTGAAATTGTTGAAAATTTTGCAAAATTATATTTTCCTCATCATGCTGTTGTCCCCTCGGAAGCAACTTATCGATTCTTTTCAGTGAAATTTCCTCAATAAATTATTCAAAATTAAAGTTCTTTAAACCTCAACATTATTCTGTTTACTTTCATTAACTTCATACGTGCTGCATATTTAGTATTGCATGCCTTTTTTTATCGATTCTTAATGTCTAATTATAATATACACTCACTGTAGGTTATCGACACTAATCGGCTTAAGTAAATAAATGTATGTAAAGCTATTGTCCCCTCCTGAATTTCACTCCTCGAAAAGTAATTAAGTAATTATGTCCAATTTCATGACATTACAACTCAAGGTCACTCAAACGCAACAGTCTATGTGCAATTTAATTCCATATCACATTACACAGTCACATTTATCTGATCTCTTTTTTTTATTGTCAATTTCCCGTAATCAATTGTTCACATTCATAAGCGCGTGCATCACATCGACCTAATAAAATATTTATTTACTTCATTATGCTGCTGATCACCGATTTTTTTATTGCACACAGAAAAATCAATTTTCTTTAATACATAAATTTAGAACTATTATTATTCCTTCCAACTCTCATGTGCTGTATGACAAGCCTTTATTTTATTTGATAGATAGACAGAAGAACAATGTGATAGAATTGAATTCTCGCAGTCAACTGTTGTGTGTCGTGAGGTGAAATGTGAAAATAGATTTTTTTTTAAACTTCTCTCTCGCGTGCGTTTCAGTTTCCAAGCTGTTTCGTGCCGGCAAATACGAGGAAGTTTTTTTTCTCTGTTTACGTTTTGCTTCTGTTGTTGTCATATTTTCTCACTGAGCTTATTGTTGCTTTAGTATTCATGATAAAGGGAAATATTGCGTGAAATTTGCATACATGAAAAGGTTGGGGTGATGGAAAAATATTATGCATATTACTTTATTGAATATTATGGTCGTTTAATTATGGAGCATGAAATATTTATGGACTAAGATTTAGTTAAATGAACTCCAAAAGTGCTAGAATAGCACTAGCACTGAAATAAGCACAGTAATTAAAGCTCTTTGGTTCCTAAAAGACAAAGACCATCTTCAAAAGAACCATGAAGTGCTTAACGATACAATGTGTCCATTACCGAGCTAATTCAGCACATTACGGTCCCGTCGATTATGCATTTCTATCAATTAGAGGCACAAACATTCTTAGTCCAAAAAACGCATAACAAGTAGTTATCCCTAACCTACAATTATAAGAAAAAATACAAATTTCATGTAATCAACGTTAAGCTGAAGTTACCTAACCTCAAAAACAAAACAACATATAATACATCCCAATTAAAGAAATGTATCACATACTTCTCATATCATGAATATTTAAAAAACACACAATTCAAAATATCAAGGTCCTCAAAAGAACAAACTCTAAAAATCTTAATGCTATACAAAAAGGTCTAATAAATCAAAATTCGTGCCGGGAATATCGGAGATTTATTAAGCGATGGCATAATAGGAGCATTCAACATTGTTTTCATGCATGCAAATTCTAACATTTCAATATGGCCCTGCTTTCTAGTTCTAAGTTTGAGAAACATGAATCAATAAATCATGCTTCCATTAACAACATTTGGAGGAACATTCTCAGTGTATATCGCAGTAAAACTTTAGTTCTAGCTGTTATTGCACATAATCGACGAATAATATTAATATCAGACATTACCATGCTTCTTCTCAATCAATTGAATGAGCGGTGGAAGTAGAAAATTTTTTGGCCAAGGCAATAAATCTTTATCATTCAGCCCCACACTTTTCTTAGCATCCGCTTCATCTTGGGATCCATCACTATGATTCTTTTGTATTTCCGTCACCAGATATGTTGTGGTTGTGTATTTTGAACCTTTCTTTTGTTTCTTTTTTACATCAGCGTTGTTTGTTGATGAGGGCGTCGATATACCGAACGGATGAGAGAAGTAGAACATACATACTGGTTGTGTTTGTGACTGCAAATGATATTAAAGGGTAAACAATTGATACTTAGGTTGTTTTGTGACGCATTTTTCAATATGTCGGGATATACCCTAGTCCTTCATCTACTCATGCTTCAATCTTGGGTACACCGAAAGAAGAACTGAATAAGACAGACAGACAAGCAAAGAGCATCAAACTTTCGCGAAACAACGCTAATAATGGCAATGGAATGTAAACATTGTAGAGTACAAGATGAGAAAAGAAAAACTTTGCGGAAAAGTCACGTTTTCTTATTAACTTATGGAATTTTCATTCGCTTGTAATCTTCTACATAAATCCCGTCGTATTCTTTGGATAAGTATAATAAGAAAAGGAATTCTTTCTTTTCTCACTCAATCTTACTAACCACATTACTTATTTAATTTGTGACAAATTACGATTATCGAGATTAAGAGATTAGATCTGAAATTTATTCATTAATTAAGATAGAAACATCATGAATTTTGCAACATTGCAAAATTGCTCATTCTACTAATGCAAGCTCACAATTTTCTGCATCAATTGACATAAATAAATTAATGAATGATATTGCATTTACTAAAAAGAACTCGTTGAATGATACAGTTGTCGATTGTTTTGACTGTTTCATTGACTTGGTGTTTTGATCTCGTTTTTGTAGTACAGCGTAAAAATTATTGAAATTCTTTATAGCTTTTTAAGTGTAATGGTATTTTTTGATGACTTTATTTTGGAATGACAAATGTCACGAGAATTAGTTTGGCGGGAAAAATGATTTGTCATTCTAAAATTATAATATTTGTCATTTTTCATTTAAATAAGTATGACAGCAGTGTCGGTAGTCTCGAATAAGTCATGACCAAGAGCGTAGTCATAGTGAGAAAGGTCAATAGCATCAAAAGAAAATTTCAACATTTTGCAAAGTTTTATTTGAAATTCTCAAATCATTTAATTGTTCCCGCAAAAATATTTAATTGCAGCTACGAGTATACTTCTCACAAGACTATGGATATGGTCTACAGATATCTTTACAGAGAGCTCCTTTCTCTTTCAACTTACATTCCAAAAATTATAACTTGATTTGGTAAATTTGTCTAAACTTAACCTAGCAAGTAAGCTCAAGCTTTCTACTCAAAATACAACGCAACATTCCTTAGGCTAAAGTTTTTACAATTTTTCAAGCTAGCATTGACGATGACTCTACATTCTCAACTGTCAGTCACTATCATAAGAATTTTCCAACCCTCAAAATTCCCAGCAGATTTCACATAATCAAGTAAATGGATATAGCATGACGAATCACATCCAATTTCCTCTAACCACCCTAATAAAAAATTTCAAGCTCATCATCTGTTTAAACTATGTTACGTACCTTGAAAAAGTTTTTATAAATTCCACTCAATGAACTTCCAGTCGAACAAGATTCGTGATCTTCCTTCATAATTTTCACTTATTTAATCAATATTACAAAGAAAGGGAAGATTTATTAATTTAACTTTGAGAACTTTCTTCCGTTTAATTTTTATTTTGTTTTGGTTTTTTTCAAAACTTTCTATCCACTGTGAAGGAATTTCCTTTACGTCTTTTCCTCAATGAATTTATAGCACATGATATATTCACTTGTTTAATCGATTATCAAACATTAGTCTTCCATAGCGATTTCATGAAAAGAAATTCTTTTAGAAATGAACAAAAAACTGTGTCTCTATTCCCCTTTATATTCAAAATATCTTTACATTTTTTCACCCAATTTTGTAAAGCATAGATTCACCATAGCAAAAATCCCGACACAATAAAAAGGGAATATAAAAAAATTATGCCACATCGATAAGGGAATTGGAATTGAACTATTCACAATTATGTTTATTTTCGTTAGTAACCGAAAGAGGAATTTGCTTGTTAATTTTTAATTTGAGCGCATTTGAGACAATGTATGTGCAAAATGAGTTTCACTTTGGATGGGATGTTGTTTTTTTTATTTTTTAAGATTGCTTGCACCTTGTTTAAAATAATATTTAATTAATAAGTCTACTAAATCCTTTGAACTAGGCAGTAAATTGGATAAATTCATTTTTATCTTATAGATTTCGATAAAAAATTCTAGCCTAGAATGTAACATTTAAGAGATTGGTCTGATTTAGTACACTGCAGGGGTGTAGCCAGGGGGAGGGGGGGGGGCATAGGGGACCCGGGCCCCCCCTCCGAAAATCTGATAATTGTTTTATTAAGTATTTATAGAGAAGAACCAGTTAATGTAGAGGAAGTGATGAAAGAAATGTCAAAATCAGCACGAAAAATTAAATTTAATGTATGAATAATGAATTAAATATTTAAACTTATGAAGAATGAATATAGATTTAAGGATACAAAATAACGGTTTTTTAATTTTTGAAAATGCCCCCCCCCCCCTAAAACTTTTCTGGCTACGCCCCTGGTCCACTGGACTGTACTAGGTTTGGTTCAAATTGGTCTGACTTTATTACTACGCTTTATTGCTTGAAATGAGATGTTAACACTTCAAAGTCTCAATGAAGACTGAATAATATAAAAACTGAGGAAGAATCAACTAAAGAGGGGAATTCAACTTACTGTAGAAGACAGTTCAAATTTAAAATAACTGTTGACAGATTCTTATTTTGAATCTTAGAAAATCATCAATATCAAGTTCTACTTTTTTTTTTGTTAAGTTTAACTGATCACTTCAGCAGAAATGCGCTACAACCAACAACTAGCTCTTTACTATTTATATTCATACATATTTTCACAATTGTATTCACAACTTTTCATACTTATTTCTTTTTTGATTAAAATATATATTTTTGCACTGGCTTCTTACATTTGTCACAAAGGAGATAACGACTGATGATCATTTGACATTCATGAATGTTTCACAGTTAAATGTAATTACTTTATTTTTATTTCCACATTCATGCATCAAATGCATGGGTTTTTTTACACTCACTTGATGCATCTACACAACTAAAGACAAATTCTAAATATAACAGCACAACGAATTTTCCTCTCGACGGGCAAATAAAAGCATCGAAAAGAACAATTTCATAACTTGAAATTCGATATTCTTATTATGAATTTGATGTATTTCTTTCACATGCTCATAATGGTTTCCTAGATTGTGCCTATATATTCATTATTAACATGCTCCAAATTGATTCTTCTTTTTATTAATCTAAATTTATGAGCTATAGACTTCATTTATAATCCACGCTTGATTTTTAATTCCTTTTCAATGCATTATCAACTTGACAATCCCCAACAATATCCACTGATATGTGGATGAGCTCAGAACTTTTACGTTTTAACACACCGAATTCAACTGCAAGACTGGAAACGATTTAGAAGTTTTTTTTTTATTTCTGCTGCCTTTGAATGAATGAATGAATTTGTATGTATACAAAACGATGTTTTTTCTTTTTTTCGGGAGCTTCCCTCGTGTGTTGCTATAAACAACATACATTTATTTTTTATTTATTTATAGTCTCATTAAGTACATGATCAAAAATAGCGCTGGAATTGAGAAGAGATAGATGGAGTTATGGTTATTGTCATACAAGAAATATTTCAATTTTACATCATTTTTATTGTTATTTGCATTATCGCTGTGTTTAAATGTTTCTTGAGTGGCTAAATTGATAATTATTTAGAAATGGGGAAATATAATGTGAGACTGTGTGGCTTTATAAATAAATCAGACATCTCTGTATGTTTACAAATTTTTATTATTAGGTGCATTGAGAGAAGTCTAACAGGGTGCTTTATGAAGTCTTTTGGATATAGATTAATTATAAAGACGATTTGTTTGGAGGCAGTTTATTAGTCATGGGAATTGAATGTTTTTAAAGTTTGAAAAATCAACGATCTTCTGAAATTTGAAAACTTGAAGAAAACCGTTAAATATTCAAAAGCTTCGTTAAGTTTTCAAAATTCAAAAAAAAAACCGTTAAAATTTGACAATCATCAAACACAAATTTAACAATCAAAATGCACATTAAACTTGACCTCTCCCCCAAAAGAATGAGCAAAACAAAGTCATTCCTACATTGACACTTATCAACTCACACAATATAAATTCTCAAGTTTTTTTCGGTTTTTATATGATAGAATATAAATTTATTATGTACAGAATCATAAAATTAAATTTTCTAACAGATAAAACTTCATATTTGTCACCACGCACCATTTATCTCTCAACTGTTCGACTTAATAGTGTAAAGGGGCCGTTCACTTATGACGTCCAGGGAAGGGGGGGGGGGGGGGTCAGCAAGTAAAGAACAATAGAAATTCCAGGAAATCCATTATTTTTTGATAAATGACCGTTAATTTCGGACGTCATAAATGAACGACCCCAAACGTGTTTTTATAAAAAAATTACGTAGGACACAAAAAAGAGAGATTTTATTATCTTTTGTGCCAAAAAACTGTTAAGTTATTCCCTCTCACTCGTTTAATTTTTCAATCTTCTCAACCATTTCGTCCGATATTTCGACCTGCTTTAGATTATCATATCCAATTTCATCTTCAGTTCTGATTAGTATGTCAACAACATCTTCGCATGCCTTCATAGCTTTCATATCGCCCGCGCTAGTCAATTCAAATTTATGCAATTCACGGAGAATCTCGTACGTTCCTTTATTTCTTAAATACAATCTTCCGTTGCGCGTTGCACACAATTGTGCTAATGATTCTAATAAAATTGTACGAATGTCAGGGTCACTTTCGCGTGTCTTATCTGATTCTAGAAATTGCAACTCAATTGGCAATTGCTCGTTCGTTTCATCATCAAATTCCTCCGGTCCAGCCAATGGAAGTAAGATAAATGGAAGAACATCGACGTCTGTGCTGAATAGCCACTCATGTAGACTCGAATCAAAGCAGATATTCTTTAAAAATCCAGTAATTCCTCCTCTTCTTATCACACTCGACTCATGGCTTATAAATGGAAGGAGTCGTTGCAATAGTCTCGTCTGCGATGATGCAACTAAATTTCTAAATGCTGATGATTGACTTAAGTTGCTAAATACAGCTGCCAAATAATTGAGATTTTGATTCTGCTTGTTGTAATCAGCTCTTGAAAATATGCTGACTAGTTTATCAAAAATTGTGTTGTCTAATTCCAGAAGATTGTTGACTATCGAGTTTGGAAGATTTTCAGGTCGAGATAAGTTGGATAGGATGGAAAGCATTGGATCTGTCAGCTGTGATTCTGCGTTGAGGACATTTTTAATGATAATTTGCAGCAAGCCTGTTTCTTGCCTATTTGATGGATTGGCATTTAATAGAGCTTCACATGCTGAATCATTTTCTGCTGTTATATTGATCAGAGCTACAGATGAATGGATTAATTTGGTCATTTTATGTAACAAATTGCTGGAATTATTTAAAACTTACAGAAACAAGCATCCTTGGCAATTACATGACTCTCATCAGTCAATAAATTCACTAAAGCACGGAGTAAATCAGCATTTGAATAAATTATCTCAACACCGCTCTTGTCTCCAGTAAGTCCTGTAAATTAATGTAATTTATTACTGGATCTATAAAAAAGCTGTTTTAACAAGTAACCTAATATGTTCGCCAATGCTGTAGACTTCAGGTCAATCCTTGAATCCTTTTGAAGGAATTGTACAACCTCTGCTAGCTGATTTTCCATTATTTTTTTCAAAAAATAGAACTTTTTTTGTTGTTTATAAAAAAAATTCAAAACAAAGACACGTGTTTGTGCAAGGTTTGAACACTATACTTTTTATGGCTTATATAACAGATGGCTTTAGTTAATTATATTGAGAAACAATCTCTGGTGATGAGCTTCTAGATATTTTAATTCCATTTAATAGATTCAAATTTTTGGTAAAATTTAACGGTCAGAAAAAGTTTAAAAATTTTAAGTTTGATATGTCAATTTTCAAATTAGAAATGTTCGTTACGTTTTTAAACTTCAAAAAATAATGTTTTTGCAATTTTAAGAATTTTAAAATGTGAAATTAAAAGATTTTATTTGAATTTGTAAGTTTGAATTATTTTTATTTCCTTTAACAGTGGCATCTTTTAGTAAAAACAAGAATTAAAAGTGAAGAAAAACAACAGAACATAAAGACATTCATTTGGAAAATTAAAATACGTTAATTTTATGAAATTTAAGAAAATTCAATTTTTGTTATGTTTATTATTAGCACTTTTGAAATTTCAATTAAAATCACATCAAATTTCAAAAAAAAAAACTCTCTTTTCAGTTAAAAAAACAATAAAAATAAGCAACTTTATATAAAATTAACAACACAACATGATCTGTAGGATCACCCATCTTCCATCTCCCATAGCTCCATCTCTTAACCACAATATGTAACTAGCATCCACAAAACATCTATACATGAAAAAAATTGAATTTAAAAAATTCAAAACCGGTAATTTAAAGACATGTCGAATGAACAAAGCACCTCTTTGAGTTCTGATTATTAAGGTGAGGATGCAGCGCACACAGAACTGCCATTTGATCACATAACATAATCAAATTTACGAAAATAAGCTAACTTTTTGAAGCATCCACAAATTTAATGAATTTTTGACTGTCAAAGTTGGAAAACCTAGGAAAAATGGTAATTTTTTTAAAATTCGCGACAAAACTTGATATTATATTGATTTCTATCTTAAAGTTCTCTTTGGGAGCTTTACAAAAATACCCAATATGAATTTTTTTTTGACTTTACCATGACATTCTATAGCCTCTTGAAAATCGAAAAAATTGACGTTTTTGGAACCTATTTTTCTATGTCATATCTCAAAATTGTAACCATTTTAAAAGCTATAAATATAAGTTATTCATGAGATGCGGGTTCAATTTTTACTTTTTACAATTTTAACTACTTGAAAAGTTCATTTATCCTCATCATTCGCATAATTGCGGCACATCCGATCCCCGACAGATTATGAATTAAAATCTTTCTTAATTAAATTTTTTTATGCATAATTTTAGTGCAATATGCAGCAATTCTCATGATTTGCCTGATTTTGTGCAGTTGCTCGTGCATGGGATGCCAAAAAAAAGTAGGAAAACACTCTTTTCAGTATAAAACATTGAAACATTCATTTGAAAAATAAAAATACGATAATTTTATGTAATTTAAGAATCTTCAATTTTGTATAAAATGTGATTTTGAACATGAGATGCATGCAAGTTGATGAAGCTTTGACAGTTTCTGATAAAATATTTTTTAAAAAATCAGAAAATTAATAAACTTTTGAATTCAAAAATATTAAATTCATAGATTTCAGATTTTTTTATTTTAAAATTTAAAAAATCCTCAAACAAAAAAATCACAAAATCACATTTAATTCCAAAAAAACAATTTATTTTACTCTCTTTTCAGTTAAAAACAATTAAAATCAAAAACTTTATAAAAGCAACAAAACAACATGATCCATAAGATCACCCATAACTCCATCTCGTAGCCTCAACCCGTAACCAACATCCACAAACCGTCAATACATGAAAAACTTTAAAACATTGAATTTAAAAAATTCAAAACTGTTAATTTTAAAAACATGTCAAATTAATTAAGCACCTCTATGAGTTATGGGTATTAAAATGTGAATCGTCCATGAATTAACGAGGACATTGACAGTTTCTGGTAAGCATGAACATATTTACATTTTTCATTTTATTTCAAAAAACATCACACGAAGAAAGGAAAAATCATTAACAATAATCTCAGTCATAAATATTTATTTGAAATGAAAATTGGCACTTAACGGTGCTGGTATGAAAGATTATTGTGAGGCTTGAGGAAAGCGCATTTTATTTTGTGTTGGAAGGCTTGTTGTTAAATTGATAATTGGTTTTATAAGTTTAAAATTTTTAACGGTTTTTTATAATTTGAAATTATGAACTTCTTTAAGGTTTTGCTCACCGAAATCTGTTATACAAAAATTCAAATTTTAATGATTTTCTAAGATTTGAATACATAACCTCGAATCAGTGTTGCTTTCTGGCTATTTTTCTGGATCAGATAAATTCTGAGACAGAAATTTCTTCATAAAGATCGATTCTACATGAAGATAGAAAATCTAAAAATCTTATCTATGTAGATGTCTACAATTCTTCATTCTTCTCTGATGTAGACCTGGAAAAAATGTAGAATTGTAGACATCTACATCGAATCTTTATGTAGACAGAATCTTTATGTAGAAATAATCTTTGTGTAGATTAGATTTTCTATCTTCATATAGAATCGATCTTTATGAAGAAAGTTTCTTAGCTAGACAAAAACTATTGAAGAATCTACATTCTTCATCTAGTGTAGACATCTACATTTGCAACACTGCCTTGAATCTCGAAATCCGTTAAATGAAAATTCTTATTTTAACAGTATTGTAGAATTTGAAATTTTGAAATAAATTTTTCCGTTGAATAAAAGAAAATTAATAAATTCCTGAATAAATTAATAAATCAAATTAGTCAGTGTGCCAAGTTGTAACTAGACATTCAGACAGCCAAAGTAAACAAGATTTTCAAAGCACGATGATCCTTGGAAAGAAAATGAGCACTTAGAAGTAAAATCCATTTTTTGCCTCCTTACTTTAAAAGACTTTATGTATTTATTTATATACACGTGGGTAATTTGATCGTGGACTACGATAAATTAGAGGTTTTTTTTAGTGTTCATTAACATCTCTCGCTCATCTTCTAAAATAAACACTCTTCCTCATCATCTCATCATATATCATAAAGATCTGAAAACTTTAAATATTTATAAATAAATAAATTAATAAGTAATTAAAGCAAAGATGTCTTACTTCCTTTTACTAAATGATACATTAACGGTAGTGCTCTAAATTTTGTTGTTTGTTCATGTGTTCACATGGATGTGCGGTGTATAACCTTCCATATCCGAAATGTTGTTGGTTTATATTGTTTTTGATGAATGTCTGTCAAATTTTTTAAGATCAAAATGGAACTGAAGTAATAGAAGTTTCGAGGGAAGTTTATTTTTGTAGATTATCAGTAGATTTTGCAGAGCAAGCTAATCTTATGGTATGATCAGTTTTAGGATAACATAGGGTTACCCATAAGTCGCAATAAGTCATTTTTACATTGAAATTTAATTGAAATTCAAACCAAAACTTTTCTCATCATGTTGTTTTCCCCTAGACCACTGAGTTGTCTTCCCTGCATATAATTTAAGAATTCAAATAGATCCAGGGATGTTAAAGGTTCTATGACAGCTAGTTTATATCCTTGTTTGATGTCCCCTCGAATTCAGCTTCTATAAATAAACCCAAACTCTAATATTCATCCCAAAATTTCACCATAGAAGACATAATAAATTCTAGCACTTACAAATAAGTAGGCGGTTCCACTAATTTTCAACGGGTCAGTTCACATTAACAAACTCATAATTTACCTAATTGAAAATTACAAACTAAACTAATTAGTCCGCATATACGTTATTATTAAAATGTTTATCGAAGCGTGCTGATAGTATTGGCAAGACATTGTGGTGTGTATGCAGTACATACTCTTGATGATCTTCTTTATTGCTCTATAAATATCTCAATGATGTTAATAATGTTGATGAAATAAATGTCATTTAATTAGAGCTTCAAATTGTCTCGAATCTCGTCGTGGAATATTCACGAAAATTTTTGTATTCAGGAAGCTCCAATTCAGACATAGAAATTTTTTGAAGATTACGACTTCCTCATTTTCTCTTTAAGCAAAGATAATATTTTTGTTTCTAGATAAATTCAACAATATAAACCTGATTTTTTTTTGTGAGCTCTGACCACAGAAACCTTTACTGTTATTGTTTCAAGCTTTGATATATCCACATAAAATCTACACGAGCCATTCAATCGACAGTTGCAATCAGTATTAAAAGTCGTACAATGTATACGGCTATAAACATAAATATTTCAAAGTTCAATTGTCTCTATTTTGTAATCTGGTTGTGTGGATTTACTGCTCTAAATAATTATGGTCAGGATTGAATAGAAAACCAGCTGGACTGCACGTATATGTGACTTCTTTCTGTTCTGCTGTGATTTTTTTGGGGAACATGTGAAATGATTTTCAACATGCAATAAGTTCAGGTACAGTGAAATTTATAGATTTTCATCAGCATAGGACCGAGAGTAACTTCATTTAAACTATAAAAGAGTCCGTAAGGAAGCAGGGATTAGTTTAAAATGCTCACAATGTAAAGATAGTTGACAGAGAGCTTGTGGAGTGGATTATGTCCATCACTTAGCAAATTGATGTAACAAACTTGATGATTCATGTTTCATTCACATGAGAAAATGAAACACGAGCCAACCAGGCTTTGATTTACACCAACTAATCGTGTTAGAATCCAATGAACTTTCCATAGAGCTCAATAATCAGTAAATTTTAATAAAATGCAATCTTCAAAATAATTTTGAAAGTTAAAAATTGTAAAAAAAGGGGTGTGAAACTAAGTTTGGAAAATTTAATTATTAAGATTTGAATTTTAAAAGTTCGCTTTTTAAGATTGCTTTAGCAACAATCAGTATAAGGGGCCGTTCACTTATTACGTTCGCATTTTACGGGGGAGGGGGGGTTTGAAAAATTGTAACAAAATGTAACATAGGGGGGGGGGGGGGGGGGTGTCAAGAAGTATGTAACGTTCTAACTGTAGTCTGTCTTTTAAAAAAAAGTTTACGAAAAAAATTTGTGTACAAATTCACATCAAAAACCATTTTTTTTAAATTTTCCACCT